TCATCATTGTTTACAGCCATCTGTGCTTCCACATATTGCTTCCAATATCTCGCCTACAGAGGAGCCCATGATTAAGTCGATAAAACAGGAAACTTTCGAGCACAATTATACTCCAAAACGAGGCATTGAATCGATTGGAAACTTACAGAAGTGGGATAGAGAGACAAAAGCTGCTCATATATCGGCGTCGCTTGTGCAATTGGTAAGTGCTGAAGAAAAGCAAGCAATTTTACGAAACCCAACAATTAAAAATCAGAACTTTTTCAAAACTTACTAGAAATCACACAATTATAAAAACAGGAGAAAGAGTTGTATGTACCAAGGCTCTCTTGGCCAAAGCCTCTGCTTCCTCGACGTTGTACTTATCAGCCATGGCTTTCACTGACTCGGTTCTACGTAATCGGAAGAACAGACCTCCAATTCAGTCAATGGTGATACACGTAATCACTAATCTGAGATTCAACCAGTGTTAACAATCCTCCGCCCAGCCTAGCTAAAGCTTCTGCTTGCTTCAACGCCAATAAGTTTCGCCTCCAGAAAGGGCACGTAGTACCTCGGATCGCAAGAGCAGAACCGGCGGTGTTATAAGTAAACCCTTATCTGAATTTCAACAATTTAACACTCTTCCGACGAGTCTGGCAGAAACACGGTGGCCGGCGAGAAACTATCACCGTGATATAGAAACGAGAAACTCAAAAGCCACAACCTTTTATTTAGTAAAGGAAAAAAATTCCGCGGTTTACTTAAGGGTTGAACAGACTCAACTATATAACAAAATATGGGCCTATTGGGCTTAAATAGTGAGCCTGGATATGGGCCTTTTAAACCCTGTAATTAGATTGTTGAGCTTCAGATTAGGGTTTACTAAACTCAGATTATTAGAGTAGTATAAAAGAAAATCTATCATTTATTTTATTATGTTAGCCGTTTGAGTAGGTTTAGGGATCTGAAATCTAGTGGTTTTGAGTTTTCTGTCTGAACTTGAATATGACATTACATTTGTCTAAATTCTTTGTAGTGAAATATTACAAATCAGTTTTCTTCTCTAGAGGTTGGAAAAACTTGTCTCTTATATATCTTCTTTGTATTTATCAGCAAGCATTTTATATATTTTTTTTATCATGAAACTCACTTTTATCATTTTGTAAAAATATGAAACAGATGCAATCAACCCCATGGATATCTATCTCAATGGAAATGGTGACATGAAAATTGTGTTATATTGGTGATTAAAGAGCTCCATGACAGAATATGGTTAGTGACAAAGGCGGACCTACTTGAACCAATAGTGGTTCAAATGACACACATTAAATTTTAATTTTTTGGTTAAGAGCTTCTGAATTTATTAATTGAACCAGGTTAATTTTTGAGGTTGACACCCTATTAACTACAACCCAATGCTTTTGGTTCACTAAATCTTTATTAAAAGTCCATCATACACTAAATGAGACTTGTTTTTACCTAAAGAAAGTAGAAATTGCTAATATCTAAAGCCCAATTAGCCTAAACCTACATCATCACAAAATTTTACCAAGGAAAGTAAAGTGTTTTTATGTAAAATATTATGTATTTTTACAAAAAAAATTATTAATATTAATATTTTTATGTTTTTGACCCCGGTAAACAAATATTCTAGGTCCGCCACTGGTTAGTGATGTGGAAACAATATTGATTTCCATAAGTATATAGAAATGAAATTGTGACTGGAATATGGTGAAAGAGATTTATGTGTGTTTTCATCTGATTTTGATCATGTTTTTAATCTTAGGTTTCATTGTTTTTGTCATGCTCATTAGTTGTGTAATATTTGCTAAGAAGATGAAGATCAACCTATTCACTTGAAAGAAAAGAGTTAGATTGTTATAGAGTATCTATTAGATTGCATAAGATCAAGTTCAATCATTTTGTTAGACTTATAAAATGAAATATATTTAACAGAAATTAAAGGTTTGCAACTTCTTACTTTCCAGGGTTATTTACTGCCGTTGTTCTGGTGCTCATGCAGTTTGTGGAGGCTGAGAATATAAATCTCCGGAGGATATGATCCTCTTCTCATTGGTAATACAAAGTTTTGTCCCCCTTAATAATGTTGAATATTGCTTCATATATATATATATATATATAAATAACACAGCTGGTTAGTGGTTTATGTTAAGTCGTATCAATTTCTGTAGTTGGCTCGCATATGTTAAGTCTTTATAATTACAATGATGCTTTTGTTGATATATATGAGCATGAGATTATCTACACAACCATACAATATGTTATTATTAGAATTGAGCATTGGATTCATATCATGCGTTATGCATACCCAATGTTAGGTAAAAACATAGATTAAGAAATTTCACTTGAATGCTGTCTATTACTGTTGTACATGTTGGTCAATCTAAGTCTCAACTAAATATAATATATACATGAACTATGCATGGGTAACTTCATGCAAGGCGTGAGTTTACATTTTGATAATGATGTGAGCGCATACTAGTACTTTAATTCATGTGTTTGCGCTTGTATTTTTTTTTTTGATAAAGTGTTTGTGCTTGTATCTCTCGACAACTTCTAAGCTCTACTTCTCCTAAATAATGAATCTGACTAATTTCACCATCATTCCATTCATTCCATTTACTTTTTGCAGTTAGCTCTATTTTTACTCTTTTTTTTTTAACAGGTTATGTTTCGTAGGCTTAATATTTCGCTCCGACAAAACAAAAGAAAGTATGGACGTGTTTTGGCAAGGTATGAAATTTTACGTATTTGAAGCTGCCATGAATTTTATTCTACATTTATGGCCTATATATCTTTTACCTAATCAGATTTTAGTTATTCAATATATTTTTTAAATTTTGAGATGAAACCCTAAACTTTTAAACCCTAAAAACTAAACTTCTAAATCCAATACTTAACCAAATACAAATATTTAAATTATAAAACCTCAAAAATTAGCCTGACATTTTACCACAAAATATAATCTAAACATAGAAATTCTGAAAATGGGTTCTCACATTTTACCACAAAAATAATTTAGACACAGAAATTTTGAAAATGGGTATACACTACAAGAAAAGAGATAAAATCCAATGAGGATGGATGTTGGAAATTTATCAATGCTTTTCTAATGAATTTCCACATACACGAATATTTTATTGGAAATTTTGAGGAGAAAAATATTATCGAAATTTTGTAGGTAAAGTTTCTTCTTCAAATGAAAGATTATCTTAAGTAGAAAATATCAAAACAAAACTTCTTCTATTTTTCGACTTTGATCAATACAAAAAGATATGAAATATTTTTCGGTTTATGAACCATAACTGACCGAATGTTATATGACAACCGGTCAAGTGTGAAGAGAATGGTGAACCATATGTTTGAATTAGATTTTTTTGTGATTAAGCATATTTCACCATTAACGGGATTGAGGTATGACTATAGAATGTCTTGTGTGAATGAGGAGGTTAGAGAAGATGGAATGAGGCTTTTTAAAATTAAAAAAAATATATTTTTGTGATTCACTAATATATTGTGGCTTGGGTGATTTTTGAAAGAGAATAATTTAACCTTGTTTGGTTTATTCTTAATCAAAACCTTACATAGAAAGATCTAACTCTTATAACCAATATAGATTTAAATGTCAATATATCCTCATATATTGTAGTTCTTACGGGTGGTTTGTGAAAGAGTCACAACATTTTAGAGTATATTGAAAGTATATATATATGAAAATATATTGATAATTAAATTTATTTTAGTTATGAAGATAAGATCAGTAAGGTTTTTGATTGAGAGTATACCAGACAGGGTTAGATCCTTCTCTTTCAAAAATCACCCTCAAAAGCCACAATATGAGTAAATCATAAAAACAAATCTTTTTACTTTTAAAAAATGCGTCCTTCCATCTTCTCCAACCTTCTCATTTACACAAGACATTCTACTGTCATATGGTGGAATATCCTCAAAATACTTAATTCAAACATATAGTTCACGATCCTCTTCACACTTGACAGGTTAGCATAAAACATTCAGTGAACAGCTATGGTTCATAAACCGATCAATATTCCTACATTTTTTTTGCATTGAGTAAGATTAGCAATGGAATATTAAAATCTAGAGACTTGTTCACAAAGATCCTTGCGTACAGTCTCCGGCTTGTAGTTCCAATTGAAGTGGTTACTAACCCGAGAACTATCAAACATATATTTATCATCCTTTTCATTTAATTCTTCTTCCGTTGTGACTAAACCAACAAAAAGTAAAAAGATTTGTTTTTGGATTGTTTTTTTTTCAGCTTGTTGTTGGGTTTTTCTTCTAAACTTTATTATTGTTGCTGAACTTTTGTTTTGGTTTTGTATTATCTTTTAAAGCATTAATCCAGAATTTTGGGTGATGATGATACCTAGCTTTTTGTCTAGATTGTTTCATTAAGAGGCCCAAATCGGGCTTAAGTTAACTCAATGCGTTTATTTTATTACAGAAAAAGGAACCTTAATTAAGTTAAACCCCAATTAATTAACTTGTATAATAACGGAGGGAAAGGACGAGACTCTGTTTTTTTTTTCTTTCTTTGGCAAGTCTACTTCTCGGGTCTATCTCTCTTTCCTTTGTGTGATTTTCATTTATATCTGTTTTAATTTGGGTATTAGGGTTTTTTTTCGTTCTCTCTGCCCTTTCTCTTCTTTCTCGGAAAAATCATTTTCATTTCATGTAATTTGCGTACGCTTAAGAGTTGATTTTTGTGTGTTTTTCCTGCTGTTCTCGTGATTTGATCACAAATTCGGCAGAATTGTCTGGTCTTTGATTAAAAAAAAAAGTCTAAAAAAATCTGTCCCGATCAAAAATCTGTGTAGGAGTTGAGAGACCTTGCTTTAAAAATTATTATTGAAAGCTTCCTCTTACTCTTATCATTTGCGTTTAGGATAAGCTTCAATCGTAGAATTGTGATTATCTTGTTTCACAAAGGTATCTACTTGGGATTTGGTACTTCGTTTCAGTAGTATAGTTAAGCTATGAATACAGATTCCAAAGGAAGAGCATGGTTTAACAAAATCTACCATAAATTCGAAACGAAGGTGGACAGTTTGGCTTCTCAGGTAGGTTTCCTCTATGGCCTTCCTTGAGATGATTTGATAGATTGTAAAGTAGAAGGAAATGAAGTCTTTTTGGTTCTTATGTTGGGACAGGGTAAGGTTTCTTCAAAATCAAGGGATCCTACAGAATTAGATTCTCTAGGGGATGAAACAGAGAAACAAATGGAGGGAGATAGTTTGGAGGAGAAGTCATCAGGCTCTATGTTGACTGATGAGAAGCTTGAAGAGCACAGTGATTGTAATCAGACAGCAACCACTTCTCAAGCACCTCAATCTACTCACCGTTCCCCGGAGAGCCTTATGACTGCAATAGCATGTAATCTGTGTGTGTGTGTGTTTTGCTCATCTTTTTCTACAAGTTTTGGAATTGGTATCTATGGAGTTTCATCATGTGCAACTTTTCTTGTGTAGTTAATCAAGATGACTTCTTCATTGAAGACTTTGATGCTGCTCCATTGGATACCATTGATTTGTACGACATGACCTTTCGAGAAGACCCCTCAGATTTTGACGACAATTTGCTCTATGCAGCGCGTGACAGGTCTAGGCAGCTCAGATCATTCAAGGTCCTCTTTCTCTCTTACACAAAACCTTACTTTCAACACAAGTGGCCGCAGAGGTCTGTAATAAGATTGAATAATGTTTTTCCAATCCATTGATCCCTAATGTGTTTCTTTATTTATCATAACCATCAGAGCAAGATAATGGATGCTTTAACTTCGAAAAGAAGAAGGGAGAAGGAATATGAGCAGCTTGCAATATGGTTTGGAGATGCAGACATGGGTTGTGATCTCATGAAACCCAAGGAACATGCTACAATACCTCTAGACTCCAAAAGCTCAGAGTCAAATGTGCCATTTGCATCAGAAGATTCTGAATGGGAGCTATTGTAAATATAAGATTGTGACCCCATTTATGTATACAGCCTTAAAAACTGTTTTATTTTTGTAAGGCTCATGTGCTGCTTTGAATAATAGATACTACCAGAGTCTCAGATAAAGTAAATACTAGTTAAATTGTGCCATTAAGGAGCAAGGAACAAGCATGTTGATATATCGAAAACAGGAGATGAAATCATCTTATATCTGTTCATTTTTTCCAGTACAGTAAAAGAAAAGAAAAACCTAACAAGCTAATACAGAAAACAATCCAATTCGGAAAAGTTCGATTTAGTAAAAAATCTAACTGTGATGATACTACTACTACTGAAGATGGATAACACCATGACGACTCTGACTCTAAAGCTAAACATTTTTTCTGACTTGTTGGCCCTAATTACCAGTATCTGATCCACGTCCTGAGGAGCTATCACTGTCAGAATCTACATATCAACAGAAAAAGTTACGTTAGTTATTGTTATGTAGATACGGTAAAAAAAAGAGTTGACCACAAAGTTTCAACATTTACCACTAGAGCCAGACCCTGAGTCACTACTAGAACTGTTAGAACTACTTGATCCACTTGCTTGCCGAGCAGGAGATGACGTCCGAATTGCTTTTCCTGGTCACAACAACCATTACTCCACTGATTTTTCTTTTTCTTTATGCGTTTAAGTAGATTACTACCTTGTGAGCTAAAAAGCCTTACCTGATTCATGAACTCTCGATGTTTCGGTGCCAGTTGCTAGAGTAGTCTGTGAAAGCAAAACAAGATACAATGATTATAGCTAAAACCAAAAAGCAGTAAAGATCAGAAGACCTGAAAAACAACAATTTGTTATGGAAAATCTTACCGGTTCTTGGATAATATTGTGAACAGACTCAGCATCTCTCTCCGAACCAAATCCCTGATCCTCGTTCTTCTTATTCAAGCTCTCTTTGTACCCAGTCACGAATCTATAAAGCTCCCAAAGCGTTTCGATGTCAAGACTATCGATATCCAGCTCGATCTCATCATCTTGCTGAGAGAGCTCTGGATTACTCTTCTTTATAATCTGAACAACTGTCTCCAGCTTGTCGTACGGCAAGTCCTGAAGCTCTTCACTGAGTCTCCGTTTCTCATCCAACGTCAGGTCCCTGCTATTAACAGGCGCCTCCTCCTCTTCTTCTTCATCTTCTTCCTCTACTTCTTCAGGCTTCTCGGCGACAACAGGTTCACGTTCCAACGGTGTTGTCATAGATTCCGCTCTCTCCAAAGTCCTGTTCTCAAGTACCGGAGGTGGCGGGAGAGGAGGAGGAGGAGACGGGGAAGGCGTGGGAGCTCGTAAAGGCTCCACAACAGGAGCTCGTAACGGCTCTACAACAGGAGCAATGGTTGAAGCAGCAGGACGAGGGAAGTCGATTTCACGAGTTGATTTGAGCTTCCTGTGGAGATTATCATACTGAGCCTCAATGGAAACCCATTTCTCTTCAAACAAGCTCAGCAAAAGCTTAGCCATGTTATGCACATCGTGCTCAAGCGGATTATACAAGATGGCGTTGTTGAAAGTGAGTCTCACATCCTCAGCGAAATCCAACGGCGAATCATACAGACTCTTCCCAAGCTTAGTCTTCACTGTGCCCAAATCCATAGGCTCTTTCACAATAGTGTGGTAATCATGCAAGCCGAGTCCTTTAGCATCCACCGGCGCATTGAATATCCATCCAGACTTGTGCTTCATCAATTTCGTAAGCAGATTGTTGCAGTTCTTGAAAATCTGAACCGTACCTTTATCAGCTCCATGGCCACTCTTCTTGTTGCCTCCGTTATTCCCTGTTTTCAGCTTCTTGCTTCTCCCAGTTGCTGCAGCGGTTTTAGCTGCCATGGACGCAATGTTTCCACCTTGGGGATCCAACCGCTTGATCAAGCTCCTAACCTCGCCTAGCTCGGCGTTCAGCTTCCGCTTCAAGTTCCTAACCTCGAGCTTGGAAATCGAGCTCAGATTTATCTTGAGCATGTTGTGTTCGTCCTCCGACGCGAACGAGTTCGACGGAGAGGCGAGAGGAATCGAGCGCTCGTGTCTCGCGACCACCATTGGCCTGGATCGGTTCTGGGTCTGGTTTCCGCTCGCGCTCCACTTATGCTTCGTCTTCGAAGCTCCACCACCTGATATATGGTCAGATGACATTCTTCCTCCTGACGAACAAATTTTGAAATCGGAACAGAAATTTAAGGGTTTCTCTAGGGTTTTTTTAGCTCGGAGCACCGAGATTGGGGAGTGTTAACACCGAATCGAAGGTCGGTGAAATCGAATTGAGGGGGAATTTAGGTCGAATCGGAGTTCATGAAGATCGCTCTGGATTTGCAAAGACGAAAACCCTAGGAAGCTATGGTGAGAGTCACAGGGTCGCGAGAATAGCGTCAGCTCACGCGCTTCTACTCACGCGCGCTTCAGCACCCGAAAAAATTGGGAAAACAAACACATGTTGTAAAGGGCAAATGGGAAAGTAAAAAATTCTCAGGTGTCCCACAACAAAATACCAAACCGGTAAAGACCGGAAAATACCATGTTAACCGCTAGATCCAGTAGTAGTAGTGTAGTGTTTGGGTGCAATTCTCAGATCAACAATCTCGAAACAACGTACATTTACATATAATCCTAGGTTTGGAAATGATCATCAAATAAGTCTTTTGAAGAATTGAATGATATCTATCTCTATTTTGTTCAAAATCTAATTTGGGATACGTAGGAAAGTCTATCTATCAAAAATTTAAGGATAGACTGTAGATTTTATGCAAATAATATCTGTAGATTGTATCATCAATGGTATCACCAATTGATTCTCTATAGATTTTATCATCAATAATAGAAAAACAAGATCTACGAACTTTTGGATATCTATCAGTCCCTAGCGTAGTAGTTCATCATCATCGAAATGATATCTACTTATTGCATAGGTCACGAAAATTTGTTTTACCCCATTTAACCAAATGGCTCGATAGAAAGCTTTAATCATAACGGTGTTGTACTTGTTTACAGGATGCGGTACGTACATATAATCCTGTGTATATATATTATGTCATCGAAATGTACTTTTACTAGATGACAAAATAAGTGACGAGGAAAGCCGAAACCGGATCAAGATTTTGAGAACTATAACTTGTTCCACTTGTCACACATGCATAGATATATAGTCACAAGTCACAACAATGATAATATACATAGTCATATACACAATGCCATTGTTATATATATAATTAAGGAAGTGTCCAGATTGAGAGGATCAGGTAAGATCGAGGAATGGATAGACACGAACACGATCCACGTGTTCAGCTTCACACAATCTCATATCACATCTGTCTTGTAATTACGTCCACTTCGCTTCTTTTAAGTTCTTTCTCTTCAATTCTTCTTCTCTTGCCTTTTCTTTTTTTTCCTTCCTTCTTTCTTTCTTCATCCATCAAGATTTGAGCATCTTATTTGAGTTAGGGTTTTAAATGGCAACATCTGCCAGGAGAGCATACGGATTCGGGAGAGCTGACGAGGCGACTCACCCGGACTCCATAAGAGCCACTTTGGCTGAGTTTCTTTCCACTTTCGTCTTCGTCTTTGCTGGAGAAGGCTCCATCCTCGCTCTAAGTTCGTACTTCGTCCTACTTATCCATAGGAAATATCTAAGGAAAAAGAAACGTTTTCAACCTTTGCCATCTTTACTTGCGACTTCACAAACTTATTTACATCAACATTTTTGCATTTATCAAGATTTTTGTTGCATCAAGATTATAGAAAAATAATAACATAAATTATATTCGTTATAGTATTCTACTATTTTGGTTCGAACCATGCATCATCATACATTTGTGATTTGAACTATATGTATATGTATGTGTTTGTTGTTGGACAGATAAGTTGTATTGGGACACGGCGGCTCACACGGGCACAAACACGCCTGGAGGATTAGTTCTGGTGGCGTTAGCTCATGCATTGGCTCTATTCGCGGCTGTTTCGGCGGCCATCAATGTCTCCGGTGGACACGTGAACCCGGCTGTCACTTTTGCTGCTCTAGTCGGAGGCAGACTTTCAGTGATCCGAGCTATATACTATTGGATCGCTCAGCTTCTTGGTGCCATCCTCGCTTGTCTCTTGTTGAGGCTTTCCACTAATGGCTTGGTATATCACTTCTCATCAGTCTCTATATTAGTATCACTTATATGATAAATTCTCTTCTGGTAGATTCTTAAAATTGTAAATTGTATCAGTTAATATTCATTTGAGCTTGGTGTCTGTTACATCGGTTTAATTTCTGTTAGGATATGTTTGTTCGTCACACTTTGTATATTTGTCTAGGAATATGCTCTTGACTTTGAATGTGATTCTATGTGATGTAGAGACCAATAGGTTTCCATGTAGCGTCTGGAGTTGGTGAGCTTCATGGGCTACTGATGGAGATCATACTTACATTTGCCTTGGTTTACGTCGTCTACGCAACCGCAATCGATCCAAAGAGGGGAAGTGTTGGGATCATAGCGCCGCTAGCCATCGGGCTCATAGTCGGGGCAAACATTTTGGTGGGAGGACCATTCGAAGGAGCATCAATGAATCCGGCTAGAGCCTTTGGTCCAGCATTAGTGGGATGGAGATGGAATAACCATTGGATCTACTGGGTCGGACCTTTCATTGGCGGTGCACTCGCGGCACTTATCTATGAGTACATGGTCATCCCCAGCGTGAACGAACCTCCTCACCACAGTACTCACCAACCATTGGCTCCGGAAGATTACTAGACCGGACCAAGCTTCTGTCTTTGTATCAAGAATCTCTGTTTGGGTTGTGTTTGTTGTTTGTATTTTCTTGAAACTTTATATGTATAAATGAGTCCAGACCAGAACTTGCTTTCTTGTATTGTACGTTAAGAATAAAAGATCCCACCAAAAAAATTGGTCAGTTAGAGGATAAAAACGAACACATTGGCGGCTTTTTTCTCAAAGCTCTGTACATGTAACAATGACGAATTTCCTCTGTTCCTTTAAATCAGTTTTTTTTGTGTATCTGAAACCTGCAAAAGCTTCTTTCCTTCTCCGTGTCAAGAAGGTCCTCTCATCTTTTCAACAATCTGTCTACTCTTTTCCTCCATGTGACGCCTTTTCTCCTCCAACTTCTCCCCCATTTTCTTCCCAAGATCCAACATCCTTGCTCTTCTTCCCGGTTTCTTTCCCCTCGCGTCATCTTCTTCGCTTGAAACCATCGAGCTAGATGGTGATTGAACAACCGGAATGTCTCTGGTGCTGCCTCTTGAATGCATGTCGTGCTTTTCACTACTGCTGGGTCGCAGTAATGGGGTTTTCAGTTCGTCCAAGGACTTGTCCCTCTCTACTGTTACACTTGTCGATTTTGTCAATGGCGTAGAAATAGCCTCTGATTCAGTACTCGGTTTCTGGACGGCATTGGCAGTTTCCTGCACTTGCTCAGACTGAGGGCAGGAAGAAGAAGACGTAGTCCCTACTTCAGAAATAACAGGCTTCTGGGTGGCGTCTGCAGTTTTCTGCATTTGCTCAGACTGAACACAGGAGGAATAAGTCGGTGGCTTGTCACATTTAGATCTCCCTTCTGTTGCATGGGTACTATTGTGATTGCATTCTTGATTCATCCACATGAATGGAGCAGCTTTGCGCTGAACCCAGTCATCTTTTTCAGCAATCATCCAAGGAATCGTTAGGCTTTCACAGTTGGGAAGAACCACCGCTTCTCGTATTGCTGTCTGCAGAATCATAATGTTATCTCATTCTGTTAGCTCAAAAGTTCACCAGAGACAAAAACAGAAGAGACCGCAAAGGAGATGGTGTACCTTAAACCGGCTGATCAAGAACATTGCAACGTGGCTGTTGGTGATTTTGTGTTCCCCAACAGAAGATTTGAGATCAAATTCTATATCAGGCATGCTCGTGAATCCAAACCACAATTGATCAGAAGGAGGCGGCTTCACGTGTACTCGCAGTGTCCCTCGAAGAGAAGACACCCGTATTGACAAAGAGATAGGAACCTGCAATTGGGGAACAGAGACAATCTAAGATACCTTACTGAGACATGCATGACTGCAAAACATAACATGAGGACCCAAATAAAGGTTTTCAGGAAAACTGTAGAGAAAGCTTATAACAAATTCAACAAAGCAAAAACGAATTGTCTTGTAGGTATTTGAAAAAGGAGAATCAACCTGGGAAACTTGTTCTGCTATGGTTTTGATGATAGATTTCCACCTGGATACACCATTTGGAGCTGCCTTCGTTCCTTTTGAGCCCTTGCATTCATCTGCAACCAACAAAACGATGGTACGAACAGTTGTAATTATCATCCTGAGCAATACTTTTTAACAGGGATTACGCTAGGAAGATCTCAGAGGGTGAAACGAGAGATGACTGCATTAATCCAAATTCAGAAAACAACTAAACATTGAACTAGCCTGTTTTACTGGCTCCACCGGTTTTCATTTCTCCTGCATCGACAGTTTCCACAGGGATGACCAATTGCCTTTCAAAATCTTCAACGGGGTTTGACGGGACTTCCCCTGCAGAACTTGGCTGCAACCTTGCGTCGGCTATGTCTTTTTGCAGATCAACCTCACGGATGTCAACCCGAGTTTCAACGTCAATCACCGCTTCACCAGAGTATTCAATATCTAGTTCGAATGCCCACACACCACTCATTTCCATTGGAAGAACTCGAGTACCATGTATATGAGGTGGGAGATTTCCAGTGTCAACATCGGAGCAGATTAGTTCGCCTATGTAGCTCGGAGTCCTCATGTTGGATAACATCCGCTGTTTAAAACCACAAAGTTACATCTTTGTTTGGTTGAAGAAATCAATTAAATATCAAATACTGATGAGTTCATGAAAGGTTTCAGAATCATGGATAGTGCTGACCTGGATTCGTGCTTGCACAACATTCTTCACTCCTGCTTTCCGTTTGAGATCGAAAAATAGCCTAGAAATTAGCAGGTTCCACGCCAATGTTCCTTCATCCATGTCAAACCTCTCTTCAGAGTCTCCATCTGAAACCCCAGACATATGACTGCTATGGCTCACAGAACGTGACAAAATAGGCACATCAGTTTCATCTGTGATATTATCTCCCATCTTCTTTCCTGAGACGCTCCTCCCTGAGCTACTTCCATGTTGTGAATCTGGATGAGAACGGACAGAGTTTTTCCTGTCTTCACGATTTGATCGCTTCCTTGAAAATCTTCTCAAGAATAAGCGAACCTTTGAGGAAGAGCCATCTGTTCTGTGCCCTTTGTCAAGTGTCTCGAAGCTAAACCCAACTGATGGTTTCATAAATGAAGGATATGCAGCACTAAGAGACGTCACGTAACTACGGAACTCTTCTTGCAATTTGGTGGAGTACCAAATAAACCTTTCCTGGTTTTCGCAAGCAGCAAGACGAAGGGCTTTACACCATGACTCCTTTTCCCAGGAAGTCTCGAGATAGATGTAAAACACCGGGTTTCCCTTGTATAAGGCTGAAGAAGTCTTGCTTTCAACTTTTATAGGAAACCTTTTGGCCCTAAGAAACAGAGAGGAAATGGTGAAAGCAAAAGAACAATCAAATTTCATATCAAAATCAAAATCAGGAAGTGTAACTATGAATGATTACTTAATTCCAGGATTTATTCTTCATCCAGTTCTGTAGACCTTCATCCAATTCCAAAACCCAGATCACTCCCTGTGAACATAAACTTCATTTCATATAATCTGAAATAAGAAAAACGAAATGCCAAAAACAGAAATTTGTCTGGCTCTGACTTTCGACGATAATTCAAACTCACAAATTCACGGTCTCAATCGAAATTTGTGACTTGAACAATCAAACTCTAATAGAAACTCCAGTTTTCAATCGGAATATCAAATGAAGAAACTGAATTTCTCGCAACTAAAGCAACATGCATACATTCCGAAATTACACCCAAAATTCAATAATCAAATGATAATCTCTTTATCTACGAATTTTCTTTTCTCTCAACCCGCTTCTAATCTCAAAAGGGGAATTGAGAACGATCACCTGTTTATTGAGACAGAAATCGATGGATTCGCGAGGATTAAAATCCTTGGTAGATGGATCAGAGCCGAGTTTTGACTCCATCCGATCTCCCTTCCGATTCAATCGTTTCAGGAGATACATGAATCCCGCAGCCTCCGCGGCCAAGATGACGACAATTCCCAGGAAAACCCCAGATATGAACACGAAACCCATAGACGAAAACATCTCCGGGAAGCTCGGAGAAGTTCAATGCGAGGAGAGTTTCTCGTCCAGGAATCAAGCGGAGAAGAAAGAAGATTCGTGGCGTTGAACTTGTTCATGTCAGTATGGAGAAGGAAAAAGAGGAGAAAGAGAAACTGTGGGATTAGCCATCTCTGTAATCGCAATTCTCAACTTCCAACATAGATTATCTGCCGAAAGCCGAAACGGAGACAAATTAAACCAAATGTTTCTATTAAGCTGATACAATTACCATCGATTTATTTAAAACACAATCAAAAATAGAAATATTATGAGTAAATAGTCAAATTCTCATTATGATAAATAAATAAATTCGACGTTAAGTTGCCAAAAGTTTATGTTTTGTGTTTTGATTTTTGAAGAGCTGCTTTTCATTAGGAAATCAACAAGTTCTTGTCCTGTACAATTTTAGTATGATTGATTTTACAATATCATTAAGGCTATATAATATCACCACATATTCTGGTGGATTGTCATAAATTGTTAAATTTTATTAGCTGTTGTAAATTGTAATCATGTTATATTAGAGAAAAAAAAATTACAGAGTCGTATGATATGATTAACTAATTTTATATATAATTAGGGAGTTGCTCTCTCCATCTAGAGTGTCCACATCAGCACAAAAACAAAATTGTATTTAAAATATTTATTAAATATATGACTATTCATATTTCTTTACATTTATTCATATTTAATAAAAATATACAAATAAATTAATTAATTAATAGAAAGTATGTGATAATTTGATGTTAAAAGTTATCAAAAAGTTGGAATATAAAATAGAGATGGAGTAAAGAAATATTTAACTTCAAATAGTATATATTTACCTTTTTATTCAAAGGATTTATCCTATTTAAAAATGTTATAATGTGTTTACAAGTTAAAAAGTTGAATATAAATTAATTAAGATAATAGAAAGCTAATGAAAAATTAGAGTTAGAGTTTGTTTTTCTAAACAAATAGAAATGGAGTTTTATATGTAAATTTAATTGTAGTGAAAAACAAGAATATGTTTACAAATTTTAACCTTCAGTCAAATGCATGCATATACATATTTATAAATTTTAACCTTCAATCAAATACATATACATGTTTACAGTCTAAAAAAAAAGTAAACAAACATAATATTTATAACATGATAAAATTTTAGAAATAGAAAAATCGAGATAAAGCGGGGTGTTAATATCCTAATAAATTAAAAAAAAACAAATTATTCATATTTTTTAGTGTTAGTGGTTGAGTTAACTCAAAACATAACAAAAACATGAAAGTTAATACAAAACCATCATAATTCAAATCAACGAGTATAAATAAAATTAAACAGAAAAATTATCGCAAACAACCCGCGCTTGCGCGGGCTTCTAACCTAGTTCAATAAATAAGGTACTTTTCAACTACAAAAAATTACATCAATATAAAGGGGATGATTGGTGGGAGCTGTGGTTGCTCTCCACAGTTCTATATCTCTCTGCAGCACTCCAAAATTACCAATCATGCTCTCATTTTATTTCTTTCCATTTTTGAAACATAGAGCAATTTTATTTATTTATGGAAGTTCCGTAGCTGTGGAAAGCAATTTTTCTAGAGCACTAAATTTAATGCTCTCTAAATTCTCTCTCTTCTCTTTTCTTATTATTTTGCCTATATTCTTTTTTTAATCTCTTATTTCAATATCTTCTTTTTTTTTTAATATTTCATTAAATACACAATCTACAAAATAAAAAAAAATTTATAGCACTAAAAATTAAAGCCACAACACTAAAACCTACAATCTAGACTCTACAGCTAAAAATCTATAGCCACAGCCACATCCAATCAGGCCCAAATATTTTGTCTTTTCAAGGGTATCACATGACATAAGAGGCCAAATTGCATCACAAACGTGGAGACCGCTTGAAAATCAATAAAGGAGCAAAAGGTTTAGCAATATGGATTTTGTATCTGATCGTTTTATTCTTGACAAAATTAATAATATCCGACATGTATATATATATTCAAGACTACAAAATTATTTGGGCAGTAATCCATACCAAAAAAAAAAACAGATTTTTCGACAAACTCACTACTTTCATTTCCATAGTTTCTCACAAAACAAACCTGAAACAGAGAAAAAAAAAAACAAAATATCTCATCTTTGTAAAACTCAGAAACAAAACTCAAGCACCATTATTGTCCATGGCTACAACAGAAGGAAAAGAAATATCTACAATGACGAGGTGCTATATATACATACACCTACGGAACATAACTAAAAACAGAGACTTCTCCTTTTGGACTACGACAAGCTCTTGTTCATGGAAAAGAAGCTATAGTCATGGTGATCATGAACATAAAGCTGTTTCAGCCAAGAATCCGCTGCACTTCGAAGATAAACCAGCCGTTCTAGGTCACATGATTCTTGATTTTCCCACAAGTCTCCTTGCAATTTGTTGGTAACTAAACCAAAAGGTGCCATAGGAAGTCTCTTGATCACTGGTTCATCATCACACCACAATGTTTCTTTATTCTCATTGTCTCCCTCTACCAAATTCCCTAAGAAACCAAACATCACAAAACCTAAAATGTTTCAACAGTTTGAAACCAAGATAATGTTTTAAAGCTAAAAGTTTTATAAAAGTTCTGGACAAGAACATAAGTAAACAAATACCTTGGAGAGCCGAAGATATAGTATGATAACTTAAGAAACACGTCATCAAGTCTTTCTCGGTCTTCCTAGATGGAATATGGTATATCGGATACCTAAACCGACAACAAAATTTCAAGACTTTATCATCCATCATCGAGACCAGAAAACGCTTGTAGATCAAGTAAACAGACGATGTCTACACTTACCAAGCAATGGCCATCCAACTTGCCGGAGACAAATCAACACTCCTTAGAGTCATAAGTCCCGGATACTTCTCAGCCAATTCATTTACCTAAAAACAAACCAAAAGAACATAGACTTCTCTAAGTTTCTTTAGGCAAGAATATAAAGAGAATGGTATCGATCACTAGAAATGAAGTGAATGAGAACCTTGGAGGTAAGAGGAACTCGCAAGTGCGGTTTAGCTGATTCAAAGTACTGAAAATCAATGTAACCGAGCCTATCTCGCATCACCGAAGTGCCATCCATTTCGTAACCGGAGTCATCTGATACAGAGTCCCATATTTTGCTAGAACCACTGCTCATTGACCTTGACAACTTCTCAATCTCACTATCATCACTCCAACATTCACTCTCAACATCAACCACCTCACTATGGTTCCTGCAACCAACCATATATAGATTCCACTCCTCAAATTCCTCAACACGTATAGAACACTCTTGTCCAAACTATATTTTACCACTATTGATCAAACCTGGAAATGGCTGGAGATTTGTTAGTGTAGATTTGAGCTGGCGGAATAGAGTAACGTAGGACATAGATATTTGGAGCCATTAATCGGAGTTCAGCTCACATTGTGAGTTATCAAATCAAAACCGTCGGGTTGTCGCAGAGAGTTCACTCATATTCGCGCCTATTATGACTCATCACAAAGCAGATCCTATGATGATGTACTGTACTAACCCTAGATACACTAATATCTGATTCTCTCAGAATCTTCTGCTCTCTTCCTGGATCCAATAACTGTTTCACAATAATCTTTCTCAAAAGCGAAATTGGCATATGGTTCATCACGCAAATTCAAACAGAAACAGGAATAGAATTTTAACTTGTTATTAGTATGCAATTAAAGCAGCAGCAAACCGGGGGACATACCGGCCTTCTTCAAATATGACCGCCCAACATTGTATTATAAGTAGCATAACATTCACAGTGTGCCTACCCTGTTAGTTTCCTGAGCCCTTTTAACTATATGAGTCTCTAAACAAAAAGACAGTGTTGTTATGATATCACATCTTAGACAAATATATGTGTACTGATGAGAAAACGATGACAGATCATTCTAGATCAGGGAGAATATAGAGAGAGATGCCATAGAAGAAGGCACATTCAGAGGATATACCTTGGCAATCCAGAATATTCAAACCAATTTCAGTATAAGCCATTTTTCATTAATCTCATATTTCAACGCACAGTTGCTGTCACAAGGTTCCACCCACGTGGTGAAAGAAAACTTCACGAAATGCCATGAAATCCTAAAATGTACTCGTTCTGAATCTCAGCAATTATTATATTATACTTATAGTAATATATATGAAGAAAAAAAACACGAGACACTGGGGAGAAAAATATACTAAAATGATTCGTTAAAAATATTATTGACGAATTCTCAAGAACGTCAGAAATTCACACTAATAGAAAATATGTACCTGTGGTAGAGAGAGAGAAGGAGGCTTTGGAGTGATTCCTCTTAGAAATCTCTCCAGGTTTGATTGGACTTTCGTTGACGATGATGACCACCACCACATTCTCTTGATCTCTCAGTTTTATAGATTATTATATTAAGAATTCAGAAAAGTTAAGAAAAATTGTAATCTTTCTGGCATATATTTCCTCAGCAGTCAGCACCAAGGAATTTTCTTGTCCTGTAAAGATTGAAAAAGCTAAGATAAGAGAACGATTGAGAGAGAGCAAAAGAAAACAGAGACTAAACTATAGAAACACGAACAGCTAAAAGATTTTGTGTTATGGGGAGTTTTTGGTTTGAAAGATAAATCATCTATTTTGAAAATATAAAGAAAAATGAGAAATCGTAGATGAGCTTACTTTATTTTATATGAAATCTATTGGGGAAGAAGAAGTTGTAGCAGATTTGGTATGAAGATTTTGGAGTATCATTTGCTTCTATTTAATGGAAGAAAGAATGTGAAAACGACAAAACCTTCTCTCTCCTCGATGTATCTCTCTCGCTCTTATCCTAATCTTATTTTATTTTGTAAGGTAATTAATTTAGTAATTAACTAATTACCAAAAGCTTCTCTCGTTCACTTTGATATATCTTCTCTCTTCAAATCTTATCGCTAATCTTTTTACTTCCTTTTACTTTAGTTAGTAATCTTATTCCACTAATAATTATCTGAAAGTGAACATGTTTTTAAAAAAAATCTAATAATACTAACTTTATGTCTTTTTAGAGAAATTCTTTTTTTTCGAAAAGAAACGGTAAAGCTATTTTTAGTTTTCACATGCTTAAAATTTAATCCCACCTTCTAGAACATTCAAAATAACATTAAGAAAATATAATTAAATGATGAATTTTTTTCGCAAAATACATAATTTTTTCACAATATTTTGGTTTATAATTTGATTTTTTTTTTCAAAACAAAAACTTCAAATTTAGTTGCTTGTTGTAAACAAGTAAAATAAGAGAAAAATAAATTGATGCTAAATTCATAAAAATGAAAGATATAAACTTAATATATTTTTTTTTGATGATTTTATCTTTAAATGTCAGATTGTGTTTGATGATTGTGTATTTAAATGTATTTTCTGAAATAATTTTTTTAATTTAATTTTAGAAGATCAAAGTTCTGATATCTTAGTATAAGATAATTATCTATAAAAACGAGCTTAATGTATTTATAATACACAGATTTCACATACCAAAAAGTATATGTAAATGTCAATATAGTGTATTTATTAGGTAAAATAAATTAAATATTCATGAATTTATCCAATTTGTTATTTCATACATTACCTAAAAATCTAAAATATGGTTTTATTTGTACAAAATATAAGAATAATTCTGTTCTAGATGCCAAAATATGCACATATTTAACAGTGTAGATGATGCCAAAATTCATGAATAAGTTTCAGTTATCAAACTACCAGAAATAGTAGTTAGTAAAATAATCTCTGAATCACTGCGCTAAAAAGAAAGAGTACTGTATAATCTAAGAGTTCAAATATTTTACTCTGATGAGGTTGTGAATTGCGAGCTTACAGTCGTCTCAGGATAATAATAATACTAGTATTTTTATAAATGATTAAATTCGTGTTTTATACACTGAGAACATCAATTAGATTATAATATTAAAATACTACTAATTCTGAAATAATTGATGAATGAAAAAGAAACGACGGACAGTAAGTAGACACTGTAGTCAGAGAGAAAGAGAGTGATGGATAATCTGGTCGCCACGTGTAGGGAAAGCAGCGTCGATCTATCGCGTTTTGCTTCTCTCTTTCCATTTTGTTTTCTTCCCTTTTTTGTCTTTACGCTACTTTACAGTCTTTGTAAACTCAATTTTCTCATGATCTATTCACTCGCATTTGATAGTTCTTTTTTGCGTTAAAGTTAGAATTACCGGGTTAAAATATCAGCTGCATAGAGTTATTTTTTTGTTTAAGGGTTTGCTTGCATTTATAATAGACATAAAAGCTACAAGTAGCAAGTTAAAACTTACAGCCAGAACAGCCCAGGAAACAAATAGAGAGAAAAAATACACAATAACACAAAGATCAACCAAAATCATTGGAGAGCTCAACAATTATTTATTTTTATCGAGATAAATATTACAACTACTGTCAGACTGTGTTAAAGTCTCCACGTGGAGATGAGGATTATTTAGATTGAGTCGCGTGTTAAGTTTCTTCTTGTCGTTTTCGTCACTAGAGACTAACCATCAATGTTCCCCAAGTACGTTTTTTTATATAGAAACAATCGTTTTTGTTCCGCAAGTATGTTTCGGATTCGGACCGTACCGTACGATACGACGCACTTTAAATTTACTCGTCTTTGTGGTAATCAACTTTCGTACAGCTATTATATAGAACTATATTTTCTTATGGGAAAAACAAAAAGATATCCCTAAAGCTGTTTTTGTCACTGATGACATGTGATTTTCTCGTTCTTTTTGTCTTTACCAGTTCATAAACACGGATTCAATTAGACCCAAACAGGGATTCAATCGTTGGGCCTAGTTGGCTAGAGGACGACCGTTACTACCCTTTTACTTTTGTTCCATCCTTTGTTATTGGGCTTAGCCATTTGAGTTTGTCACGCAATTGTTGACCCAGTCGAATTAGTAACAAAGTCGTCTGAATATATTAAGGGGAAGTAGTATTTTCTTTTCTGTTTTTTTTTTTTTTGTATATGGCTGTATTTTTGAGAAATATCAAAGTATGAATTTGTTGATTTCTCTTGGAAAAATATCGTAATCTGATATTTAAAAACCTAATCATCAAAGCTATCATATATCCCCACATACATATGTTAATATTGGCAATAACACGCATATTCTGAATGCGTTTACACAATCAGCTCGTAAGCCACACACATCTACTCGTTGTTCTCCCTTTAAGCATTGTTAACATAAAAAAAGAAGTCATATATAACAAAGTTTATTTTTCCCTATTCCAATACTCAATAGTAGAGTGTATTTTGTAATAACTTTTAGTCAACGAAAGCCAGAACAGTGCATACATTCTTCTGATACACTTTTTTAAAAATTACCTATATATTTTTTTAACCCAAAGTTAAGATGCAATGAATAACTAACAAATTAGAAAACTGCATTATTTCATTCAATTATATCATTAATGATACTTGGACCTACATAGATATTAGAGTACCACCATCAAGGTCCTATTAAAAGTAACCAACAAATCAATAACAGGCTCGTACTCTTTTCTAATATTTCGGCACTTTTCTGTCAACAATATTTCTGCATTTATACATATTTTATTTTATACTGTAGCAGCTAAAAGACAATTTTCAATTACTTGGATGTCTTGTATTCTTTTCTACCACGCCGAAATTTAGCGGGAAGATAAAACCGTAATGAAAATATGACTACGAAAACTTCAATATCAAGATAACCACAGTTATATTTCTAATCCTTTTTATACCATTAAGCAAATCGTAAGAACTAACAAAAGCAAATAAGTAAATAACAATCTTCTGTTGTAAAAATAAAATAAAAATAACAATCTTCTCTAATTCGATATCTAAATTATTCCTCTATGAAAGAAAACAAAATAAAAAGATCAATTCGTACTTAATGCAACCATCCATCGACTACCAGACTACATTAAATGCAGCAACAAAAAGAAAATTGGAAAATTCACTACATCAACAAAATTGGACCCCACTTCCTTCTAAATTTTCATTCAATTCTTCTCCCAACCATCTCTTTGCTGTCTTCATAACTATCTCATTTCTTGTTCGAATCAAGAAAAATTTTCAAAGTTTTAAAAACAAATAATAAAACCACCCATTATCTTGAAGATAATAAACTCCTAAAAAAAAAGAAGAAGAAGTGTTTGTTCTGTTTCAGTCATCTAAGTTCATGAGAATAGAAACGAGTCCAAGTTTGTTGTTCATGCAAAATTCTCATGACTCTATTGCACTAAGCTCTCTTCTCCTGAATTTCTCCTACTTAACCTGATCCAATAATTCCTCCTTCTCTCAATTCAAAGCTCACACCTTTTCCATTTCCTCCACAAACCCTTTTTTTTCAGTTTTCTCCGATTTTGTTTTATTTTTTATTTTCCTTTCCCAACAGCAAAAGTCCTCTGTTTTGGTTACTAAATGGAGATAGAAGCAAGCAGACAACAAACCACCGTACCGGTTTCATCCGGCGGAGGGAACTATCCGGTGGGTGGGTTAAGTCCGTTGAGTGAAGCTATATGGAGAGAGAAAGCTCCAACGGAGACCGTCGGAGATGTGTCGGCGAGGCTTACGTGGCAAGATCTGACGGTGATGGTGACTATGGGAGATGGTGGGACTCAAAACGTTCTTGAAGGTCTTACCGGTTACGCTGAACCGGGATCTCTCACGGCTCTTATGGGCCCTTCCGGTTCCGGTAAATCTACTATGCTCGACGCTCTCGCTAGCCGCCTCGCCGCTAACGCTTTTCTCTCCGGCACCGTTCTTCTTAACGGCCACAAAACCAAACTCTCCTTCGGAACAGCTGTTAGTACACTACCCTAAAAGCTACTTCAACAAAATTTTCAACTTTACAGATTAAAGTACCAATTTTTCAACTAGACTTTTAAAAAGGAACAATCTTTCAAACATATAGGTTTCAGTTCTAGCTTAGTTTTTGTCTTTATATGAAATATAAGAATGTTCTTTGATTTTGGATCTTAGCTGTTCATAGTGCGTTGGAAAAAGAGTAAAATAAACAAAGCAATCTTGTTTTTTTTTTTTGTATTCTGACTCAAGAAGTTGTTGTTTTTTACTGAATCTGGTTATTATGTACAGGCGTATGTGACACAAGACGATAACTTGATTGGTACGTTAACTGTGAGAGAGACGATTTGGTATTCAGCGAGAGTTCGTCTTCCGGACAAGATGTTACGGTCGGAGAAGCGTGCCCTAGTGGAGAGGACAATAATAGAGATGGGTCTTCAGGATTGTGCAGATACTGTTATTGGAAACTGGCATTTGCGTGGGATTAGTGGCGGAGAGAAGAGAAGAGTCAGTATTGCTCTTGAGATTCTCATGAGACCTCGTTTACTCTTTCTCGATGAGCCAACAAGTGGTCTTGACAGGTAAAGGTTTCAGACAATTTTCTAATTAGCGTATACAACTGGTGAAACCTGACTTCTTGTTTTTGGGGTTTTGTCTCTTTGCAGTGCTTCTGCTTTCTTTGTGACTCAGACATTGCGTGCGCTATCACGAGATGGAAGGACGGTGATTGCATCGATCCATCAACCGAGCAGTGAGGTTTTCGAGTTGTTTGATCGGTTATATCTGCTTTCCGGAGGCAAAACTGTTTACTTTGGCCAAGCTACAGATGCATACGAGGTAAGATCACCTGTCACACCAATCTCTGAACAAATGTTGATGAAACTAACTCGTTGCTTTTGCTTACACGATGCAGTTCTTCGCACAAGCTGGCTTTCCATGTCCTGCTTTGAGGAACCCTTCTGATCATTTCCTGAGATGCATAAACTCAGACTTTGACAAAGTTAGAGCCACTTTGAAAGGTTCCATGAAGCTTAGGGTAACGATAAAATCTTCCCTTTTTCAACTGCTTTCAATTCTCTGAAAAAAATCTCATTTCTCTGATGAACTTGTTATGTTATGATACTTCTCAGTTTGAAGCAAGTGATGATCCGTTAGAGAAGATTACGACAACCGAAGCTATTCGAGTCTTGGTCGACTATTACCACACTTCTGACTACTACTTCGCAGCAAAGGCTAAGGTTGATGAGATATCTCAATTTGTAAGTACTATGTGTTCCTCTCTCTCTCTCTCTCTCGAGCTTTTGTTTCATGTTGGGACGAGTCAATATGTCTCTTTTAACCCCGTTTTGCGCACTTCTCTGTTTTACAGAAAGGGACTATTCTTGAGTCTGGAGGCAGCCAGGCTAGTTTCCTTCTGCAGACGTACACTTTAACCAAGAGATCTTTCATCAACATGTCAAGGGACTTTGGATATTACTGGCTTAGACTTGTTATCTACATCTTGGTCACTGTCTGCATTGGAACCATCTATTGGAACGTTGGCACTAGCTACAGCTCCATTCTGGTATTTACTCTAATATCATCCATTTGATAGCAACTCAAACTTTAAAAGAAGTTTTTTTTTTATCTTACCTTCTTTTGTTGTTTGTGAAATCAGGCACGAGGCTCATGTGCGTCTTTCGTCTTTGGCTTTGTCACATTCATGTCAATTGGTGGATTTCCTTCCTTTGTTGAAGACATGAAGGTTCGTTAGTCATTTTCTTGCCCCAAACCAATGGAACCAAACGGGTTTGTTAAAACTGAAACTGTATTTGCAGGTCTTCCAAAGAGAGAGACTAAACGGTCACTACGGAGTAGCTGCGTTTGTGATAGCCAACACAATAGCTGCAACGCCGTTTCTGATCATCATAACGTTCATCTCTGGGACAATCTGTTACTTCATGGTTGGTCTGCATCCAGGATTCACTCACTACCTCTTCTTTGTTCTCTGCCTCTACGCAAGTGTCACCGTTGTGGAGAGCTTGATGATGGCGATTGCTAGTATTGTTCCCAACTTCCTCATGGGCATCATCATAGGAGCTGGAATCCAGGTGCCTCCTTCGTCCACTTTCATCATAGTTTTTCTTTTTCTTTCTTTTCCACATGTTTTTAAGGCTCTTGTTGAATCTGTTTCAGGGGATCTTCATGCTGGTTTCTGGATTCTTCAGGCTTCCAAATGACATACCGAAAATTTTCTGGCGTTACCCTATGTCATACATCAGCTTCCACTTCTGGGCGCTACAAGTAAAAGACTTAAAAACTGCACCAAGAAACGTTTCATTTGAGTTCATCATCATGTGATCTTAACATTGTTTTTATTGTTTTTCTTGTTCTTTAGGGTCAATACCAGAATGATCTGAGAGGCTTGATGTTTGACGGCCAAGGGACTGCTTTCAAGATTCCGGGAGAATACGTTCTGGAGAATGTCTTCCAGATCGACTTGCAAAGATCAAAATGGATTAACCTCAGTGTGATTCTCAGCATGATTATCGTCTACCGCATCATCTTCTTCATCATGATTAAGACCAACGAGGATGTAACTCCTTGGGTCAGAGGTTACATAGCTCGCAGAAGGATGAAGCAGAAGAATGGAAGCCAGAACACCACAGTTGCACCGGATGGTCTTACTCAGTCTCCTTCTCTGAGGAATTATATTGCTACACGATCCGATGGAGCTCGCAGATGGTAGAGTTTGAGCTTGTTCAGTGTTTTTTTAAGACACTTTCAAGAAAGTTGGTCGAAGCAAAAGCCACCGTATTTCACTAGGCCTGCACTATCAAAACTCGATGTAATGTGAGAGCACAGTAACTTGAGTGTGTTAGTTATAGAAAATATTGAAACCACGGATTTGTCTAAAATAATCACTACTAAATTTTTTTTTTCTACTTTGCTAGTAACAAACATCATCTTTGTTGCATCACAGTTTGCAATTACAGCAGATATATTCAGTTTGTGAATTGCTGCAAGCTTTGTTTTGTTTTGTACATGTTGAAATTAAAATTGTGTTTCTGACAAGTCCCACTCTCGAAGAACGTCAAAAGAATGACTAAACTTCATTAGCTTCTGCTTCAGCACTCTTCTGCTTTTGTTGTGTGATGTTTCTCATCTGACCACTTGCCCAAATGTAACACCGTAAGCAATAACAAGGGGGATGCAGTGAATATAAGCCTCCAAAAACCTCTCGACGAGAACCAACTAAAGGCGCAATTTGCAGTTATGAATCGCGGTATACATGCCATTTTTCATATCTCTTTACTCCATGCAAGACAGGTCTAAGTCTTGGGGCAGTAATGCAGTTTGAACAGCAACATCCCTTCAAGTCGACGACACATTCTGCACAACATCTAAACAAAAGATAAAGGTACGTTTAGGAAAAACAATGGCAACTAACTTTCGTGAGTCATTCACTATTTGAAAACAGAAACCATAATGCAACTCACAAGAAAAGCCGATTGCAGTCAAGGTTAGCACAGTTTCGATGTCTCAGTTCCTGAACTTGTGATTCACATATATAACACCTTGCAAAACTTGTAGTTGTATCCACGGGCGTTTGTGGAGTTTCTGTGGCTTCATCACTCATGGCGTTGTTACTGTAGGCAGCTGGTGGGAGAGAGAGACGAGAGTCGAACACAAACAGATTTCCAACCCATTCAGCAGTGCCTTCTTCTTCAAGATAATGGGAAACTCCACCCTTGAGTGTATACAGGTTCTTGAAACCCCGCTGTCTGAAAACAAATTCGACTTCTCACAAGAAAGTTATTTGGGAAAAAAAAAAGGAGATGTTACTAAGAGAATGAAGGAGTAAAAGCCACCGTGTTACCTCAAGACTGTTGAATATACATCGCAACGTATACCTCCAGTACAGTACATAAGTATATCTGTCTTTTCCTTGTCAACATTTATCAAAGGGTCTAAAGGAGCTTCCTGTAGTGTACAAGCATAGTCAAAATTATCTACAGGATGTAAATAAAATAAACATTTTAGCTGCCAAAGTTTAGGATTAAATTGTACCTTTTCATCAGATAGCCCAAAAGAAGTGTTCCGAAAGCAATCAACTTCAGGTCTATGTGCCCCACGAAAATGACCAACATCCCACTCATAACCTGTTCAAATTAAATGTCTATCACCTCCAAAATATAGAGCAATATGTGTTACACTTAATGAATTAAGAACAACTGGAAATTAAGAATCAGCAAAGAATGATCAGTTATGTAAGTAGTAGATAACTAGAGAAATCAAGACTGTTCTGTTACTGTATACAAATGGAAAGGAAAAAAGATATACCGTTTCTGACATCCAATAATATGCAGCTTCTGCCACTACTTGAAGCTGACGCTTCATCGTCATCCGTTAAGTCTTTCAGTTTTCTTTTCCATTCAGATGGTTCTAAGGGTTTTGCTCGCATTGGTGGATCAAGCAGGGGAAGGTGTGAGATTCCTCCTTCATACTATACGAAAAAAAAGAACAGCAACTAATGTTGAGTAATCTTACACTGTATTACACAAGGCATTGCACTATCACGCATTTGAAGTAAGATATATGTCATCTTGAAAAATCCAACATAACATAAAAGTGGTGTAGCTTGCCTGCACTAAGGAAGGTTTGTTCTGTAGCTTCAACTTAGGGAACGCATGGCCATTGATAGCAGGAGACATCTGGACAAGTAAATCCGAGAATCTCTCATCTTCTTTCACCCATTCAACATATGCCAGAGCGTCTTTAGACGGCCCACTGTACTGCGGAAACAAAAAATTCAAGAAGTAAACATACAAAAATTTTCCTACCTTGATATAGTCACATGATATGAAAAGATCTCACAAATACTTTGATTAAATGTGGTGATTGCAAATGATAACAGTACCTGTGCGTTAATTCCTTGTTCATTGAGATATATCCGGCCACGTATATTCAAATCCTGTAAGGCAGAAAAACCATCAAATTACGACCCAAAGAGAATGTTCATAAATTCATTCTTGGCTAAAAAGGGTCAATTATTTAATTTTTTTTTGAATTTTGACAATTTCCATTCCAAACCAGACGGACCTTTAAGAAAGAAAGGTGCTTCGCAATCTCAGCCGATGGATCTCCGATTGATACAAACCGGTAGAAGTTTACAACAATGAAATCTTCTCCTTCGTTAGGAGCTTCCGATTTCGCGTAACCATTTCTTTCTCTGTTCCGGCATTTGCAGCAGAAGCTCCATCTTCTGCTAGATTTCTGTGAGACGAGACGTCCTGGCCGTGAGAAACTCTGATTACTGGAAACATTTTGTTTGAATCGAAGATGTTCGCCGGAGAAACGAGTTTTGATTGAAGCAAGAGGTAGTGGAATGGTTAAGGAGACTGAGAGTGAGAGTATTGCTGCCGGAGAAGCTCTCATTATCTTCTCGCGGGTTGGAGAAGAGACGGCATCAATCTTCTTTACCGTAAATAAACTTCGTTTGAATCTTTGGGTCGCCTAAGCCCAACTCAAGCCCATTACATGTGATATATTTAGGAAGATTGGTCAGAAAACCCGGTTTGCTCTCGGTTAGTTTTGGTTTCTTATTTTTTTTCTTTTCATCACAAGGCCACATGAATCAGAAATTCAGAACTACATCAGAGTTTCAACTTTCAACTTTCAACCGTCAACCCCTAACCGGATAAGATTGATAATTCAATGAAAGGGATTTCGTAATGGGTGATGGAAATATGACGTCGTGAAGCCTTGACTTTGACCGTAATTATTGCAAATCAAATAAATCTCTCACGTCAACGACTTCTTAGTTCTTACGATATGCTCGACCACAAACTAATAGTCAAACTAATACAGCGCATTTGCCCAAAAATCAGATATAAAAAGTATATACTAAAACGTGCGGCTTATAATTTATAAATAGAAACTCTTTTCAATTCATACTAGTAACGAGTAAGCTTACACAGAAAGAAAGCTTCCTACAATGTCATCACTTCTCTATGTCTTCCTCCTCTTCGCCGCCTTCATCAGCCACAGTGGAGAAGCCACCGAGCCCGCCGTCGAAGCAGTAAAGGACATCTACGGAAAACCTCTCCTAGCAGGCATCAGCTACTACGTCTTGCCTGTAGCTCGCGGCGGCGGCGGACTAACCGTCATCTTATCCGAGAACACAACATGTCCGAGAACCGTAGTCCAAGACCAATCCGAAGCCTCTCAAGGCTTACCGGTGGAGTTCTCACCATCAGTAACATCAAGAACCATCCCTGTCTCAACCGATCTAAACTTCCAGTTCTCTGCATTTACGATCTGGCGGTTAGACAGTTTCGACACGGATCAGTACTTCGTTTCAACTTGTGGCGTTGCAGGGAATCCGGGTCGGACAACGGTTAGTAACTGGTTCAAGATCGACAAATTCGAAGGTAATTACAAGATCCGGTTTTGTCCTAGCGTTTGCGATGTCTGCAGAGTCATGTGCAGAAACATTGGAGTGTTTGTGAAAGATGGAAAGAGAAGACTTTCTTTAAGTGATGTTCCATTGATAGTTAAGTTCAAAAAAGCATAGATACAAAACAAAATGTACAATGTTTGTATAATAATAAGGGACACCATCAATCAATAAAGAAGAGAAGATGTTTTTAATTCTTGTTTCTGCGTTCGCATAACATGCAGGATTCTCAAATAGTCTGATGGAAGATTAGATTCAAAGCTAAAATGTGGTGATTGCAATGTATAAGCTTTGGGTCGCCTAAGCGCAACTCAAGCCCATGACATGTTATATATTTCGGAAAATTGGTCAGAAAACCCGGTTTGCTCTCGGTTCGATTTGGTTTCTGATTTTTTTTCTTTGCTAAATCAGAAGACTATACATCAGACTAATCAGAGTATCAATTTTCAACTGTCAACTCCTAATCGGATAAGATTTATAAATCAATGAAAAGGGATTTCGTAAGGGGTGATCGAAATATGACGTTGTGAAGCCTTGCTATGGTTTTTCTGCGTTACAGGATTTGAAGCTCGACCACAAACTAATTTTTTTTTTGGTAAGTGGAGGGGAGACGAAAACTCGACCACAAACTAATATCAGATATAGTTTATACTTTATACTTTGATTTATAAAATACACAAACGTGCGGCTTATATAAATAGAAACTCTTTTCTTCCCTCTTTTCAATTCATACTAGTAACTAAAGAAAGAAACCTTCCTACAATGTCATCACTTCTGTATGTATTCCTCCTCTTCGCCGCCTTCATCAGCCACAGTGGAGCCGCCAGGCCCGCCACCGATCCCCCCGTCAAAGACATGTACAACAATCCTCTCATAGTAGGCATCAGATACTTCGTCTTGCCTCTAACTCCCGGCGGCGGCGGACTAACCTACATCGAAACCCAGAACACAACATGTCCGGGAACCGTAGTCCAAGACCAAAATGAAGCCTCTCGAGGCATACCGGTGAAGTTCTGGCCATCAGTTCAATCAACAACCGTCAATGTCTCAACTGATCTAAACGTCCAGTTCCCTGATTATACGATCTGGCGGTTAGACAGTTTCGGCACGGATCAGTACTTGGTTTCTATTTGTGGCGTTAGAGGGAATCCGGGTCGGGAAACGGTTAGTAACTGGTTCAAGATCGAGAAGTTTCAATTTAATTACAAGATCCGGTTTTGTCCTACCGTTTGCGATGAGTGCAGAGTCATGTGGAGAGACATTGGAGTGTTTGTGAAAGATGGAAAGAGAATACTTGCTTTAAGTGATGTTCCATTGATGGTTTTGTTCCAAAAAGCATAGATACAAACAAAATGTACAATGTTTGTATAATAATAACACCATCAGTCAATAAAGAAGAGAAGATGTTTTCATGTTAATGCTGTTCGCATAATATGCATCATTCTTTACCGTAAATAAGCTTTATGTCTAACTATACGCGGGTTTATTTTAAGATTTTGTAATAAAATCATGGAAAAGTATTAAACCAAATTTGATCATTTTAAAGTAAACAGAATAATATTAAAAACCCGATAAAAATATTTAAATAAAATAAGATCGGTAACCTTTTTACGTTTTTATTGTAATTGATATTTTTTTGAATTCATGATATAAAAAATGAATTAATTTGTTTTATTTTTATTTTTATCCAATATAGAAAGACTTATATATGTCTAAATATGATCAACTAATTAATTCAACAAAACTTTATTATTCCATTCAAGAGATTTCAATTGATGAAATCTTTATTTAATAATTTTTTACCTAACAATATTGAAAATATATTAAACTATTTAAAATTAGAATATCGGTTCATTATATTTTCTTAATATTAGTTAGTTGCTTGATAATTAATTTGTTAGTTTTCTATTTATATTGTTTCTTTCTCAATTTTGTTTTTGACTCAGACCATTATAAATTTTCATTTTCATTATTAGTTAGTTTTTTATTATCATTATTTTATTACACATATCGCAATTTTGTGAGTTATAAAAATCATACGTATTGCTATCATGTTGTTTGCTTTGATGAGTTTGTGAATGAGAAAAAAAAGACTACTTTAACTCTCTTTTTATAGGGTTCATGTAACTTATTCCATGCAGTTATAGGAAATTTAGTTTACCTAACCTATTTCATGTACTAATAGGATTTTATTTATTTCATTAATTTGAATCTTATATGTGTTTGGATAATATAAATTTGATGAATGAGAAACCTTTTTCTATTAGGATATGACAAATATAATTTTTTTTTCTTTTAACTATAAAAGATTAACTAAACCTAACCTATTTCATGTACTAATAGGATTTTATTTATTTCATTAATTTGAATCTTATATGTGTTTGGATAATATAAATTTGATGAATGAGAAACCTTTTTCTATTAGGATATGACAAATATATTTTTTTTTCTTTTAACTATAAAAGATTAAAATTTCGTTTTTTTCCTTTATCTAATTTTTTAATTATTATTTTTTTTTTTTTCTAAGACACATGTCACGATCTTAACGGACATAACATTAAAAGTGACACATGTCGTAATCCTAAATTTTATAAAAATCCTACGTGTCGCAACCACGTTGTGCGCATCCAGCTTTATATAATAAGATATAAGGCCTATGCCCAACTCAAGCTCCGGTTTAGGAAAAATGTCAGAAAATCCTGTTTGCTCTCGGTTCATTTTGGTTTCTGATTTCTTTCAACTGTCCACTCCAAACCGCCTCTCCTTGTCTGACAGAGTTTATAGAGTGGATAGGATTTACTGTACAATCCCTAATATATTAAAAGAGAAAACACTATAAAATAAACCTTTGTCTCATGTGTTATTAACAGAAATGTCATGCTGATGTGTCAACACCAGGTTCACTTTCAAGGTTAGTTTTAATTAAGACAAACATTACTAGACTAATTACATGTTATGCCATTCATATTTGGTTAGAGAATGAAATATATATGATTAATTTAGTCAGAAAAATAATTATTAATGAAAATTATTTTCTTTCAGTTTCCTTATTTGGTAATGACGAAAATTTATTTATTAGTCAATCAATCAGTAAAATATGGAAAGTTTTATTCAATTGTATTATATTAATTGTTTAAAAATTAATTTATTCATCTATCATTTTTGTTTAGCTTTACTTTCAAGAATAAATTATATCATCACATCAAAATATTTAAAAAAAGAAAATTAGTTTTTTTCTACATATGCTATGGTTTGAATTTTTAAAAATGAAGCAAATCTCTAAAAATGTTAAATGTCCCACATGATTATATTTTGGGATAATAGTTCAAAAACCTATTATAAAATAGGATCCAAATAATGATCAACCATAATCACAAATAGGAAAGAAAAATTTACCATGTTTGGAAATCTTTAAAATTTCTTTTATTCGATTTAATTTGATTCTTTAATTGAATTAAATAATTAAATCGTATTTTTTAATATTTTGGTTTGATCAAAATTTTAAACGTAATAAATTCTAATAACTTATCATATAAGTTAAATTATTTTAGTTATTTAAAATTGATAAAAACATAAAATATATATGCCATTTTATATTTATCAAAATATAAAATTATTTTAAATGTATTAAAATTTAATATATATGTGGGTTCGGAAAGGGAGAAACTGTTGTTAAAGCAAATGTTAGATTACCACACTGTAAACGATGACAAAAATCAAACCAGGCTAAAAAAATATGCATCACTCAAAATTTCGTCTAATGTAAATTGACATTTTTTTAATTGTCTAACACTCTATGTTCCTAAAATTGTATGTAAATAGACATCTTTTAATAAAATCAAATTGAGAAAATATCACCCCGTGCAAGGCGCGGGTCAAACTCTAAGTATCCATTATTCAATGAGATGGATTTCGTAAGGAGTGATCCAAACATGACGTCACGAAGCCTTGACTTTGACCGTAATTATTGTAAATCAGATACAACTCTCACGTCAACGACTTCTTAGTTCTTACAATATGCTCGACCACCAACTAATACAGCTCATTTTCCCAAGATCGGTTATAAAATATATGCGTGCAGCTTATGTATAGAAACTTTTTTCTTCTCTCTTTTCAATTCATACTAGTAACGAGTAAGCTTTACATAGAAAGAAAGCTTCCTACAATGTCATCACTTCTCTATGTCTTCCTCCTCTTCGCCGCCTTCATCAGCCACAATGGGGCCGCCGTCGAACCAGTAAAGGACATCTACGGCAAACCTCTCCTAGTAGGAATCAGCTACTTCGTCTTGCCTGTAGTCCGTGGCGGCGGCGTACTAACCGTCATCGAATCCGAGAACACAACATGCCCGACAACCGTAGTCCAAGACCAATCAAAATTCGCTCAAGGCATGCCGTTGGAATTCTTACCATCAGTAAAGTCAAGAACCATCCCTGTCTCAACTGATCTCAACTTCCAGTTCACTACATATACGATCTGGGAGTTAGACAATTTCGACGAGACGACGAATCAGTGGTTCGTTTCAACTTGCGGCGAGATAGGGAATCCAGGTCGGGAAACGGTTGATAACTGGTTCAAGATCGACAAATTCGAAGGTAACTACAAGATCCGGTTTTGTCCTAGCGTTTGCAATTTCTGCAAAGTGATGTGCAGAGACATTGGCGTGTTTGTGAAAGATGGAAAGAGAAGACTTGCTTTGAGTGATGTTCCATTGATAGTCAAGTTCAAAAAAGCATAAATACAAACAAAATGCACAATGTTTGTATAATAATTAATAACAACACCATCAATCAATAAAGAAGAAGATGTTTTCATTTTCCAATGCTTGTTTCTGCGTCTTAATCTATAAATCCTTTTAGAAATCATCACCACGGAAGAAAGGTCCGTTGAAGAAGGAAGTGGAGAAAGTACCTCCACTGTTAGGGAAGAGAGTGAGGAAACAAATGAGTCCAAGGACTAAGCCCCAAGCGAACCTGTCGTCGCCGAGAGGTGTGATTTCGTCTTTCGCAGGTGTTTCTTCACCACCGCGGAAGAAGGTTGCGAAAAGCCCCCACGCCAAACACAAGACGCTTCCGCTGATACCTCCGATGCCAAGAAGTAAAGATGTGGCAAATGAGAGAACTGAAGCCGTGCTTCTTCCAAACATGGCTTGAGCGATTCGTCCTCCTTCGAGTCTTCCACACGGTAACAAGTTCAGTGAAGTCACTACCATACCTGAAAAAAAGTACATTACGGTTTAGTAAACAGAAGAAACAAACTAATGAATGTATGAAACTAACACAAGCTATGATGAAACTTACCCAAAAGACCAGCGAAAGCAAGCGGATCAACAGGAACTCCAACTCCTTCAACCGCGTTAGGCAACACATTGCCAAGATCATCCGCGTAAGGACCAATCACGAATTGGATAAACGAAAGCAACGGGTTGTTATCTAAGAACTGTGGTCTTATAAACCTACACAAAATTAAAAGAAAAAAACCATCAGATACACAAATGAGCATAGAAACAGTATGTAAAAAAGGAATTACATGTTAATGAATATCCTTACAAGGCATTGTCTCCTCCATTGAAACTACCATCAGATATAAACGCAGCAGCTGCAAGAAGAAGCGAAGTCAAGTATGCACTAGCGGTTCTCGCTACCGGGATGTCAAATAACGCCTTTTTATTAGGAAGCAGTGACTCGTAATTGTTCATAACTCCTAAGCAACCAGTCCAACTCGATGGCACCAGGAACGACGGGCTTAGTTTGACGCCGTGTCGTGCAGCTGTTACTCTGGTTGCAATCTGAAACAAACAACAGTCAAGGATTCTCTTAATTCACACTTCAACATCAGACATTTTGGAGCTAGCAATCTTGGTTTGGTTATTGGTTTACCTCTGAGACGCCTAAAATGGAAAGGAACCCACCAAAAAGAGGAACAACATTAGCAATGTAGTCATCAATAGTGGCGTCAGGTTTAAGAAAGAAGCCACTCATGAGAGCTATGGTTCCAAAGGTCGTAACGCATAAACTTATTGCAGTAATATATCCCCAAGGAGTGCTTAATCTGGTTGATTCAAACTGAAGATCGATTTCCGCTTTCGGCTGCACCATACACACCTTCACAATCACAAAGAAACAAAACAATCCACAATTTTTTAGCCTTAATCCTGAGATTGAACATCAAAGTAGAAAGCCTTCTCTTTCATACCTGTTTTGTGATCTCATTGGACTTCTCTTCCATGAACCACACGACAACGTCGCGTCCGGCTGCTTCTGACAGCTTAGCTTCGAGCTTAGGTGTGACCTCATCAATGGGTTTCCTCAGATTCCCAATGAAGATCCCTCCGTCTCCAAACCGGCGAACGTCCGTTGCGAAAAACGTATCGAAACCAAAACAGCTCTTTAACTGTTTTATAAATCAAAAACAGTTTCAAAACGATTGCAATCCAAAAATTTGAGAAGACTTTGTGATGATTTAAGTTAAGTAATTTACCTTGTTGAGATCAAGAGCTTTGAAAGTCTCTTCAGCTTTCTCAAGCCTTTCTTTCTCTCTGGTCAAACTATCACGAGCCAAGCTGTTGAATATTCCGATGATCGGATTCTCGCTGTTGCTCTCTCTGTTCAGCTCTTTCAGCTTGCGATCGGTTCTCGTCTTCTCAAGCTTAATCGCTGCTTCGATTGATGGATTCCCCATGAATCTCTTGAACTCCTCGTCCGTTTTCCAGTCCATCTCTTGCTGCTTCGATTTCTTCTCATCTTCCTCTTCATTGTTTTCCGGAGAAGGCGGCGCATTATTGTTGTCATGGTCCCCCTTGTGCTCCTCCGCTATAGCCACCGGAGACGAAGCTTCGTTTGCAGGCTCACGAACTCGGTCATCTTCCGCTGAAAACCTCAACGGACTTCTGCGTCTTGTAGTCTGATTCACTCCAAATTTCGGAGATATGTGATTGTAACGGCGACGAAGAGGTGAATTGCGACAGGAATGGAGAGCTAAGGAAGATGAAGAGGGAGTAGAAACAAAGAGGGAAGCCATAGTTTACGAAAATTCAGAAAATTTGAAATGTGACGATGACGAAACATCTCTCTGAGAAATAATTTAAAGGGAGATGAAAGAAACGTCAGGAAAGTTTGAGAAGAAACTCGAACAATACAGGTGGAGAGGTTAAGTGCCAAATAAGCTCTGCGACGAGACAAAGTGTCACATCTTCAAATCCAATCCACATGGTGAAGGAGATGAGAGAACTAGATTCACTGTGAAATAAATAATCAAAGGGATTTAAGACATAAATCAACCAATTGGATAAAACCTTGAGTCATTAGAGAGGGAAAACAAGAATCTGGTAGGAAACACTACAAAAAAGATGGACGAGCGAACAAACATTTATAAAAAAAGATATGTAAAAATCCAAGTGCGGTTTGTCTTTTTTGTTGTTGGTCTGGTCTCGCTCTTTCTCTCTAAGAAGAAGCAGCAGCTACTTTCTCTTCAGCAGCACCTTCGAATGTCTCTCCAACGAGGTCTGGGACATCATCATCATCCTCCTCTTCGATTGTTGCAGAGGCGTTGCCTTGACCCTGTTTCTGGAACTGCTCAGCTAGCTTCTTCAAGTTGTCCATGTTGTCTGGTCCTGAAAGATATCAAAGTAAACACTACTCTAAGGATCTTTAATCTGAGGAAGATAAAAAAGTAAGAGGTACATTAACATGGTACATACCGAGTTGGCTGATAATCTGGGGAAGGATATCTTGTAATTCTACAGGAAAGCAACATGTTTTACATTAATAAAAGTAGGATAAAAATGGCGAAGAAGAAAATAGAGATGAAAAGATTATCAGAAGCATACTTTTGGTCTGAGGAGTTCCGCTAACGACCCATGTGTTTGCAGCAATTGAAGCTTGAACTGTATTAACATCCAAAACAAGACAACTTAATGGATCAACAACATGAAAACGTCTTATGAAATTCAGAGTTTATAAAAGAAAAGGCTAAAATAAGACTTACCCTTAGGGTTGATGAACTGGATGACAACATCATCCTTAAAGATGTTAACTTCTTCAATTGCTGGAATTGAGTTGACTCCAATTCTCTTCAGAGTGCTCTGGAGTCTCTTGTCATCAGTTGTATTTGTCTTGTGCACAGCCTTGTGCTTTCTGCAGTTACAATTAAAAAAACGGTTTATATAGCAGAAATTAAACAGTAAGTGCGAAAGACTCAATCATGCAATTGGAAAAACAAAAAAACAATACCTCCTGACTGTACCCTTTCCGCCAGTGCGGACAGTGTTAGCCATCTTCATCAACTTCTCCCGATTCATCTGTAAATAAACCATACAAAGCCAAAATCATTAAATCCCAATCTCGAAAGTGCATTCATGAGATTCAATAGTACTTATAGAACTTTCCTCTAATACAGAAATCACTAAGAACAAAGTAGTGAAAGTTCTGTTGCCACATCTATAATAACCAAAACAATAAGAAGGTAGACGCGCAATCAAATTTGAACTCAGATGCGTACGAAGACGAGCTAATGGTGCTATGAGCTTAACCTAAGAATCGATTACGTAACCTCTTTTTGATTCAAGATACACAGAATTAGCAAACAAGTAAACATCGTCTTCAAAACTCATTTCGAATCCACACAAAAAAAGCGAAACGAATCGAGGAAAAACAAAGGCATCTGAAATTGATCCCAACCCATTTGGAAACCTCTAAAATTCGGAGAAAAACCTTTAAATCGATAAGCCAAAGTATAGAGAGTGGTGGATTTACCTTGAGATTTGATTATTAGGGATTAGGGTTCTTTTTTCTTCGGCGAGAGTAAGGAGATAAGAAGTGAAGAGAGAGAAGAGAGACGCGGGCGGCGCAGGAGGGTTTTGATCTTTAACTATATGCTATTCGGGGCCAAGCTCCTCTCTTAATCCTACGGTTTATATTAAACGTTCCTTAAAAGAAGCCTCCTTCTCTACCGTCGGATCGTCTAACAAGGCTTAATTAGCAATTGTGGCCCAATCATAGGCCCAGACTAAGTTACGCCATTTCATATTTACGTGGCTCTTTTTTGTGCAGCCATTTCGTTTCTCGGCTTAACAAAATTTCACAATCGATACTATCGATTGCCACGTTCTATCGCGGTGCAATGGGACGTTTGTGTTTATCAATGAACCGACTTGTTGTTAGTTGACAAAAATTGAGTACAGAAGAAGCTCATTGATTATTCATAATCTCAACATTGGTTTTATTGCATTATTAAGTTTTCTCAACTTGCTCTCGGTATATGAAATCCATGAATACAAAATGTTACATTAGATAGAGATATAGAACCAAAACGCAAACGCATTTATCACATAACGCGATTTTAAACAACCGCACTTACCCTGAAACTGTTTTCTTCTTCTACTGCTTCTTCTGCACAACATTCTCCAAATACCAATCATAAGTCTGCCGGAGACCATCTTTAACAGAAACCTTCGGTGTCCATCCCAAAGACGCGAGCTTAGAGCTATCCATCAGCTTCCTCGGCGTCCCATCTGGCTTCGTGCAATCCCAAACAAGCTTCCCTTTAAACCCAACAACTTCCTTCACAAGCTCTGCCAATTCTTTGATCGTCACTTCAACGCCACTCCCTACGTTAACATGCTCGAATCCGCTGTATCGATCCATCAAGAAAACGCAAGCATCGGCCAAATCATCGACGTGCAAGAACTCCCTCAACGGGCTTCCGCTTCCCCAAACCACAACTTCCTCAGCATCGTTGGCTTTCGCTTCATGGAACCTCCTCATGAGCGCAGGAAGCACGTGCGAATTCTCCGGGTGGAAATTGTCGTTGGGACCGTAGAGATTCGTCGGCATACCGGAGATCGCGTCCCACTGGTGCTGAATCCGGTACGCTTGGCACATTTTAATCCCCGCGATCTTGGCGATTGCGTACCATTCGTTTGTCGGTTCGAGCGGACCGGTGAGAAGAGCTGATTCGGGGATTGGCTGAGGAGCGAATTTGGGGTAGATGCAGGAGGAGCCGAGGAAGAGGAGTTTCTTCACGCCGTGTGTGTAAGCGGAGTGGATCACATTGGTTTGGATCTGGAGGTTGACGCCGATGAAATCAGCTGGGTATGTGTTGTTGGCGTGGATCCCACCGACTTTGGCTGCGGCGAGGATGACGTAAACCGGTTTCTCTGTAGCGAAGAAGGATTCGACGTCGGATTGGCTTGTGAGGTCGAGCTCGGAATGGGTTTTAAGGACGAGGTTTGTGAAGCCCGATTCCTGGAGCTTGCGGACTATGGCGGATCCGACTAATCCTCTGTGGCCAGCGACGAAGATTTTGGCGGATTTATCAGACATAAACGAACCTAATTTCATCTCTGCAGATAACTACGAGAAATTAAATACCTTAGAATTTTCAAAATTTCCACGAAAAATCTAAATTCAATTCCGCAATCATGTTCATTTGCAAGTTTCGATCTAAATGTTTTCATATGAAAACCTTATATTCAGATAAAGATATATAGAGAGAGGCGCAATTCGAAGATTGACGTACCGGATTCTGTAGAGTCCGCCATTGTTGAGCTCAAAAAACTTTCAAGAGCAAAAAAGGTTTTATGCAGGAAGGTGAGAGATAGAGAGAAAAGGGATATTGACTTATAGCTACCAGATTTTCGAAGTCAACGAATTAGAAGCGTAGATTTGTAGGTAAAGGTTACATTCCTCGGAGAATGTAAAATGGAGGCGATCTGAAACTCCGCCGGCGATCTGAATCGGTGTCGGCCATTTTTATTATTATTCAACTCAGCATTCAGATAGTCATGGCCCATGGGCCTTAAACAAGTCATTATATGGTGCTGCACTGTTAACGGAATAACGGGACTATATTAATCTGATTCAATCAAATTGTTGTGGATTTGTGATGACGAAATTGGCGCCGTAATAAGTAATAAACAAGGGAAACAGAACCCCTTTTGGGTTTGAATTTTTTTTACATCGAACCCCTTTTTTATTATGAAAAATGAGGTAGCAAACAATGAAAAACATTTTAAAAATGAAATCAACATTACTACCCTAACCTTGTAAGCATTACAGACTTGCAATAAAAGATTGATTCCATCGACATGATTGAATGAGAGGATTGCAAACACATACAAGTTGGTAGTTGCAAATGCTGTGGTGACCCGCAATGGTAAGTACATATTATAGTGTTCTTAGACCTCTTCTTTACAGAATAATTAAGAAGAAGAATAAAAATCAATTTTAGTGAATAGAAATTTCGTCCATAAGCCTTTTGAGAAGAGGAAAGAAGGGAAGGACTTGGTACTCAAAGAAGATGAAGTTTTAAACTGATTGGTTGCAACTTTGAGCTTAAATAAATAAAAAAGGAATGTTGGACGTTGACTGTGATATTGTGAGAGCTATCAGATATTCGTCACTGTTTGATTTCTTCCAAGGCCAAAACTGTTACTTGCATAACAAACAAGTAGCATTGCACCAGAACGGGTCTAAAGTAACAATTTGAAGAACTTTACCTATAAGTATCCGTCTCATCCGTGCTTGCTTGTTTAACAAGGAAGAGTCAAAATTTACAGCATCATGAGGAGCAACACGAATTACTCCTTCCTGAATCTCCTCTCTTTTCTAATCCTACCAAACCTTATTTCTCCTCTCTTTTCTAATCCTACCAAACCTTATTTCAGGCTTTTGTACACCCAAATGTGGAGAAATCCAAATCCCGTTCCCTTTTGGAATCGAAGACGGTTGCTATCTCGACGAGTGGTACAGAATTGAATGTCTGAACAATGCTACTTCAGGGAAAGATTTCCCGTTCCTTTTCAAGATGAAGATGGAGGTCGTGGATATTTCCCTTCCGGCGGCCAATTATGATCTCTCATCTAGCAACCGAAAATTTTCTTCAGTTCGTGTCAAAAGCCCGATCACATCCGTGGGATGTTCTAGCGATGGAAAAGAGTCCGGATCGGATTTTAATTTGACGGACACTCCTTTTTTTCTTTGGGAATGGAAACAATCTCGTAGCTATTGGTTGCAACAACAAGGTATCATTGACTAATGTTGAACCAAAGATGGTGGGATGCGAGTCGACTTGCACTACAAGCAACAATTCGCAGAGCATCCCATTTTTCGATAAAGTTGGATGCTCTACGTACCGCCAAATAACGACATGGATGTTGCCAACCAACTACGTACCGGTTTGCAATACAACGAAAAAAGAGGAAGACACCATCTGCAACGGGAAGGGATGCTGCCAGGTCAAAGCACCCGAGGGTGGTCAACAGCTCATTGGTATCACAATAGCGAACATTAGTAATGGAAACTTGACGACGGGAGGAGATTGCAAAGTCGCCTTCTTAACCGATGAAGACTACACTTTACTAAATGTAACCACACCAGAATTTTTTTTTCTCTAAGGGATACGCTACTGTTACCCTTGGATGGTTCATCCGAACGAAAAATTCGTCGTTTCTACAATCCTTGGGATGCCAAAACAGAGAAGAATTTGATGAAAGAGTCTCTTATATGCGCAGAGCAAAATGCACATGCGATAATCATACAATTTCTGGGATGAGTTATGCTAGTTGTGCATGTTTTCAGGGTTGTCGGGGTAATCCATATGTTGTTGACAAATGCATAGGTAAAGAGGCGAAGGTAATCCATATGTACCAGGAAATGTAATCTATATTCATATCAACTGAGTACAATTTTACGAATTTTCGTATGCAGAAATAAATGAGTGCCTTGACAACCCTTGTGGAAGTGACAAAACTTGTAAGGACACGCCGGAAGGTTATGAATGCAAGAGCCGCCATATTCCAGAAATATTGACAGGTAAGTGACGAAGTTTTTATATTTAAGCATAAAGTCTTTATGCTACTTGAAAAAATGAGAATGAACATCTAGGTTTTCTTGTGCGGGGTTTGCAGGTTTAGGTACAGGTATTACTGTATTAGCTTTAGTCGGTGGAACATGGTGGTTGAGAAAGTTTCTTAAAAAGAAAAGGACGACAAAGCGCAAGAGGAAGTTCTTCAAACGTAACGGAGGACTATTGTTGCAGCAACAGTTGCATACAACTCAAGGGAACGTCGAGAAGACCAAAATATTCACCTCGAGGGAGCTAGAGAAAGCCACTGAAAATTTCAGCGTAAACAGAATTGTTGGACAAGGTGGTCAAGGAACTGTATACAAAGGCATGCTTGTAGATGGAAGATCCGTGGCAGTCAAGAAATCCAACGTTGTAGATGAAGACAAACTACAAGAGTTCATCAACGAGGTCATGATTCTCTCCCAGATCAACCACAGACACGTCGTGAAACTCTTGGGATGTTGCCTTGAGACAGAAGTTCCCGTTCTTGTTTACGAGTTTATCACCAACGGAAACCTCTTCCAGCACCTCCATGAAGAATTTGATGACTACACAGTGTTATGGGGAGTGCGCATGCGCATAGCCGTAGATATCGCAGCAGCTTTTTCGTATCTACACTCTGCTGCGTCTTCTCCAATTTACCACAGAGATATCAAGTCAACAAACATATTGCTGGATGAGAAGTACAGAGCCAAGGTGTCTGATTTTGGAACATCAAGATCAGTTACCATAGATCATACTCATTGGACAACGGTGATCTCGGGCACAGTCGGGTATGTGGATCCAGAGTACTACGGGTCAAGCCATTTTACTGAAAAGAGCGATGTTTATAGTTTTGGAGTTGTCCTAGTGGAGCTTATCACTGGAGAGAAGCCTGTTATAACTCTTTTGAATACTCAAGAAATAACAGGGTTAGCAGATTATTTCAGGCTTGCGATGAAAGAGAATCGACTCTTTGAGATCATTGATGCTCGGATAAGAAATGATTGCAAGCTTGAGCAAGTGATTGCAGTGGCGAATCTGGCCATGAGGTGTTTGAAGAAGACAGGGAAGAGCCGGCCAGATATGAGAGAAGTTTCTACAGCGTTGCAGAGGATCTGCTCGTCTCTGGAGGATTTTCTGGTGCAAATCCAAATTGATGGAGACGAGAAGTTACACAGAGGAGATTCTTGGAGCACGGTGGCTGCAAGAACAGTGTGAGGTAATAATGGAATGTTACTGGATTGTGTTCTCAAAGAGTTTTGAGTAGTAAAGGGCTTGTAAAGTTTCTGATGTATTTATTGTGGTTATGATTTACGTAGACAACAAGTTTTCTACTTTTCAGTTCCTTTGCTTGACCTAACATCATCTTATGTTGATGAACAGATTCTAAATCATAATTCAATAGTAAGAAAGAGATTAAGGCTAGGAAAAGAGTAACTTAACAATTGTAATTAGACAAAATAAATAAACAAACAGAAGTCAATGCCCGAACCATATTGTGCATGGTGCGTTCTTGACTCCCACTTCCACTAAATATTACCAATTCCAAAAAACAAAACTAAAGAAAAAAAGAAACCCCAAAATGAACAAGAGAGTGAGAGAGAGAGAGAGACAAGACTACTGATTTTCTTACACTCTTTGAAGGCATTGAAGGCAAAACAAGTACCTTAATAACTCTTTTTCACTTCTCTGATCATTGAAGACCCTTCTCAGAAAATCAGATGGGAAAATGAGCTTTTAATGGCAGCTCCTCAAGCAGTTGAAGGACAATTCAAGGTGGTTTTAATTTGGTGGACAGTGGTACTGATGAGATTATTAACTGTTTCCATTGACTCCATATTCAATTTTGCTGACTGCAAACTACTCACCATTATCTGAAACCCAACCGTTATCAATGAACCACCTCCTTCTCCTCCTTTGTGCTCTCCGGTTTGGTTACTGCCGGTTCCATCTGGTGAAATGGCGAATCCCGAGGGTAAGATGGGGGTATAAGATGTGTCTTGGCCGCTCATTGCTATGTTCAGTCCTTGTAGATCCACTGGTGTGTAGACCACGAGAGACCCTGATGAGTCTATGCAGCTTTCTTGTAGAATCAGCATGTTATTTTGTGACGTTGATGCATTGAAGCCCTAATCAGGAAAGAAATAAGTAATATGCCAAAACGATCAATCAGTAAGTTTCAAGAACCGAATAAGAACTGTAAAAAAGTTTCAAATGAGGTTAGCTTACACGAAGAACAGAAACACAGTTTCCAGGATGTGATCCGTTTGCCATTCTTGAAACTTCTTGAACAGAATTTCCATCTAAAAGAACGTCCCACTATAAAAACCAAAACAGAGAAACATCAGAAAACGTATAAATGTTACACGAAAGAATGTCAAACGAATGTAGTGGTACCTGAGGCCTAGTTCTCTCATCTTTGAGGAAATTGAAGACGTTTAGTGGAGAGATTGGGAGCCAGAAACTAGTGGCTGCACATAGAACCATCCCATTTGGTTCATGCTGGCTCTTGTACGAAGTCACACGGATTCCAAACCCGTCCATTCCCGAAACAACCGTTGATCGGTTATTGTTAGACGTGCCAACACTCAAGCAAAAGTTGCTCACCATTCTCTGAGCAAGTCTCATCATGCTTCTCTTCCCTTCCGGCGATGGAACCACTGAGAATTTATTTCATCAAAATAAGTTACTTATGGATTCATAAAGTTGATTGATTAAGAGGATCTTTAAACCTCTTTTAGTTTACCTCCTCCAAGATCACAGGTTGATGTTGCTGGTTCCAATAGACTCGCGAATCTCTCGCACATTCTTTGGAGAGTAGCAATCCAACGTTCAGCTCCAAAAGCTAACCCTTTACGAACACTGTCTTGAAACATCTCATGAACATGAACATGTTCTTGCTCCTCGACTTCAACATGTTCCATCCACGTAACCTGTTTATGTATTTGTATAATCGAAAGATGTGATCAAATGATTCAAGATATGCTAGAACATAATGAAATGAAGAAGAACGGTTATAACACACCTTGGAGTAACCATTGGACATGTCTTGAATCAAGCTACCAGAAGGAAGTTTGTATGAACGAGAATGAGATACAAACTGAGGTAACTCATAAGAGACATTTACAATTGCCCAAGTTCCATTCTCGATTTGCTGACAATACTTTAGCACACAGAACTCACGCGTCGCTACCAATGGCGTAAGCACTTGAAGCTCTTCAAGCATCTATCACAAGCCAAACCAAAAGTTATTCAAAAACTTTCACACACAAACAAAATAATCTTTACAAGTTATCTTTTTATTTACCAAATGCAATTCATTTGAAACCACTGCAAGGGTTTTAGAGGCTGCAACCATAGAGGGAAAAAGCTCTGCTGATTTGACCTGCAAATTAAATGAAAAAAAACATATAAGAGAGAAAAAAAATCAGAAACCAAATGTGCAAACACTTCAACTTTGGTTATTTACTTACAGAGTCCATGAGCATGTTCACAAGTGTACTAGCATTAGTGAAAACAACACCAGAAGATCTTGATGCTTCTGTCCGAAGGTTATGGTGTTTCCCTCCGCGACTACTTGATCTTGGGAAGGTTTTCTCATAGCTTTCGAGATTGAGAACGTCTCTGCATCCGTCACCAGTTTTGATCCATAGAGGCTCGTTTGTTTGAAGAAGCCTAAGGAACTCTTCCATGGCGTTCATAGCAATGCTGGTCATAAGAGACTTGTCCATGTCTGATAAAGCCAAGTTTGGTTGAGTTGGTGGTAAACCAGGAACAGGCATTGAAGAACAGCTCCCTGGAAGAAGATCAAAATCAAGCGAAGGACCGGTGTGGAACAACTCTAACGGCGAAACTTGCATGGGGTTTAGTAATGGTGGGAGATGAGAGGTTGGTCTCCCTATGAATTTAGCTGCAATGCTTGAAACCCTTTCCAGCTGCAAAAAAAAAAAAAAAAAAACATAATGGAAGTTTAAACCAGAAACCAATCACATTGCATCAAAAAGGTTTAACAAAAAAAAACAAGAACCTCTGCTCTAAGCTGTGCGTTTTCGATGCGAAGCTTTTGTTCATCGAAGTAAGAGTCTTCATTGACAGGAGAATCACCACAGTTAGGGCAAATGGCGCGTTTGATAGCTTCTCTAATCGCAAGGTTTTCGCAACGAATCTTATCATTCTCGTCCTTGAGTGCACAGTTATCAGCTCTCTCGTGTTGTGCCTTCAAATAAAAAAAGAAGAAAGAGAAGCAAAATTAGGATTTTCTTTTTGTGATGGAGACAAAACAAGAGAGAGAGAGAGAGAGAGAGAAAGTAAAAAGTTAAAAACCTTCTTTTGTGTTCTTCTGTTCTGAAACCAGAACTTGATCTGTCTAGGAGCTAAACCCAGTTCTCTGCTAAGTTGCTTCCTCTGTTTCTCATCTGGATGTGCACACTCATTGAAAGTTCTGCAAACAACAAACAAAATCATCAGAGAAACAGACAAAAAAAACAAAAAAAGAGAAAACTTAAGAAAGAAAGAGCTCATACGATTCGAGCCGTTGGATCTGGTGAGGTGTGTGACGATGGAAACGCTTCTTCTTCTTCTTCTTGTCAGTTTCAGAGCCGTCGTGATTTTGGCTCTCGCCGATAAACTCCATCTTCACTCAAAAAGTAATGTGTAGACGAAGATAACAGTAACAAAGCCCTTTTGACCAAACTTACTAACACTGGACCATCACACAACTGTCGCCATTAACGCAACCAAGGGAGAGAAAAAAAAAAGTTCCAAACTTTACACACAAAAAAAAAAGGTAAGAGCTTGAAAGTGTGAAAGAGAGGATTTTTAAAGAAGGGAAAGAAAAGAAACGGACGAGAATCTGAGAAAAGATATTGAGGGGAAGGAGAAAAGGCTAGATTTGGTATCCGATAATATCCAAGTTTTTAACATAAGAAGAATCTCTCTCTCTCTCTCGTAGTACCCAATGAAATCCCCAAAATTTTCAAAATCAAATTCGTAGCCCGTAGTTATGTCTCTTCTCGCTCTCTACAGAGAGAGAGAGAGAGAGAGAGAGAGTAATTGATGTCATCGGCATTTCATCTCGAGCCTATCATAAGCCGCCATTAGTGCGTTCCTCTCTCCCACCTTTCGCTCCTTTTACATTCATTACAGATTCCATAATCTCTCTCTCTCTCTCTCTCTCTCTCTCTCTCTCTCTCTCTCTCTCTCTTACCTGTATCCCCTTGAGAAATTGCGGAACTGATACTGATGGGTTTTTAATGGCGTTTGACAGAGGGTGAAGAGAGAGAGGTTATGGGTTTTTAATTCTCTTGCTCCTTTCTCCATTACTCTAGCTGCCAAGTACTCTCTCTCTCTCACTGTATTCGAGGGAGAGAGAGACAGAGATGACTGAAACCAACCCTTTCTCTTTCTCTTTACCTTCATTTTAAAAACCCGGAGGGAATAGTTCCGATAAATTTTAATGGTGGGTAAGTCGCCGGCGAGTTTAAAAATCGACGGAGATTTACAAAACCGGCGACTTTATCCACTTTCTCATTGTCGTGTAATGACAAAAGTCAACTTTTCTTTGGAGTTTTGCTGACCTCATCTTCTCCTCTTTTTCTTCCTTTCCGTTTTTTTGTTTATTCATTATTTTACTCTCTCAAGTCAACTGTATTTTTAAAAGAACACCATGGCATGAAGTAAAAAACTTTGAAGACAAAGAAACAAATTTAAAGCTTGAAATATTTTTTTTTCTTTTTTCGAGTACTGAGATTTGAGAGTGATACCATCAAATAAAATTGCATAATAGTATTTGTTAAAATTATACAATTGTCATCACTGTAGGAAACCTCTAGTTGCTGATCATATACTAGAGTGAAATAACATTCAGTGACATTATGGTTTGCTAAACCCAAAATCTGCAGCTACCATGAAACTTTGTAGTTAGAACCCAACCAGTCGAAAATTCTCTTCAATATATGTACCCTCTTTCATACTCTCAAGTCTTAAAGATACCAAACCAAGATCCCTTTACTTCTAAAGTCAAACAATTACTATCAAAGTACATAATAACATAAACGCTTGTTAGAGCATAAATTCAAGTGATGATGATGAGGCTTACATCTTCCTATTAAGTGGCTGCCTGAAGCTATCTGAAGGGTCATGCTTTGTTACACTTTTCATTCGCTCCACTCCGTTGGTTCCTCCCTCCGCTTCCGTTTATTTGTTGTTGTTGAAGCTTCATACCAATCTCCTACTCTCAAGGCATTTGACATTGACATCACTGCTTCTTCAATCGCTTCTCTCTCCTCTGGATGTAGATCCTCTAGTGACAACGTTGAGGCCACCTCGTCAAATTGGAGTATAGCAGCTTGCTACAAAAGACAAAAAAGAATGTTATAAAAAAGCACAATCTCAAGGTGATAACACATATATAGCCAAGAAAGATGATTCATTCCAGCCTTTTACCACATTCATTATATCAGCTTCGAGACTTGTGTCTCTGTGAAGCTTTGGGACTGTGATGCTATTGAACCACTGCATATATTCAGTCTCATCACCATTCCCTCCTCCTACATTCTCCACAATTCTTTCCCTTCGTCTCATCCATTCTTCGTCTGCTGTGTTCATGTCCTCCACCAAGTCTTCGTCATGGCTTTTCTCGTTTTTCCTCGGAGGAACATCTCCCGGGATAACTTGGCATAAACCGAACTGCTTCATGCATCGATCTGGGAAGTGCCATTCCACTACTTTTGGACCAATCAGTTTTGTTCTTGACCTACCAAGTAGTAGATTATCTTTGACACTTTGCGGCACAATGTCAAGATCTCCTTCAAAGGGGCACCAACTAACCTAAAGAGTAAAGATAATCCAGTGGTAAGAATAAGAAACAATTAGGGATTCAAGACCAAGAAATGTCTAAGAAAAAGTGATTCTCTCACATTTGATGGATCTAGATCGTCAAGTGACTTGCGGTACTTAAACAAGTCGTTCTTGGACCGACTCTGTTGCCTTCCTTTCCACAAAAGTGCCAGTGGAAACTGACGAGTGGTTCTCTTTGGCCGGTCAATATTCAAGTGGAAGTAACTCCAACACTAATAAACAGTAACACAATTAATTAAGACAGAAACATGAAGCTCTTAAAACAGAAATACAGAACAAAGAAAACAAACCTGTAACAGCGTCAAGCAACCACCAATGATACTCTGAGACCGTTGAGAGGCATTCCCAATCTGCCTATACAAGAAAGCTAACGCCGCAGCACCCCAAGCGTACTCACCAGCTCTCTCAAAATCCTCAAAGAGCATAAGGTAATCAACAGAGATCTTACTAGGATCCGTAGTTGCAAAAATCGTACTACCAATAAGGTATATAAGATAAGCACGAGTGTGATACTCGACCTCTTTCGTCGTAGCTCCCTTTGGACACTCTGCGAAACTCTCTTTCAGCCATTTCGCAGTCACTCGGTTACCGCTCAGCTCGCCTTTCGGTAGCTTCCCCAAGAGTCTCTGGCAGACTTGAGAAGGGTCTTCGTCTTTCTCTTTCACACCAACCACGGGTTTTCCATCGACAGCGAGACCGAGGATCAACGAAACCTCGTCGAGAGTGATTGTCATTTCGCCGCAGGGGAAGTGGAACGTGTTGGTTTCTCTTCTCCATCTCTCGACTAAGGCAGAGATGAGGGAATTGTTTAAGCTTATCGATCCTATTAGCCTAAACCAGCCAAAACCTGCTTTCTCCACTAACTCTATTTGCTCGTTTGTGAGCTTCCAGTGGTGAAGCAATGATGTTCGTTCTTGGCATCTAAGCACACCTCTCTCCTGCAAATGGTCAACAACAGATTATATCAAGTGTTGTTCGAATTTTAAGACGCAAGACAATTGAAACTGCGGTTGTTGTTACCTGTCCGGTCAAAATAGCAGAAGACACGTGCTTGTCTTGCTCGTAAAGGACTGGCATGGTCATCAGCAATGCGTTGGTTTTATATCTGATTCATCATCAGTGATAATGGCACTCGAAATTAGGGTTTTTGTGTCAAGCTCGATAAATTCTACACAGTGATAAAGCTATAGAACTTTACGAGTATATTACAATAGAAAGGGGAACAATTTAGGGTTCATCAGTCTCTTTACTTTGAAATTGGCACAAACGAGAAAAACACCAGTTGTAAAGTTGAAGAAGAACATATATAATCAACAAAACAGAACAGAAGCTTACGATTTACAAACGGAGTTAGATGAGGAAGATCGATGAAGGTAGCTTCGGAGAAATTTGAGATGGTCTGAGATCGCGGCCCGCGCGGAGAGAGAAGAATCCGATTTCGGTTAAAAAATACGATCTGTTTTTGACACATTGATTTTAGTTTTTAGTCTTTGGTAAAAACAATGTAATTTTTTTTGTTTGACTCATAAAATTATTAGTGGTGGTACATACAACATTACAGTTTCAATGGCTTTTTGAAGAATTTTAAGTACCAGTTTTATGAAATTGTTACAATTTACGAATTTCTTTCAGCCTTGAGCATAACATTATGACTTTTACTTCTTTGAAACTAACAAAAAAAAAAACAGAGACAGAATAGGTGTCTGCTGGTCATGTACTCATGTTGTTGTCTGAAAAAAAATCTGCATCATCTCCTCTGGCTAGATTCTGCTTTACTCCAGAAGTTTTTTTTGGCTTTCTGTGATGCTTCATTCAGCTCCAATAAACCGTTCTCTCACCTCATCTCGAGCAACCTTATTCTCCTAGAACATATATACTGTCAGTCTCAGATTATAGCCCCAACCATTTGCTTTTGCATGTATAGTTCAGAGATACTGTTGAAGTATTGCAAAAATATTGGAAAGGCCAAAATAATACTTTATTGCAGAAATATTGGAGTATTGTTATTACATCAACATACAAAGGTCCCTCTCTCATTCAAACTGTTCCAAACCCAATTTGACAAGCTTTTTTTTTTCTTCCTCGCTCACAACAAAGAACATAAAGAGAGATCAGATCACTGAAACCCGTTGGGTAAAATACAAAGCCATACCATCATTTTGCAGGCAGGCATTGAGAACCACACTGATTTTTTTGCTCTACAAGGTGTACACATTTCTTCTATCTTCGATTGCTCTTCGGACCATTGAAGCTTAAACTAGAGGAAGTTGATACTCATCTGGTTTCAACGCCAATGCGAAATCAGGAAGTGTTGGTGCCGTCTCCATGATTCTGTTAATCAGAGAGCGTTAACAGACCAAAAATCTGAGCTCTATATATGATATTGGAAAGGACAGATAAGACTCACTTTTCATAAGAGTATAGATCCCGGTTTATCCTGACTTTACTCGAAGTGTCTTTCGGTATTTTCTCTGTTAGATACTTCATTGTTCCGAAAAGTGGTGGTGTTCTGCAGAGATAAATCAACCGCTGAATCTATGAACAAATGAGCTCAAAATAAAAACTGATTGAAAGAGAAAGGAAATTACCTTGAAGTAGGTGAAGAGGCGTTGAATGCTTCGGAAGCTTTCTTACTTTCTTTGAAACATTCATCTGCAGCTTGTAAAGCAGCAACTGCCATTCCATGTGATTTCTCTGTGTTTCCTTCATCAAGAATCAAACCGTGATAGTAGTAAGCCGCAGCCTGATCCAAAACATTTCAGAATATGACAAAGACATTAGAAAATCGCCTATCGCATTTCAGATGTCAAGAGATGGGCTCTGTTAAAAGCCTCATGGTTTTCAAAGACAAGGATCATATGGGCAAAAACTGATGTTGTGTATACAGAGACGGAGATTTACAAGGAAAGGTAGAGCAAAATGCAACCAACAATAACCAGACAAGTTGACATAAGGAGTAAGAGAGGCACCAAACAGTACCTTAGCTTCAACATACTTCCACTTAACAAAGAGTATATGCTTTTCTCCCCAACCATTTGCTAATGGAAGATTCATCAAATTATCTTGTGCCTGTTTCGGTGTCACACCGATACGGATAAGGAAGCATAAACAAAAAAAAAATCAGATGTTTCCAAGAGAAGTGGAAGCCAATTAGACATACAAATATATTCTGATAAATCATAATAGTAAAGAATTTACCTGCTGCCAATATTTCACCATTTCGCATGAAAGTCTTCGTTTTACTGCAAGAGTGGCCTTAGAGCTATCAATCGCCATGCCAAGTTGGATATCAACACCCTATAATCAGCCACTTGAAAGATGTTAGAACTTCAAAGAGAGAAAGGACCCACATGTATCCACCAACACACTCAGAGCTTATGTAGATGTTATTGGTAGCTTAACGTTTTTACCTGGCCTAGTGCTTGCAAGCAAAGAGCCCGTAGAACTCCTTCCGCTAGGTCAACAGGCAAACTTCTCCTGCAGAAATATAAAACCAAGGTTTGTCCCGTTAAGTTCAATTCACAATCACCAACAAGTATAGTGAATCGACATTAGAAACTTTGTCATCTGTAAACCTTTGCTCAGCAGAAAACTGAGGAAGAACGTTTTTCACGGCACAGTCAAGATATCCAGCTGCCTTTAAGAAGATGTCAATCGAAGCTCGTCTGTTTTCTATAATGAAAGAAACAAAACACATTTAGTTAACAGCTTTAAAAAAAGGAAAAATCATTCAGGTTATAGAAAGGACCAGAGACGAAACATAACAGAATGTATGAGAAGCTTTCTAGAAGAAGCCTAACCTTCTGATACTTTGGGATGGTTGTGGCCATCACTAGACCCTCTAGGAAGAAGCAGTAAATTGGCTTGTGACATTTGTAGCATTGCCATTAGATGCAAAACAGACAAAACTTCATACCAAACATTTGACATCGCAGTTTCCTGGTTAAAAGTAGATATGTAAAGAGTCAGCATATTATGAAGACACGTAAAGAAAAGCCTGCTTTGATTATTATCAACGTACCTCTTCTTCATGCTCCTGATTTACCCAAATAAAGTGTACTTTAAACTGTAGATGGCTACCTGAAGATCATTGCATATACAGTAAGGTCAGAATAAATCTCTATAACCAAACAGATTATTTTCTTTCTATAGCCATATAATAAGTACATTACCATCTTTAGTTAATCCCAAGAGAACAGGTAGATAATCTACCAAAGCTTGATGTAGATCTAAGAGCGTTGAACCTCCTGCCAATAAACAACTCCCATCAAGAGTCTTAAAACAGTAGAAAGCCGAACAAAGATATAGAAACCTACAAAGGTCTTCTGGGACATACATACCATGCTGTGTCCTTCTCCTAGTTCTCGTTATTGTAGGTCCTTCTTGATTAGCCATGACTACTATACGCGTTCTTAAAGCTGTCAAACGTTCCACTACAGTCTTTGGCAACTGATCACCAAGTGACTGCGAAAACTCCACCGGTCTCGGTATCCTTAAACCAGGTACATATACTGAAACCTCACCGATGCTTGTTGGCTTTCTTCTGTTCCCACCAGTCTCTTGCGGCGTTGATGCAAAGCATCCCATTTTCAACAGAGCTTAAAAGAAATCTACAAGAAACCCAAAAGAAAAAAACTTAACACTACAAGTTCTAAAATTTGATAAAGGTTTAACTAGGAATCTTGTGATAAACGATGAAACGATCAAGATTCCACATAAAAAAATGCAATAAGGAGAGACTTGGTAAAATTAATGTCCAGCCGAAAAAACAGCTCAACTCTTTCCTGCTCCACTAAATTCATACGGATAAAGTTAAACCCAGCTCACGAGCTATCTGCTCTTACTCTACTACCTTGGTAATTCAACGTGACTAGAAATGGTCACGAATCTTCACAAAAATCTACTTTAAGACCAAGGTCTAAGCAGAAACAAACAAGATACAAGTAAGAGGTTGATTTTCTCACCTTCTTCACCTTCCTTTATCAGATTATTGGCTACAAGCTATCAAATGCAATTTCTGCAAGAAAGGAGCAAAAGTAGCATGTGAGTCACGGAGAAAGCATGAAACTTTAAGCAGCTCGTATTACATTTCTCCAATTGAACGATTTTGAAAACACAAACGAAATCCCGGAAATGGGCAAAGACGAAAAAGAAAAGAAAAGTGGCTGCGAAGCAACTTGACTTGAAAAGGGAAGATTTTGATTTTGAGTAAAGGGTCACCAATAATTATGCTAAAAAACAAAAAACAAAAATGAAATGAAAATGTAAGAACGAATCATGGAAAGGGATGTTTGATCAAGCCCAAAAGAAAAATCAATCCGTGAAAATAGCAAAATAGCAAAACCTTAAGCAACATTTTCGCCAGAAAGGGAAAAAAAAACAGTAGGCTACCAAATCGGAATGAGCCAGGATTTCTGATTCTGAATACGAATTAAACCAGCAACTAGAAAGCTAAAACCCTAGATTCAGCATTGAATCGTTCACAATCGTAACGGGTGTAGAAGGAAAACGATTTCAATAGGCGATGAATCTGAAAAAAAATACTGTACAAGTAGTAGACTAGTAGTAGATTCTTACCAAATATCCGCTTCTTTTGAACTGCTGAATTGATGGGCGAGAGATTGCCACAGATTTATCAGAATCTCATGAGACTTTCTCTTCGTTGAAGCCGACGAGAATGGTACAGAGAAGGAAGAAGAAGAAGAAGAAGAAGTGGAAAATTTCAAAGGCGAGAAGAAAATAATGCTCTGGCTACTGCCTCACTAGTCAGTAACTCAGTATAGCTTACCATTTACCACCAATCAAATATTTAATATAACAAAAATCATTAATATAACCAAAAAAAAAATCATCGTTACTTCAAGATAATTATATCTACACATTCATTCAACAATTTACACAAATATGATTCATATATACTCTTTGTTTTTTTATCTACAAGAAATAATTTAGAGTAATTTTGATTGATTTTTGTTATTTAGAAATTTCTAGTAACCAACATTAAAAACGACAATTATTTAGTCCATCATGATGATTAGTTAACCGACTTATATACATGAATTGTAGTAACCAGCATGATGCAACAACTTAATTCGTTTCCTTGGCGGCTGCTTTTGCTTGGTGTTTTAATATGATAAATTGATGATAATGGCTATGTTTAGAGTTTAGACTGACATTACGGACAACTTATACCATATCTTTAAGCAAGCTTATGAGTAATACTTTACTATTGATTGCATATAAAACTATAATGTAAATGATATTATCCTCTAGGTATATATAATATGATGCCTAGTGGATGGGACTAACGTTTAACGATTATTAAAAAGAATTGGACGTGTTCGCATCATTAGCTGTCCATCGGCCTCATTCTCACAACGTCTTGTACTGGTATAGATTTTGCTCTCAAAGACAGCTTTGGATTCTATTTTCTACATTACATAATATATCTAACATGATTATTTGCTTAGTTAAAAGACATTAACATTATATTATAACACTTACATTCTTATATTGTTCTTTCAGATAAAAAAAAACATTATACTCGAGCACATCTCACGATTAACCGTTTAATATACAAAGTCTGTTAGATATTTAAGTAGCGGTTGGATTAATTATCTAATGATCATATCATTCGATGAATATGCCCAATCCATCAAGCAACATTAATCTTCTTATCATTCGTGGCATTACTGAATTTTGTCCACAATCAATCATTCATTTTAACTTTACAAAATATCTAAAATGTCGCTGTTAACATTTCAACTTCATATTGTCAAATACCGGGTTTGAATCTACTAATGTGATGCTTGTAGCAATTAGTAAACACTATTATATTAAACTAAAAGACAATCACCATAGCATTACCAAAAAAAAAAAAGACAATCACCATAAATTTGCTGTTGATACAAAAAGAATAATAATTAGTGAGAGACAAAGAAATCTTCACCGGCCTGAATGTTTATAAGGTGCATAGCCACTCCACGTCCATTCACATTTGTTCGTCTGCGTTCCCATAATTAAGGCGCCGGTGGCTTAGCTGCTATATATGGTAACTTCCACTGATGTCATTGTCCACGTGGCAGCCACGTTGGGCACGTGACGTTACTGTTTTTGGGCGGGTTCAACTTTAAACACAAAAGTACTTGGACAATTTAATTGTCTTCTGTGGGGACCACCGGACAGGTGTCGAGCCTGCGGTTGCAGAACAACATCGCGGCTGTCTTTCACCGTCACAGTCACCGTCCAAACGGTCCGACTACTTTATAACGCTGGCAAGGTGGTTGGTGACGACACGTGTCGTTAATCATTCCGTTATGTCGAAGATATCTTCTGTTTTCGTTTCTTTATATTTTTCGCTTTCGTTTTCGTCCAGGACTCTTTCCTTTTATAATAAGAGTCTCTGTTTTCTGTGATTACTAACCAACAAATCATGATGTGTAAGTGTTAACAGTTACAAATTAAATCAATATGTAAGTGTAACTGTTACAATTTACAAAATTACAAATCAAATCAATATGAGCCTAATTATATACTTATAAAATACTTCTGTAACGGTGGATTTTCATTTTGTCAAGACTCAAAAGATGAAATGTGAATCCAAAAAGTAAAACGAAGATGGTGAAATACAAAGCGAGAGACGCCGAGAAGAAACAAAGGGGAAAAGAGAGCGACGTCGTTTGCGGATAAGCCCACAAAATTAGATGGATTACCAAGTCCGGCCCATGTCAGTCCGTCTTTCATCCATGGTAGTGTGCTTCTATAACTAAGTTGTGTGTGTATCGTGATATGGTCATGGATGCTGAAGAGTTGTTAAAAAAAAGGAAGACGGAGAAGAGAGTTTGGACACACTTAATAGTTGATAAATCTGATCGAAGAAGATGATCCAAGAGTTGATCATTTTAAAAGAGTCTTTTAGTTTCATTTTGATTGGAGTATACGCTACATTCTGGATATCGTTCATTCATAAAAATATCAAGCCTTATTACCCTATTGGTTACCGCCTGAATCATAGCATCCTTGTTTTGCCGTTTGCTTTCTGTTAAACTTAAAAGACGGTTTGGGGTATTAAGGTTCCGGTTTGCTCGTAGGTATTAGAAGAAATGTTTTAGGTTTTAGTTATGACTTATGAATACTATAAGACTGTATTGACTTCCTTCCAACTAACTCTACCTATTTTCCTACTAAACTTTACCAGTAATTAGTTTTTGTTTTGGTTCATCCACACGTGCAAGTGAGTTCTAAAACAATTCGACTATGACTTACCTAGGATTTAGTTGATTTGATTTTAAGCTATATGGAGTATCAATCAATCCTTAAAAACAACATATAAACAGTTTTTGCAAGCAATCCCAAGGAAAGTTTAAAGTACAAATTGCATATCACTTTTCAGGTTTTCAACTTTATTCCATCTCTTATAAATATTCTTTCATATAATAATGTTGAACTATCTTTGATTTTTAGGATGTATTACTTTTATCAACTTTTAAGGATAGATATTACTATATCTAAGACATATGTTGAAAGTAAAAACCGTATAATGAATATAAAACTTTTATGTTTTATTTATTTAAAAAATGCATCATTCTTTTTTTGTAAGTGATGTGCTTCGAGACCAAATGTCTGAGCAAATAAAATGCGACGAATTGCCAAATTTTGTTTTGAAAAGTATAAAGCCATGCACTGTTATATACTCCACAAGACACAAGAGTCTTTTTAGGTTTTGTTAGGTCTGAATGGTTAACAACATACCCATAGATATTTTATTATTTATTATACGTGACCTGCAATTAAATCACAGGTCCCCAACATGGCAACATCTTTACCAAACTCTCTCCTTCTACTGCAGTTTTCATTCTTAAAAAAATGTATTGTTATATACAAGCAGTTAATAACTTTTTCTCTGATAAAAACTAGCAGTTAATAACTTGTAATAATAGTCCATTCGTTATATTCATCAAGATCGATCCACAATTCCTGGAATAAAATGTTTCATTGTCCCGTGTTTTGGACTAGCTACCAGTCTATGCCTTTTTTTTTCTTTTTTCTTTCTTATAGATTTTGTGGTAATGTAGAATTTACTTAATTAAAATGGATATATTAAACATTTCATATGTATTATACACTGATCAACTGTTAACGGTTTGTTTTTTTCCCCTTTCTTTTTCATATAAGAACAACACCAATAAACTTATAGCTTGTTTTTTTTATCAAGGTCTTCTACAAATTATAAACGTAAAATCAGAACACAAACAAAATATACCCCAGAATATTGTTGCGTTTGTCATTTCCAAAATGAATGTATACTACAAATACAAACACACTATTATCTTAACATCTAGGGTTGAGCTAAGTGCAGTGTACATTTTGCTAGTCGTCTCTCCTCCCATCTTGAATCAAGTTCTAGAAGGTGTCCATATGTATAAGTATAAAGCTGCTGAGTATAAAATATTGCAAACATATATATATATATATATATATATATATATATATACGGTTATACAATAATATATGTGTATATGTAGCTTGCAGAAGAGTATACAAACGTAGATGAAGTATTGGTGGCTGAAGTAGAGGGCTTAGGTTAGAAAAGAAAAATAGTTAAGATGTAGACGTTGAAAGTTTAACGAAAACTCACCCCACCAAGCAATCTCTCCCTTCTTTGTGTTATCTCCTTTTCTCTTTTTATTGTTCATCAACTAATTTTTTATTTTTAAATTCCTACATAACTAGAAATCTACAATGGAAAATATTATATGAAATAAAAAGAAAAAGTAAATGTGGAAAATAAAATAAAAAGGTAGATTACTTAAAAGGAGTGTGTTTGGTTAGGGAAGACGTTGGCATCAATCGCCGGTGAAAACGTCCCTCCAAACTCTCCCTCACGCTCTAACGAAATCTTATAATATTCATTATATAACACCTTTCTATATATATGTATGTATGATGCTGTTGCTCTTCAGCTTTCTTCTTGTTCCTACATACCCATCTTCCCTCACCTACATCAAACCTAGGGTTTCTTATATCGATCGACATCTATATACATATCTGTGATTAACATAAGATCACAGCGATCGGAAAAGTGAGGAATTAAAGAATGATGTGCAGTCGAGGACATTGGAGACCTGCAGAGGATGAGAAGCTTCGTGAACTCGTCGAACAGTTTGGTCCTCATAACTGGAACGCCATAGCTCAGAAGCTCTCTGGTCGATCTGGTAAATATTAACTTAAAAGATTCATTCACTTTTAATTCATTAATTAACAAAAAGTAGGGTTTGATATGATAAACACTATGTTCATTTTGTTTGGTTTTGATTTTAATTTTGTATATGATTATCAGGTAAGAGTTGTAGATTGAGATGGTTTAATCAGTTGGATCCTAGAATTAACCGAAACCCTTTCACGGAGGAAGAAGAAGAAAGGCTTTTGGCGTCTCATCGGATCCATGGAAACAGATGGTCCGTGATCGCTAGATTTTTCCCGGGTCGAACCGATAACGCCGTTAAAAACCATTGGCACGTCATCATGGCTCGTCGTGGCCGAGAACGGTCCAAGCTACGTCCACGTGGCCTTGGCCATGATCAGGTCACGGCGGCTTCAACTACGACTGCGATGATGGGGTATAACGACTGCGAGAAGAAGAGAAGATTGGCAACCGCAACCGCAATCAATTTTCCTCATCAGTTCTCTCATATTAATCATTTTCAACTCCTCAAAGAGTTCTTGACCGGAAAGGTCGGGTTTCGGAATAGTAATACTCCATTCAATGAAGGTAAATTAATAAATAAAAATTGGCTTACATTGTTTTATGTTACATGCATAAATATAAACATGTGTATAAATTACGTATATTCATATATTGAGTAAATACATATAGGGATATATAGTGCAATATTCATATAGAATAAAAACTTTTTGGAGTTTAAATGCATTATAATTCATGGTTTTTTTCTGAAATCATTAAATTTATACTGATCATACAATTTTAAGAATCTTTAAATAGTTTGAAACGAACATGATTTCATATTACACGCATATTGTGCATATACTTGTTTGTGGGTACGATTATATGTTTAACTTCTAAATACTAGCTTTTGGACATCGATCATTTTGTCAGAAGCAATAGACCAAACCAAGAGACCGATGGAGTTCTATAATTTTCTCCAAGTAAATACGGATTCGAAGAAACCCAAGGTGGTAGACCATTCAAGAAAAGACGAAGAACAAGAAGATGTCGATCAATGCAACCCCAATCACAACGAGAATTGTGTTCCCTTTTTTGACTTTCTGTCAGTTGGAAACTCTGCCTCTCAGGGTCTATGTTAATTAGTCCGTACAGTTGTACCATGAAGTGGGTCATATGTTTACTAAATTTAGAAGTGACTAATCAGTTAGAGCTCTTGTTTGAGCCAAATGTGAATTAATTAAGACACCCCAACTTTTTCTTGTATAAAAAAATTATCTAAGATTGTCTTATATATAGTTTGATGTATATTATTTTGAGGACGTTTAATCCCAGATAAACAGACTTAGAAATAATTGACTGATAAAAAACATACTTAAAGTTTTCAAAACAACTATTCTGTAAATCAGCTTTATTGCTCTTACTTTTAAGATTGTAACAATTTGAGCCGAAACTTACTTCATTTACAAACGCATTCAAGTTTAAGGATATGCATATTTGTGAAAGCTATTTTAGTCTGAACCATAAGTCCATAACCAATAATACACCAAACTGTCCTAGTTTTATTTTAGGCTTTTGGCTATGCATGGTATCGTGACTATCGTCTACTTATCTACAGTGCAAGATCTGTATCGATATGTTACTTTGTCCTGATTGTTCTTTAAAAATCGTAAAGATCATTTAAGACCAAAAATCTATTATTTCTTGAATTTGCAATCGTCTTATGTATAACATATTCTGTTGTGGTGGTTTAAAATAAGATCAAATATTAAGAGGGTTTAGTTGTTAACTTAAGAAAACATGTCATTAACGCCGAAATATATGCATCACCAAATTAATTTCCTCACTACAATTGTAATTTTATGCAGACTGTTTTGACTTATATAACTTTTGATGAACCTTAACCTTTTTGGTAACTAGATCGAAGAAAAACAAGAAATGGTTTTTATGAGCCTTTAGCTTATACAATTTAATTTTCTTTAATTTTGAAGTATAATAAGTTAATAACGGAAAGACGAAATCGAGGTTGGAGTATAGATATGATTAAGTTGGGAGTAGTTATCAGCCACCAAGAAATATAAGTCCAAAGTAGCAAAACTACCTTTGTCTTAAGAAAACACGAATAAAATATTTCGTTTTATTTAGGTGGAGATGAAGAACACACATCTTGACACGACTTATAACCATACTTCTCGTTTCGAAATAAATAAATTACATTAATTTAACTAGACTTTGTATTGATTTGTTTTCCTGAAATTAATGTCATGTATGATTGGTAGAGTTTCCTCGTTGAGTTAGATATGTGTACGTATGTCACCTTTTGTTTAAGACAATACGAAAAAAACATCCAAAAATACAAGTAATCGTATATATACATATTTTATTATGAAAGATAATTAAGCGAAACGTTGATTATCGTTCAAAGATGTTGAAATCAATCAAATTTGGATAAGATTAAGCAACCGCAAGAACAATGTATACATTTCTGATTGGATGTGCATATTATCTTACGGGATATGCCTTTTATAAGTGCGTAGTTTCAACTTTTGTTTAATATCTATAGTCTTGGGGTGAAAAGTGAAAACTAATAAAATTTAAAATACTAACACGAGGGAAACACAGTTACGACTAGTCCAGTAGTTTCTGATAATGCTATATTCGAATTGCAAACAATCACTAGGAAGTGGTAAACCCTTCACTCAGCATGGCAAATAGGCCCCTAATGTTAGCTCGTAAAGCAGTTCAATTAACTGCAACATGATCCCTTTCTGACTCTTTTACGTTGTTTTTCTCAAATTTTACCATCGCAAAAACCTTAAAGCTCGTAGTAGCTCGCCTCTTTATACAAAACCCATAATTTTATGATTTTATTTGGCATAAAACCCTTTTATTGGTTTTTTTATCAGTCTAAAAATATATTATGAACCTTTCTAATTAGAAAGAATACAATAGATCTGATTAAAAATGTAAATTTTAATAGGTTTTGAAAATTTATACTTTATAATAATTACTTTTGGTTGCCTCTCGTCACTAGTAGAGTTCTTGCAAAGAAATAAAACATACTCCATCATATAGAAGCAAAATATATAAACCCCATCATATCTCAGAGAAAGTTGGCAGTCTTGAGCTTGAATTCATCCAGCAAATCGTTGATGCTCAATTTTGGAAAGTCTTTCCTGCCTGGAGGGTCCTCTCTCAACCGAACAGGCACCTGAAAATGTTACAGTCCCAACAAGACAAAAAGATCAATCAATGTCTGAGAAGCTCGACGGTCAAAAAGACATAGGAACCATGAGCCAAAGGTGGGGCCCTCTAACCTTTCCGGTTGTAGCCTCTTCGGGACCTACGACTAGTATGTAGTTGTAGTTGTACATTGCAGCCCGAGCCTCTGCCACCTGCACAGAGTAGCAGAATAATCTCTCATAAACGCAAAGAAACTATCCAGAATTTTAAGAAACTACTCTACATTTATACCAAGAAAGCGAATATAATTTGTAATGAAATATATAGCCTTAGGTATAATAAAATTTAGTCATCGTTTTGAAGTTGTGATTGAACACTAATTCTAGTTCAGAAGGTAAAATTTCTTGCTTCGCTTATTTAATAGTATGCTAAAAGACCTTTCTTATTTAAAAGTTTGTAATATATAAAAAAATGGGAATTACCTTTTTACGCACGTGTCTGTCACTTTTGTCAACATCAACATAGTACCCAGCTTCATGAATTTGTTTTTGAACCTGTTTGAATATATGTGTGCAAAAACGAAACCGAGAGCCAGAGATTAGATACCTGCAAAGAGTTGATAGATCAAAGAAGGTAAATGAAAAAAAAAAAAAAACCTTGTCTGCGTATTCAAGAATATCTTTATTGTTTGAGTAAGAGCAAACTATGGCCTGGCGCGGACTAAGCCAGAAGGGCAATTTTCCTTTGTAATGCTCCAACAATATGGCAAACATACGCTCAACAGATCCCAACACTGCTCTATGTATCATCACAGGTCTCTCCACTTTGCCTTCATCCTTAGCTTTGTATTCCAGTTTGAAGCGAGCCGGTAGTTGAAAATCAAGCTGATTGTGATATGAAGCAAAAAAAACGATCAAATCTCTTAATTACAGCAAGAGAGATGCATGAAAGAACGAAAAACTCAAAAGAGTTTGGGAGCCAAACCTGTAAAGTAGCACACTGGAACTTCCTTTTCATTGCATCACAAACTGTTATGTCTATCTTTGGGCCATAAAATGCACCGTCTCCTTTGTTCTCCTGCATGAAACATCACACTCATTTAGAAACGAATGCATAGTAATCTGTGAATAATAAACTTGAGGAGAAGCATCAGAAAGTAGTACACATACATCGAATGTCTTTCCAGATTCTAGTAGCGCTTCTTTAAGAGATTCTTCAGCTCTATCCCATGTTTCCAAATCCCCAAGGTACTTCTCTGGCCTCTGAAATCGAAAATAACATGCAAAAAATCGGCTACAGAATCATATCATGCCAAGTATATCAGATTTGGTAGAAGAAATATCCAAATTAATATCCTACCGTTGAAAGCTTTATCTCATAGGTAAAGCCAAATATTGTGTAGACATAGTCAACGAAATCCAACACGCCTTTCACTTCTTCTTTAACCTGCAGATACACATAATAACTCTATCAAGAAACTGGGAGGATAAGGAGCTCCAGCAACCAGTGTTTCAAAAAAAAAAAAAAGAAAAAAAGAGGAGCTCCAACATTGTATAGAAATATATCACAAACCTGTTTCTCTGTACAGAATATGTGTGCATCATCCTGGAAAACAATGAAGTAAATGTTATGCAACATATATGGCCAAAAGCAAATTGACAAGTACGAAAAGGAAGTGGTGAATTCATCACTTCACCCTGGAAAAGAGACTCTGATGTTAATGCAAAAATACCTGTTGGAAGCGTCGGACACGGGTCAACCCACTAAGAGCTCCACTTGCCTCATTTCGATGCAACACTCCAAAGTCAGCCAGTCTTATGGGTAATTCTACATACCAAACCAGAAAAGAATGGTGTCATCAGCAAAGATAAATGATAGACTTTTCAGCTTTCATGAGTAATTAAATTATTTTATAAATTCTCCATACTTTCCTTGTATAAAAGTCACAAGTTCTTGTGTATATTCAATATTTATAATGAGATCAAAATGCAGTATATATAGGAACAGAGCATCACACCTTTATATGAGCTTGCCATGTATTTGAACATCAGGCAGTGACCAGGGCAGTTCATAGGTTTGAGCCCGAATTCTTGTTTATCAATCTGCGCAAGGAAGAGTAGAATTGAGAAATGCCATTTCATTTCACTAGTTTCTAAATTGTAACAAAGTCAAAGAAAGACTGAGGAGCTTTGCATGCACTTCTTACATCAAATGTAAACATATTTTCCTTGTAGTTTGCAGCATGTCCGGATGTTTCCCAGAGATTCATGTTGTACATGTTTGGTGACATGACCTGCCACATTCAAGGTTAATTCAGAGATCGACCCTTCTTCCACACACACACAATCATTGAGTAAATTAAACAGTGAAATTGACAAGTAAGAGAAATACCTCTGAGTAACCCCTTTTCCAATATTCTTTCTTGATGAATTCCATTAACTTGTTATACACGCGAGTGCCATATGGGAGGAAGAACCAACTCCCTGGGCTGAGTTTCATCATGCATACATATATTATTAGTTTTGTCGTGAACAGGAATTAAACAAACACAACATATATTGGATGTTAGCACTAAAAGAGAACCTGAGTTGGTCACAGAAGAAAAGTTTCTGATCTTTTCCCAATACTCTGTGGTCATAGTTCTTCGCTTCTTTTATGGACTGAAGATAAGCCTGCAAAAACAAGGACAACACAACATATATTGAAATGATGCATCTAGGTCTGAACGCAGAGATTAGCTGCCAAAAGAGTGGATTTACAATTTGAACAAAAAGTACCTTGAGTTGGTTTTTGTCCGGAAAAGATATCCCATAGACTCTCTGCAAGCTCTCCCGGTCTCTGTTACCTTTCCAGTAAGCGGCTGATGCCTGAGATCAAATAAATAAAAATTAAAACTTGGGTTTAGCATAAGAAAACAAACTAAAGTTGTAGCTTCTGGGAGACAAGAGCAGAAACTTCACATTCAAACACTTGAAAGCTTTGACAAAGGAAGTGTCTGGTATATGTGGTCCACTAGACAAATCGACCAAGTTACCACATCTGTAGACTGTAATGATCTCTTCCTTTGAGTCATTGATGAGTTCAACCTATACATAGATGGTGAATAAACAAAAATTATTTCAAATTCAAGATACGAATGCAGATACTATAAGTGAGCATGCATCATAACAATTAAGTTCAATGATATTTTTTAAAATCACCACTTAACAGTAACACACCTTAAACTCATTATCAGAAAACATGTCGAGAGCCTCTTCCTTGGTCACTTGAATCCTTTCAAATGGTTGCCTTCCCTGAAATGTAGACAATATAATATGATAAAGAGTTTGGGAAAGAGAAGAGAAACATATTGATTATATTACAACATCTAATCTAATGTAAGGAAAGGAAGCAATACCCTCACCGCTTTTGCAGCAGCTGCTTCGATTTTTGCAAAGTGCTCCTTCTCGTTTAAGCCAAGATCGCCATAGAATGCATCATAATAGAAACCCTGCAAGAACAATCCTCTAACTTTCATCATCACAGATACTTAATTTGCACAGTAACAGAACAAACACAAAACAAGTGGCTGGCTCTTACCTCCTCTAAAGCTTTGCAGGGCTCAGATAGCTTACACATATACTCCTGCTCCAGAAGAGCCTGCACCAAAGAACCAATTGTGAGTGGATTTTGTTTTTGTTAGTTCAAATTTTTTTTTTCATAATTAGATGAGATTTAAAAAGTGTTTAATTACCTGGCCGAGAATATGGGCGCTAGAACGCCAGAAAGTTTCACGTCCTATCTCGCTGTCAAATTTGAAAAACTCAAGCGAACAATCACCTTCTAGTGGCCTATTCAGGTCCCAGAGGACATTATTAACCGAACAAACCAGCGCTGGATTTGCCAAATCCCTAGAAATCACATCCATTGGAATGGTCTGCCATCTATTTCCTTCTTTCACTTCTTTCACGTTGTTACCATCTTTAATTGTAATTCTAAGTTGTACACAAACAAACATGCACCAGATTTTTATGTCAAATACTAAATCTGAATTAAGAGCCTTAGCCAAGCAAACAGAAGGCAACGTAGTAATAAACTAATAATATATGAAAAATTATGAGCATCGGTTTGTATATATACTTGATAGGATCGTGTGGCAGAGACTGTCGCTGCGCGAGCTGCTTGGCTTGGTGTTCTTGGAAGAGTTTGATACGCTTTGCGATGACGGCTGAGAGATAAGCCTCATCCTTGTGATGATCGTCCGCCATCTCTGGAGGAGGAGCACAGTAAATTGATGAAGCAGAGGAAGACGAAGAGAAAGAGGCTGTTAGAAAGTAGAAATTGAAGAAGACTACGTTGAGAGCAGGATGAGGTTTTCCTTTAATATGACTTTTTTTCCTTTTTTCTTCTGAGGTCAATTTCCCTTTTATTGTTTTTGGTTTTTTTTTTTATCTGTTTTGTCGGTCTAAAGAAATACATATATATATTTTGTTCATGTTCATGCATGTTACATATATTATCTTCTATTTAAATTATACTTAATTGTATGTAGATACGTAATTTAATATTGTTAGATTTTTCATTATATAATTTAGAACTTTTCTATAAGCAACATTTAACACTTTACAGCTAAGTAAAGACAGGTAAAAGATATAGAGCGAGTAAAGACAAAAAAAACGCCTAAAAGGCTAAAACTAGACGTGCGGACCAAGTTTTAAAGCTTTTTTTGGTATAACAACAAACCTTTGTAACGCCAAGATGAAAATTACCGTAAAAAGGAAATAATAATTGTGGGCTTATTATATGTCTAGTTTTGGGCTCCCAGTGGACCATTGGCCCTATTAAGGTGGAGGTTATATTACAAGTGTGACTGATAAGTCTTCCCTATAGATCTGACAAAAGCAAAAGTGACATGAGACCTTCCCCAATTTTACAAGCAAGCATCAGTTTTAAACTTTACAAGTTTTGAATTTTTTTTTACAGTAAAGAGAAAAAGGAGCAAAAACTTGAAATTTATTAAAATCCAGTCAAATTCTCAAATTACTCAAACTTCCATCATATAAATACGAGATATCTCCTTAAAAAATCATCATCATCATCATTATTACTAGTTTGGTAGCATGTCATTTAACGTATGAAAATGATTATTGGCATGTAAATAATATACACATATCGATATTTCTGTGATACAACCTCGTATAATTTTCACAAGATATGCGTGAGCTAATTTCGAATTTAGATTGGAAATTGTAATTATAAAAACGGTTGCATGTAAAAGTTAACTAAAAAATGTTCAACAATGTTCTTGTACTTCTTTTTCACCAAAACAAACAAAAATTAACTAAAAAAGAAAGCGAAATTGGACGTTAATATTATTATATTGGAAATTTTGAATCATTATACGAAATATATCATCATCATCATCATCATCATCACTCATCATCAGCTTGAAATCATTCTCTCTCATCTCTCTTCCCCGCGCTGTCTCTTCTCTCTCCCCCACATTTCCATTACCTCCTTTCTCTCTCTCTCTCTCTCTCTCTCTCTCTCTCTCTCCTACACTCTCTTTATCTGTGAATGTCTTCCCCAACAATCGGCGAGCACGTCAGACTCCGACGAGCAAGAAACCAGACAACCCGTCATCTCGACGCCGACGATGATCCGCCGCTGACCCACGCCGTCCTTCCATTGTCCCAACCTAATCGCTTCCGTAAATCGGCAATGTCTTCCTTTTCTCTCCTCCCAACTCCCTCCAACGAAACCACGAGGAAGAAACCGCTCGGATTCCCTCAAACGGCCTCGTTTCGTGGAATGGGTTGCACTGCCTCAGCAGCTGAGGAGGTTTCTCTTCCCTCCGTGATTCGCTCCTCCGCGGATTGGGATGCGAGAATCAGAAAGGATAAGAAGAAGAAGAAGAAGAAAAGTAAGAAAAAGAAGAACAAGGGAAGCTACGACGACGATGGTTCGATTAGGTTCTTAAGCGGGTCTAGAGACGTTGAAAATGGCGGTTGCGTCGCGATTCCGGATGTTTGGTGCGGTCCAGGGTTAGGATTCTCGACTGACGCGGTGGTTGGTCCATCGGTGGTCGATCCTCCGAGAAGGAATATTCCGTCGTCGCGTCGCAAAATTGATGTGTATAAGAACAATTCTAATCAGACAGAGGTAAATGTGGTAGATTTATTTCCCAGAGAACTCTGTGATCTAACTTTTCATTGGATTCTGATTATTTGGTGATGGAAATTAGTATATTATTATTAGGAGTGTTATTGAAATTAGTGTATAGTTTAGGCAGAAGAAACTGTTTGGGAGTGGTTGGAGCTGTAGTAGTTGTAGTAGCCCTATGCTATTTGCTGGGCCATGTTGATTTTTAAAATTTGTGTATCTGGTTTGCTTAGACAATCACAAGGCTCTCTACTTTTGGTAGAGATTCTCTATTATTAGCTTTTGTGTTTTGTTTGATATGTAGTCAATAAAGTATAGTATTTTGTTGCTGCGTGGTCCTCTTGGTTTGATAAACCAATAAACAAATCTGAATTGAAAACTCTTGTTTGGTTAGAGAATGGAATCTTATAGCAATGCTTTTGTCTCGTTTGGTCAGAGGGATGGAAAGTCTTTTAGTATGGTTGGATTAAATTAGCTAAGGAAATAATTTGGTTTATGTTTTGACTGAATTTTTTTGTTCATTCAGTTTATTAATTGAGAAAGACCACATTGAGTATTAGGGAACTATCATCTTCTGTATGTTTGAACAATGATATAACACACAATGTTTACAAATGTCCCACAGGGTGGTTCTTCTGTGCTTCACAGAAGGTTTATAAATCAAGAATCTGATTCTCAAGCTTTCTTGAACTCTGGCTCGACATTTATGACATCATCACTCCCTGAACCATCGTTGCTCTCAAGTAGATACCATGGCCATCTTCGACGCCCTTACCCTGCTGATCTTACCGAGGTATTGCCAAAAAGTTGCCTCTATCTTTCTTCTATCTGGTTAATGTTTAAAGTGATCAGTAAAAGTAGTTCAGTTAAATATCAGTGACTATGTTTAAGAACTAAACCATGCAGCTGGTGAAGTCATGTTAAAAATAAAAAGAAAAATGCTGTTCATTGCAGATGATGATGGTCCGGAATGGTTTTGTAATGGGAAGGATAGCAAATTCGCGCGATCACTTCCACGACTTGAGGCTTGATGTTGATAATATGTCATACGAGGTATGTTTTGTCAAAATGTCATGAGAAAGAGATTACGATTTCATCTTCTCAACTTTATTGAGTGTGTTTTGCTTGGGGGTCTACACAGCAACTTGTAGAGCTTGGTGATAGAATTGGTTATGTGAATACTGGACTAAAAGAATGCGAGATACATCGTTGTCTTCGGAAAATCAATCCCTCCGTATCACATACTCTTGCTGATAGAAAATGCAGCATCTGTCAGGTAAAAGTCCAGATTGAGTCAATCTCTTTGCAAAACTTGAGAAAGATTATCTATCTACTTGTAAGATCATGAGTTTCTGTTATCTTTAAAATTCATGTTTGTTAATGGCAGGATGAGTATGAGAGAGACGGTCAGGTTGGGAAATTGGATTGTGGACACAGCTTCCATGTCCAATGCGTGAAACAGTGGCTATCAAGGAAGAATGCTTGTCCTGTCTGTAAGAAGACAGCATACGCCAAGCCTTAAAAGAGTTGTGTGCTAGTTTCTGATATCTCAAGATCTTTGTATAGATCCGAATCATCTGATATTTGATTCATATTTGTTGTTTTGTGATTTAGCAGTAACGATTACATGTGTTTTTTTAATCTTATTTCCCTTTGTTGGGTCTATTCATATGATTGAAAAATACTGTTTCTACAGAAATTATAAGAACAAGAGTTTGTGATCTATGGATTCTGCAGCTTCTTGTCTTCTTGCAATGACTTCGTTATATGCATTAGATTTAAGGGTTTTGGAAGTTGTAATGACATAAAACAGAGCCAAAAAGTAAATTAATCTTGAATTATACTTGTTAACAAGAGGAAAAAAGCTCTTTTTGTATTAAAAAAAAACACATTACATAGTCTTATGATTCTTATCCAGACGAGTTTTACATTGAATTTAAAGTATTTAGGACTTGCGTCTAGCATCTAAGAAAAGCATAGAATATAAACTTCTTCTTTTACATAAAAGTAGGAAGAAAGAACCCTTCAACTTCACATCTCGGATTTGGACAAGCTCTGAGATTCTTGGCAATGCAGAGGGAAAAGCCATTATTACTTGCCGTTGGTTTTGCCTAGAGACGTGAAGCTCAATCTGCCAAAAAATCAGAACAAACGTTTATCAAATCCGACATTGAGATCCTCAAATGAAGAATAAAAAAACTTCACACAGCTTACTTGATTATTGGTTTTCGCTGTTGCACTGAAGCTCTGTGCGTCACCTCAGGCTGTCGCATTGGAAATTCCTTCAAGAGAAAAAAAAAAAAAAAAAAACTCAGACAAGAACAAATTCAAGAGACCAATTTTAGGTACCGAAGTTGATGTTTTTAAATAAAAACCTCGAGTTCTTCCACTGCTCTATTGGAGAACGGTGAGCCATTAGAAGTAGTAGCTTTGAATGGAGGTATAATGGTTGCAGTAGCCGCCGGGATATTTGACATCTGCTCAGTCACTTGATTTCCAAAGTCAAAACTGTCTTCAAGTTCCTCAGTTTCTTGACTAGGAGCTTGAAAGGTGGCTATTTTATTTACTGGAGGGCTCGCCGGTGGACCCTTACTGAAAACAGCAACATTCTCTGGTGGATCCTTAACCATGGGATCAGATTTACCGTTTGTACAGTAGTCTCTCATAGGACTTGAATAAACGGATCCAACAGATGGATTTGGGCTCCCACCTTCACAGTTCTCTACAGGCACTGAAACAGCAACGTGTTTAGAGCTTCTCAACTGATCTGTGAGTGCTTCATCACCTCCCCGTTTTCTCTTCTTCCCATCTCCTGGACTGTTAGAACCAGCTTTACTCTCAGAACTCGCTTCATTCGTTGTAGTAGTAGTAGTAGCTGCACTTGCTGCAGAAGAAACCCTATGCTCTGAACGGCGTTTGCTGTCCCATGTTCCTTTAGAGGCATGTGAAGGTCTGATTCCACCAGGAAACACAAAGCTCGGTATGCTTCTTCGCTTTATATGGCTGACATTAATCTCCATCCCGCGAATCCAGAACGTGTAATTGTTAACAGTGCGTTTAAACTCATCAACGGTTCTTCTGATATCGAACGGCTCGCCTTCATTGCCTTCAGTGACTGCAACTCCTTGATTACGTTGCAGGCCCATGAAGTAAGAGCAATGGAGTGGTCGTGATGCGTCTTGAAAATCGTGTGGATGAGGGTGGCATTGAAGCCTGTCATAAGTGTATCTCTCAATCTAAGAGTACAAGGCGAATATCCAAGTCAAATAAACAATCACTGATTACAAACAATATTCTTTACATCAAACCGAGAATAAACAAGAGTTTCTTCTCACCTTCAGTGTAAGCTGTCTGAGACGTGACTCAACCCAGCCTTTCCATTTTCTTAGATCATCGACATTTGCAGCAGTGATGTCGATCTGAAGGTAGTTCTTATACGCTTCAAAGAATGCAAACGGCTCAAAAAGGGTATCCCAGTCAGCTTTGTTTGCTTCCATAGCCTTGCAAGACATCAAAAGATTGTATAATACGTCAATCAATCTGTTGCATAGAAGCAAAAACTATAAGGCCTATCTAAATCTTACCTCACAGATATCTTTGCCCCTCTGAAACTCTCCTGTCATAATCCGCAATGTACTTGCAGAGACATTGTAACTGGAATTCATACAAGGATAAGCGGGAGTAATGATGGGCATCTTGTGAGTCACGTCTTTTACGTTTCTTCTAGGATCCCAAACTTGAAGACCAAGGCATGGTCCTTCGTCCATAGAGCAAAGAAGGACGGGATTCGGCCAACGCCATTGAGTGTACACCCTGAAGAACCGAGACGTTAACATACTTGGGAGGGCGTTAGGATAAAGTTGGCATATCCGAGCTACAAGCAATGCCCAATTAATACCACCAAGAAATCCAGAGACCTAACAGTTGCCATCAAGAAATCTTAAGAAACATAACAGTCAAAACAAAATGGAGTAAAAGAGTTCTAGAGAAGGATTCAACATACGTTAGAGTATACTCCACGTCGCTTGGCCCAAAACCGCATGCATCTTAAAGTCGTCCTAAAATTCTGCTCATAAAATTTACACTTAGATTCAGTATAAGCAAAAACATAAGGGCGAATTATAAGATATGTATCCTCAGTGAGCACAAAACCTGAATGTTGGGAACCAGACGCAAGATCTGGTCAGTAACTCTACAACCGTTAAGGCTTCGAACAGTTTGCTCATCAGCATTCTGTAGAATGGAATCCTGTAATATATCCAAGTCCTGCACCAATAATATCAGGTAGGGAACAAAATTAAGACTCCATAGGAGAGATAAAACCAGAGCTCCAGAACCAAATAAACTATTTCCCAAAACATCCACCAAACACTACCTACTAGCACGAAACTATTTGGTTGTAATTAGTATTAATCTACGGGTTAAAAAGTAAAGTAATCTGCAAAATGAGATCTTCCTTGACAAAACTGAGAAATATAATCATCAATCATTCAAACAATCACCTAACTGTAATTCAAGAAATTACCTCAGGTATAACATAGAGCGGAAGTTGTGCATAAAGGAGATCTATAGAAACTCCATTAAGTTTGAATCCCATCAATGGAACATGAGCATCAGGCACAGGGTGCAGTTCAGTTACTTCAGGCATTTCCGACAGCATTCTTTGCAGCTCACCAAAGAAATCCTCCTATTGACAATTATAAAGAAGAATTTCGAACTCAGAATAAGTCGACAGAAGAACTAATCAGCCCAACGTATAAGATGCAAGAGGTTAATAGTACTTTTCTAGTTGCATAACTAGGTCCCACACATAAAGTGTCTATATCAGCGCCAGGTCCATGTACCTATTTGAACAAGTAAAACCAACTGTTATAAGAATGCTAGAAAATGGCTGATTATAAGAACAATCACAATTGCAAATGAACTCTTTAGGAGAGTAAAAATCTTCTCTCCCAGAGCCAATATGTTTACCAACAATTGAAATGCCTGAAAAGCTCATACAGAGACGATTCAAGTGGCATATATAACATTGATTTCAATATGTTTGAACGAAAACAAAGACAGACAATGTGAACACAAGTGATTCCACTTTCCACACAGAAACATCTAAAGAAAAACACAAGCTTTCACAAATTCACTTTGTTCTCTTTCCATCCACACTAAAGATTTTCGTAATACAAGAAGAAGAAGGAGTAAACAAAAAGCTAAATCTTCTGTAAATCTGTCTCGTTACCCCTAGACGATAAGAACCGAAAGTATATATCTTTGCATTGGCCTCATGAAGCAGCTGATCATTCAACCCTTTGGCGCGGGTGACTGTTTTTATCCATGTTTTCACAACCTGGACACATAAACAACCGAAGCTTATCATGAATTTGTTACAATCATCAATGAAAATATCCATAAACCAAAGTTATTCGGATTAGGAGGTATAAGAACCTGATCCAGTTTCCCCAGAACCTCCTCTCTTCTCACAGCTTCCTCCTTACCCTCGTACAATCCAACATCTTGCAAGTACTGAACAGTCAAGTAAACACAAATACAACAGAAAGTTAAGATACAGATACAAGAAACTCTAGCATAGCAAGGCTTAAGCTTTAAGATAACAGCAAAACCTTCTCGAGCTCTTGTGTCTTGATCACATCAAGCTCTGTTGGACCTCCCAAGGAGATAGGTTCTGTAATTCCAAACCTTTGCCCATTTTGCTGGACACTAGCCATCAATCCTACTTTGTTCTTTTCCTCTCTCTTTTTTTTTCTTCTCTACTGTTTTTTTTTGTTCTATCTTTTTTTTTTTCTTTTTCTCAATGTTTCAATCAGATTCTACGAGTATGAACAAAAGTTCACCCTTTTTTTTCTCAACGATTCTTAGGCTGAATATTTTCGAATAATGTAAAGCTACAAACCGAAAACTCGGTGAAGATTACTATCGAGAAATTGTTGATCATACAGAATACAAAATCAAAGGCTTTGGTAAATTATAAGAAAGCAAAAAGAATAATAAAAAAGCACAACACTATGGAATCATACAAAAGTAGCCAACGAGTCGGAGGGCTCTTCTCGGGAACAACCCTTAAAACCCTAATCCGAGCGACTGGTAATACAACGACTGGAATCGAGGGAATCAGCAGAAAGTATCGGCCTTTGAACACCCGGCGATCGATGTAGACAGAATCCGGTAGGAGCTGAACTCCGGCAGTGACGATTTTATTTGATTCTCCGGCGAAGAGAACTTCTTTTCCCCTCGAAACGGAAATTGGGGACGGCGAATATCTCGTGGCAGTCTCCTATATAAATAATCGAGAGGAGATTCTAGGTTTGGAATCGCAACGAATTTCACCCTTCTCGCGTGGGATTAAGACAAAGATCTTTCGGGCCACACAATTATAAACTCAATAAGGATTTTAGGAAGGCAAAGGGGACCGTCTTTTGACCCGATTTTAGATTTGGCTCCTGAATTTTGAGAACCCGACCCGTTTATTTTTAACTGGGTATTCCCCACTTTTTTTATTTTTAATTTGTCTCTTTTTGCTTTTCTTTTGGTCAACCTAGTTATTCAGTTCTTTTCTAAAAATAATTACTTTTTATTTTTTTTTGCGTTGAAAATTTGAAATGTCTAACAACGGACGTAACTATAATTAATAGACATGTAAATGTACTTTCGCTGGAGTTTATTACAGTTGGATACTAGGATTAGGATCTGATTAAAGCTTATATTTCTGAAAATTAAATAATACAGTAAATATTTTCACAATATTCTTCTTCCCGTGAAATCTCCGCCACTGAAGGAAGAATCTCAACATAATCACAATCAGAGATCCGCGCTTTTTGAGTTTGGATAACCGAAAAAGAAAGAGATATTTCTCATTTTCGTCTGTCTCCGACCATGAGTGTAAGAAATGAAGAAAACACTCAGGCAGAGAATCACGGCGGAGTAGAGGAGCAAAAGCCACCGGAGAGAAGATGGCGATTCAATTCTCCTCTAGCTCAAGTGAGCTTAATGGGCTTCGTCTGTTTCTGCTGTCCAGGAATGTTCAACGCTCTCTCCGGCATGGGAGGCGGTGGTCAAATCGACCCAACCGCCTCTAACAACGCCAACACCGCCGTTTACACCGCTTTCACCGTTTTCGGCGTCCTAGGCGGCGCGTTCTACAACGTCCTCGGTCCACGGCTCACGTTAGCCGCGGGATGCTCAACTTACGTGCTCTACGCCGGATCTTTCCTCTACTACAACCATCACCACCACCAAGCCTTCGCGATCGTCGCCGGAGCTCTACTCGGTTGCGGCGCGGGACTTCTCTGGGCCGGAGAAGGAGCGGTGATGACGTCGTACCCTCCTCCGCATCGGAAAGGCACTTACATCGCCTTGTTCTGGAGCATCTTCAATCTCGGCGGTGTAATCGGCGGGTTGATCCCGTTTATCCTCAACTACAACCGTAGCTCCGCCGCATCAGTCAACGACGGAACGTACATCGCGTTCATGTGTTTCATGTCCGCCGGAGTTCTCCTCTCGCTCGGAATCCTCCCGGCGACCTCCGTGATCCGCGACGACGGATCCAAATGCTCCGCGGTGAAATACTCCCGTCCGTCGACCGAATTCGCCGCCGTGCTCCGTCTGTTCCTCGACCGGAAAATGCTCCTCATCGTTCCAGCAGCTTGGGCCAGCAACTTCTTCTACAGCTACCAATTCAACAACGTGAATGGACTTCTCTTCAACCTGAGAACCAGAGGATTCAACAACGTCTTCTACTGGGGAGCTCAGATGGCCGGTTCGATCGCAATCGGCTACGTGATGGATTTCAGCTTCAAAAGCCGGAGAGCAAGAGGATTCGCCGGAATATCCATAGTCGCGGTGATTGGAACCGTGATTTGGGCCGGAGGATTGGCGAATCAGCACGGTTACTCGTTTGGCAATCTACCGGAGAAGAAACTTGATTACAAAGATTCAGGGAAAGCATTCGCCGGACCTTTCGTGCTGTATATGAGCTACGGGTTGTTGGATGCGATGTATCAGAGTATGGTTTATTGGTTAATCGGAGCACTCGCCGATGACTCGCAGACGTTGAGTAGATACAGTGGATTCTACAAAGGAGTGCAGAGTGCAGGAGCTGCAGTGGCTTGGCAAGTAGATACACGTAAGGTTCCGTTAATGTCGCAGCTTGTTGTAAATTGGTCACTCACTAGTGTGAGCTATCCTCTGCTGGTTCTTCTTGTGTACTTGTATGTTAAAGACCAAGATAATGATGATGGTGGTGGTGCCAAGATTTAGACTTTTGATTTTAGAGAAGTACATAGAAGACGAATAAGTAGATGTGTTATATACAGTGATCATCCGTTATAAATCTAACAGTAACATTCGAAGAAAGGCTGTGAAAATCTGAAATATCTCTATGTATTTACTATTTAGAGACCGTTTGGGTTCTCATAACCAAATGGAACAAGAAAATATTCCAACAATTTAGTATTCAAATGGAAAAGTGTGAGGCACTATGGAGTCCCAACTTCCACTATTGATGATGTCTCGATTGTATTTAAAGAAACATGGCACTCATTTTGTAACGTCCGAAATGTCTACTTGTTGCAATGGAGAGAATCGATGCAGGTTCTCTTGAGCTCGAACTTGTTTTGCGACAAGCAGGCTATTAATTAAATGGAATCCAAAGATTCAGAACCAAAAACTTGTTCAAAGTAGATGAATTGTAGGTCATCCATAGAAGACAAGTTTGCTACTTGCTTTGGTGAAAACCATGAAGCCAATCACACACCCACCATCCCGTATTGTGTATATAAACTATACTTGCTTTCCACACTTCTTGAAAGTTGAAACACACATTCCAAGCTGGAATCATACACAAGACATAATTTTACTCAGCCATCGGATTCCATGGAGACTAAACAGAGTATACCTCTCCTCACGGCCTGTCAGATGGGACCCTTCAATCTTTCTCACAGGTACGTACTCGTTTCTCCAAGTCTCCTCTTTGCCCTGAATCTTCAGTTATAACTTATAGTTCCTTTGGAATTGCATTATGCATACGTGTTTTTACTCTTTTGCATCCAAAATAAGCCAAAGAACTTACTCGAAAGTCCTGACAAATGGTGATTTTGTTTGATAGAATTCTCAAATAAACCTTTTTTCTGATAGATTGATTCTTTTTTTAAGCAACGAGCCTGGTTTTTCTTTTTGTCAATCATCTCTTCTTCTTTTTTTTTTATCTCCAACTACCATTTCGTTTCTGGAAGGAAGTTGTTGGCTTTGGATTATAATAGACGGTTATGATTTCTGAAACAGGGTTGTTCTGGCGCCATTGACGAGACAGAGATCGTACGGTTACATTCCTCAGCCTCACGCCAAGTTATATTACACTCAGAGAACAACGCCCGGTGGTCTTCTTATTTCTGAATCCTGTGTAGTGTCCGAGACCTCAAAGGGGTATGTATGACTCTGTTCACATTGAAAGTTCATATATTTCTTCTTGGTTAAACAACTTCCTGAATAGCTTCACTCTAACACGTGAGCTCTGTTTGTGAAGCTATCCAGATATACCTGGAATATGGACCAGAGAGCAAGTGGAGGCCTGGAAGCCAATCGTCGATGCGGTTCATTCCAAAGGCGGCATCTTCTTCTGCCAGATTTGGCACGGGTGGCAGGGTTTTCAATCAAGGTTTGCCACAAAAACAAAATCGTTTTCTTGTTGTTTATTTACCAAGAAAAATGACACATTCATGGTTTCATTTCCTGCCTTGCATGCATGTATAAATATATTGTTTTGCTCCATTCTTTAGACCAGCCAAATGGGGAAGCTCCTATCTCCTCGACAGACAAGCCCTTGACGTCCAAAAACATATATGGAGGTGAGTTTACTCCTCCAAGACGGTTAAGGACCGACGAGATCTCTGCCATTGTCAACGACTTCAGAGTTGCTGCAAGAAATGCAATGGAAGCTGGTAAGCAAAGCCTTTTCCCCTTAAAAATGTTAGATATTCATGTAAAGCTGATCAAGAGAAATAAGTTATAAGTACACAGGCTTTGATGGAGTCGAGGTTCACGGTGCACATGGTTACCTGATCGATCAGTTTCTGAAAGACAAAGTGAATGACAGAAGTGACGAGTACGGTGGGTCGCTAGAGAACCGCTGTAGATTCGCTGTTGAAGTAGTCGAGGCAGTGGCCAAGGAGATCGGTTCAGATCGTGTCGGGATCAGATTCTCGCCTTTCGCAGATTACATGGAGTCGGGAGACTCAAACGCAGAGGCGTTAGGACTGTACCTGGTGCAAGCTATGAACAGGTGTGGGATCATCTACTGTCACATGGTTGAACCTAGAATGAAACTTCTTGAAGAAATGTCCGAGTGCACGAAATCGCTGACGCCGATGAGAAAGGCCTTCAAAGGAACGTTCATAGTAGCCGGAGGTTATACGAGAGAAGACGGGAACAAGGCGGTGGCAGAGGGAGCAACGGATCTGGTGGGTTATGGACGGACGTTCTTGGCGAATCCGGATCTGCCTAGGAGATTCCAACTCAATGCTCCGTTGAATGAGTACGACAGATCAACGTTCTACACTTCTGATCCTGTCGTTGGATACACAGACTATCCTTTTCTCGAGACGACAGACACGGCTGCTTAAGTAATCTTTAGATACTGACCTTTAAGCTGATAGAGTCATATGGTTTAGAATTTCACATCATCCACTATTCATTATACTATCAGAAACAAATGTCTCGACATCGTACGTGTATCTAAAGTAATGCTACTCATTTAGTCATTTTGTAATGTCACTCATTTAGTCATTTTGTAATGTCTGTTTCAAGATTTTTCTTTTCCACAGAACATAAGCACAAACTTTGTCACACTGACGTATGAAACAAAAATATAATGCAACAAGGAAATGTCTTTCTCCGTTTGGTCCGTTTCACGCATAATAGCTACGGAAGAGTCAAAATAGTATTGTGGGGTTAAAATCAGATGTACAGATACTATGGGTGCTAAATTGTAAATTCGAGGTCAGTATTTCTCAGCTGAAGGACCTTCTCACTCTCAGCGACGGGATTGCGAGAAGACTATTGTCGGGAGACAACGAAGATTAACCTTAGGACTCTGAACGTAAAATGGAGAAGGAATCTGCTCTTACTCAAATGGAGAAACCGAATCATAAACACGCGGCTGATCCGTTTTCCGGCGAGGATTTGGTGCCGCCGATGAAGAAGGCGAAAAAGTCAGAGGAGACCGGATGTGATACATCGGAAGGGATAGCCAAAGATCCGAAACTCCCCAGTGCCGCAGAAGACGAGAAGCAGGAAATTCCCGGCGGCGGAGAAGCTGTTGCGAATACCGGGGCGAAAGAAGATAACAGTAGCTGTATAGGTGAGGAGAAGAAGGAGTTTCTCATTGAAGCTGATGTTGCTGAAGACAGAGGAGGTAGACACACTATGGAAGATGTTTGGGTGGTTTTGCCTGACGCTTCTTTGGATTTCCCTGGGAAACTAAGGTAAATTGATACTTTCAATAGATCTCTTATCAATCGAATATGATAATTAGGTCACACCAAGCTCCTTCTTTCAGTGAATTGGTCTTATTGTGCTTGCAAAGTTGAAATCTTGGTTAAATATGATTGAGCAGAGCTGATTTGAAGCTGTAATGCTTTATCTTGTTACGTAGGTGTGCGCATTTTGCCATTTATGATGGGCATGGAGGTCGTTTAGCTGCAGAGTTTTCTAAGAAGCATCTTCACCTTAACGTTCATGCAGCTGGGTTACCACGTGAGTTGGTCTGTTTGACTCGGTTTTAGATTAATCAATGTCTTTAGTATCACAAAGCAAGACTCTTTTGGTGTCACTCTGATGGCCTGACTTACTTTACCTTCTTTTGGCCCAAATGTTTGATTGCGGGTTCAGATGGACGTCAAAGTTGCTAAAAAGGCCATACTTGAAGGTATAATGAGTTCACTCCACACGAATTTCCAAGCTTTCTAATCAAATCCTGTTATGTCTATTGAGATCTAAATTGGTAACACAACTTTGCTATCAGGTTTCCGGAAAACAGATGAGTTGCTTTTGCAAGAAAGTGTTTCAGGTAGTTTGTGTTTTCATCAGTCTTTTTTCTCTCGGCTATATCTTGCATCTATGTGGATAATCTCAGAGCTTTGCTTTGCTTATATCTTCTCCACGGAATCGCTGAGTTATATTCAAATTCTTTGTTCTCACTGAGCAGGAGGATGGCAAGATGGTGCTACAGCAGTATGTGTCTGGATAATTGATCAAAAGGTATGACCGTGGGGATAACAATGATGGGTTGTTGTTCGTTTGGAATTCAATACACATTGACTCCATTCCTATATTACTCAATATTGATTCATTATAGGTTTTTGTTGCCAATATTGGTGATGCTAAGGCTGTGTTGGCACGATCCTCTACTACTACCAACGAGTTGGGGAATCATGCAGAAGCATGTAATCCACTCAAAGCAATTCTTTTGACAAGAGAGCACAAAGCAATTTATCCACAGGAGCGTTCTCGCATTCAAAAGGTTCGTCTATGATGTGCTATACAGTGATTTTCTAGTAGATTTGAGTTTACACCATGCTCTGTTGGTAACTTGGTATGAGTTTCGCAGTCAGGTGGTGTTATAAGCTCAAATGGACGGTTACAAGGGCGTCTTGAGGTCTCTAGGGCTTTTGGTGATCGTCAATTCAAGAAGGTAATGATTCTTTGACGTGTTCTTGAACCTAGCTCCATATTATTGGCAATTCTAAACACTGATCCTCACTTGACTCTGTTAGTCATTCTGAAATCTTGCATCTAACACAAGTTATTGAATCCAGTTTGGTGTCACTGCAACTCCGGACATTCATGCATTTGAATTAACTGAGAGAGAAAACTTCATGATTCTTGGTTGCGATGGATTGTGGGAAGTAAGTGAACTCTTTACCTATAAGAACATCACATTCGTTTTTTATAACAACTTGTTTGCTCATATAATATACACCATTGCGTCCGTTTTCAGGTGTTTGGAACAAGTGATGCTGTTGGGTTTGTTCAGAAACTCTTGAAGGTACGAAACTACACTTGTCAAATCGATTTGTTCTCCATTTCACACTGTTTAACTCATTGAAAGAAACCCAAATAAACATGAATGAGGGTTTGCTGAGTGCTGTAATTTTGCAGGAGGGCTTGCCTGTAAGCACAATAAGTCGTCGTCTTGTAAAGGAAGCTGTGAAAGGACGTGGTTGCAAGGACAATTGCACAGCGATCGTGATTGTCTTCAAACACGGTGGATGACAAAAAGAAAAGCCTGTGGACATCTTTTTTAATTTTGGAGGCTTGTGTGAGAGTTTGAAACCTTTTGTTGGTAAACTCTTCTTTAGATTTTGAGTCGATGGAAAAATTATACTCATGGGGCCGCCATTGAAAAGTTAGTTTGAAGATTAAACAGAAATCTCTGAGTGCAAAAGAATTCCAGAAGCAAAAATGCAGAGCTTTATAATCATAGAACATGATGATCAGTTTACAATTACAATGAATAAAGCAAATGTAACAACGAAATATTATCATTGTGAATTTAGGTCTCTTTGGTTTGTAACTAAGCAAAAAAAGAACAAGAATAAATCGCCATCTTACACAAGCAGCAGTAAATTGACAATTTAACAAAGTTGTGGTCTCAGCAGAACATAAAAATGGAGGAAGGTAAGAGAACGAGGCAATGTAACCAACATTACTATTGGAACTCGAGGTCAAGCTTCCTCTTCAGATGAGATCTATCAGCACTACAAAATGAACAAGAAGAGAAGCCATCAAAACATATCCAATCTTGAGACTGCAAAAACAACTTAGATCAGTACACAAAGGGGAGCAATAGCTCTATTTTTACCTGGTGATGGTGGGTCGGTTTGGAGGCCGCTCAGCGAGGATGGTAAAATCTAATGACATGGGCGCTTGTTGATCCTTATCAACGTGAGACTTCACACAATCGAGCTTCCCACGCTCAGGCATCAATCTTCTAAGCTTGCGAGGTGGCGATACCACTCTAATGGCATCGTGTCTATCATGAGAGGCCTTACCTTCCTGCTTCCGAAGTGGCTTTGGAAGCTTAGCCGGGTCAGTGGGAGCAGGTGCGGAAGTGAAGAACCTAAGAAGAATATGAAAACAAAGGAGTGAGAACAGAACTATATATACGTTGCTTCTAAATAGGTGGTGAGCTATAGGCACCTGTGTTCTAGAGCCTTCTTAACAGAAATTCGAGCCTTTGGGTCATAGGTAAACATTTTGGACAACAAGTCGAGAGCATCTTCACTAACTGCTGGGAATAAAGAGCGCAGAGACGGTGCAGGGATAAATTGATATTCTACATAATCTGGAAGTTTTTTCACGTCAGGCCACTGATCCGCTTTTGGTGTCCCAAAGGCAGCGAATATTTTGCTTAACTGATCGATATCACTATTTCCCTGCGAGGAAAGAGAACCAAATATGTTAGCATATAATGTTTAGCCATGATGAGTTATGTAGAGATCATTTAACCTGAAGAAATGGTCTGCGTAGCAGAAGTTCGGCAAATATGCAGCCAGCAGCCCAAACATCAACCGCAGCACCATATTGTTTTGCACCAAACAAAAGTTCTGGCGCTCTGTACCATCTAGCAAACACCTGTGCATCATCAGATAGATCAAGATACGAAGATATTGAAGCAACAGAAATTAAGGTGTGTTGCGCATCTGGAAAGAGAGTTCTCGTGGATTCTATAGTAATCATGGGTGTTCAAAACGAAACAAAGAAAGCAGAAATTACTGAGATGCTATAGCAACCGTTCCATCATGTAGTTTGAGTTGAGATGGTCTAATATATGTACAACAAGAGAAGTCAAAAGATTATCCAAGACTTCAAATCTTCTCCATACATCCACACAATTACAGGCAAAGAATGCTCAATGAATTCATATAAGATAAGTTTCCTACGGGTTGGTTTTACACCGATCAATTTATTTCTACTACAAAGCAAACGATAAATGGCAATGCGCAGGAACCATACCTGGTGGGTGAACTTACGACCTGGACTACCAAATATACGTGCTAACCCAAAATCTGCAAGCTTCAGCTGTCCATCAGGTCCTATCAACAAGTTATTAGGCTTCATATCCCTGAACTCAAGGCGACACATAATCAGTGCTAAACCAAGCAGCATTAGAGAGCCAAAAGCAACTTCTTTAGGGATAAACAAGTACCTGTGCAAAACCCATTTCTCGTGGCAATAAGCAAGTCCTTTCAGTGTCATTAGGAGGTAAGATTTTATGTCACCGGGTGAGAGGAATATGTTTGAATCGCGAATAACTGCTTCGAGGTCAGTCTCCATGAACTCAAACACAAGATGCAAGTTTTCTTTGTGAGGAAACGCATCTATCAACAGAATTATGTGTGGATGCTTTAATTCTTTGAGCATTTTGATTTCCCTGAGCGCCGTAATATTTACACCTTCCTTTTGTTTACCAAGCCTTATCTTCTTGATTGCTACAGTTTCTTCCGTCTGCAAATTCGCCCAGAAAACTGTTACTTCCCATCATCCAAAGGAACTAAATCTTCAAAAACTACTAAGACATTTCATCTGAAATCAGAGAAGAAAGGAACCACAAACTGTGTGTGTGAAAGAGATACAAAATGCCCAGAATGCAAACGCAACAGAAGGTTGCAAGATCGACATTGAGAATCAAAAGCATATAAAGTTCATAAATTGCAAGTCGAATTAACACCCAGATTCTCAAACAGAAAACCCAATATATATTCCCAAAGATACACGAAATCTGGAACTAAAAAAGGAAAAATTAGTATTACCGAATAATCCTAAACCCTAATTTCAAACAAATTTGAAGATATGAGCAAAGCAATCACCTTAGTATCAGTGGCCTTGAAGACAACTCCATAAGTGCCTTGACCAAGAAGCTCTCGCTTGAGATACCTATCAGCAACTTTCTTTGGCTGCTCCATTTCCGGCATTCGCGGTCCACCAAATTAAAATCAATAATCTCCCACTCTTTATTCTTTGTTCACGTAGGTTTTCAGAAAATCCTTCTCCACACCTCAATTGGTTTTCTCAATTTCAGGGTAAAAAGTCGACGCTGACGAGGACACAGCGGATTCTAGGGATTTAACGTCGGCAGCTCCGGTGCCGGTAAAGTAGCCGTTGGTCCGTTTGCAGACGCAATCGGCGAATCGAGGGAAACGAAAAAAAGAAATTGAAAAAAGAAACGAAAAATTCTCTCTAGCTAGTAAAGTGGGTGAGTGCGCTCAACAGTGAGATAGAGAGAGAGAGAGATAAGGTACTGCGCGCAAAACGACACCGTTATCACACACCAATTGCAATAATTTCTACTAAACCCGGTTTGACCAAATTGGAACGTGAAACCATCCGGTTTTACATTAGAACATCAAAATCACATACAGTATGGGGCCTATGGGCTATGGTTCACACTTTACAGTCGAGAGAGAAGAAGAAGAGAGTCTTCATGAAGCAATGCGGCGACAACGACACCAGAAAGCTGTACCGCCGCTTCTTCCACGAGCAACGGCTATTTCTTCATCGACGTAAAACCAAATGAAGAAAGGGTCTTTGTTACTCGGCTCTTCCTCTGCGTCTTTCTTCCCCAAACCAATCTCTAGAGGATCTAAAGGTCCAATCTTTATCCGAATCTGTTCGAAGACGAAAGCTAGGATACGATTCTTCCATGAAAACTTTCCTTCGAATGTCAAAGCTCCTACTGGACCAAGATACACACCATTCTCTATTCTTTTCCCCTGAAATATAAACTTTTTGTTACTCCTGAAATGTCTTGCTTTCAGGAGTTAAAGGTTTAGTTTGGAAGATAAGAAGAAGGGAATTACCGCAGCATCAAATCTCTGGACAGCGGTTAGAGGGAAATAACGACCTTTCTTCAGTTTCTTCTGTATTTTATATGAGATACCATGTCAGTAATATGATGGATCAAGACTACAACATTTTTAAGACAGGAAATAGGCTAATGAATTTGTAATAGACCTCAGCAGTGAAGATCAGCATCCATGTTCGTCCAGGGGACTCGGATCCACCAAGTGTTTCAAGGAATGTGGATGGATCAACTTTAGCCTTTTCAATAGCGGAAAAAGCAGATAAAATCTCGTCTGCTGCAACTTTACGAGTTTTCGCAGCTGTTTTTAACAGATTCACGCTCTCCGTTACTTCCTACAGTTACAAAGGGATGAAGAAAAAAAAACACTTCAAAAATCATTTCACAATCTTAAGAAAAATACATGATGAGAATCTTGCATTTGAAATAAGTAACTCATAGTCTGCTTTTAATTTCCTTGGCTTATGCTTTCTATTAGACCAAAAGTCATGAAATGTATAAAGTGCTTGTACAAGCTCTTCCAATTTACTAATTTAACTAGAAAGTAACTTCAGCTGGTTCAAGATAAGAAGATCAACGAAAGCGCAAAACAACAGATGTTTCTCTAACTTTCTCTGCCGAGACAGTGTTTTCTTAAAACGAAATATAATTTGCTGAACTGAAAAACAATCGAAATGAAAAAGGTGCGTACTTTGTTAGGGGTCTGATTTTGCGCCGGTGGAACAACCTGGTTCCTACCATCGGTTGTGGCTTTCACCGAATGTAATCGCTCGCGACGATTGAAGAAGAGAGAAGAAGAATAAGATGGGGACGAAACCCATGAAGCTAGTGAAACCATAATTGTCTTTATAAAGCTCCCGAGTTTTTTACCTTCTTCATCATTCTTCTGTTCTCTTCCACATCAACTTTTTCAGACAGACGGAAACCAGAGCTCGTCGTTCTATTCTGGTCCACCAGTTTTAATTGGCTGAGAAAAGCTTTAAGTTAAATTTATTTCACCTCGACCGTTATCTCAATACCACCAGACCAAAATCCTGATGCTATTCAATTTTGAGAATGTTTGCCTTTTTAGTTTCCTGGTTAACTTTGACACGACTAAAATTCCATTTCGGTTTGGTATGGTCCACTATTTGGTTTTCATAGAAATGGAGTGGACTATTGGAGTATTAGATCGGTTTTGGTCTACGATTTGGCCAAATTCAATTTAAATACGAATGAACTTGGATGCACAGAGAGACTCATGATTGACGAGCAAAACCAAAAACAAACAGCAACAGTCAAGCCGCATGGAGCAAGGACATAGAAAGAAACCGGCACTTGTCTAGCAAATTTCAAGGAAAAAATAGTGTTTCCTCATCTATGACATAACAAACTCCAAATAGCCAAAAACACACACTCAGCTAAAATGGTAACAGTAACTGTAATTGTAAATTTTAGCTTCAAAAGTAAAAACTCTCTCATGTTCATTATAATATTTCCCTCTTTCTAGCTTTTAAATGTCCGGAAACCGAATCTCAGGTTGTGCCTCTTTGCAGTTGTAAATCTCAAACCTCAATAGTGCACCAAATCAAAGCAACTCAGATTCCTTGGTGCAACCTGAAAGCCGTCTCCTGCTGTTTAAAGAACCAGAATCGCTTTTAGATAGGATATTTTCTAGAGATAATTCTTCCAAATAACTGAAATCACAAACCCACCTTTTTCTCACAAAATTTGGATCAAGCGCTTGAGGAAGCACCTGAGAGCGCAGTCACCTTTCCAACAGCAACCGTTTTCCCTGTATTTGACCCAAACCCCAAATAAAATTTGTCAACCATGAACGTAACTGCATTGCATTTAGTTTAAGTCTTTTGAAATCCTTACCTTCAGTTCGTAGAGTGAATCTTCCAAGCTGAGGGAAGTCTGAGAATTTTTCAACACAAATTGAATTGGAAACCTGCAGAGATAAGAGCAATGGGTAGTACAGATTACAATTAGAAAGACTTGACCATTACCTGGCTTTAGCGTATGGCAATCAATGAAAGTTGCGAGGGAAAAGAAAGAGGCAATCAGAAGGAACCATACCTGTATACGACAAACAACAATCGCACCATTCTTCACAAACAGAATTTTCTTTTTCATGGGTTTCCTCGTCTTCAGATCAATTTGGCTAACCAATTCGATTATCTCACATTCCTCTACAACGGCATGAACGTGAAGAACAGCCTTGTAACCAGCTGTAAATATAGCCTGCAGGAACAGCAAAATAACGAAGACTCGAATGATTCAACTTCTCAATACACAGAAAGAAAGCAAGACTATCCAGAACTGTAAATACTAAAACAGTCGACATTCCAGAAGAAACATCTGTGCTTACGTTGTCAAGCAGCTCAAGGATTTGTAGTTGGGCAACGAACTCAGTAACAGCAGGGACAGGCTTAACTGATACAGAAAACAAAGAAAACTCCAGATTAGTACAATTATGAAAAAGAGAAGACTAGATTCCAGATATCAACAAAAATCATTTGGAATGAAAGCTATCCGTGAAACATCATACTCACCCGTGCTGGATAAAACAAAACCGGCAACGATGTCCTCGTCTTCAATGCCAGTTATACGGACTCTCAAATTCTCACCCGGTCCTGCACGCTTAACTTTGTCTTCATCGCAATATATAGCAACAACTTTCACATGTTCCTACATTGATACATGAAAGTCGTCAGGAAAACAATAAGCTGGCAATTAGATATGAAATGAAAGAGTAGACATCTGGAAAGTACCTTGTTTGGCATAATAATCAAGGAATCACCCTCCCGAATGCTGCCAGATTCAACTTTTCCCATAACAACTGTTCCCATGTCTTTGAACTTATCAATAATTGGCATCCTACGATTCATAAAATCAATTTAGTTAACACAGTGTGCAACATATCAAGATAAGTTTACAGACGATATTTTCTTCTTTCAATCAAGAGAATGGAAAAGAACTATCGAGGACATTTCCTACTAAGCCGGATAAAACATATGCAAAATTGGAGAAGTTACATGGGATGCAGAAAACAATGCTTAGAGATGTTCGTTGTCTATAAACAACATTTATACACAAGTGTCATTGATTTCATGAATGCATCAGCCAATATCTAATAAATAATAACAAAAGAACACAATGGAATGACAAGAGAATACGAAAAGGGAGAGTGACTGTTAACCTGAATGGACCATCAGGATCCCGTAGCGGGCCTTCAATAGTATCAAGGACTTCAAAGAAGCTAGGACCACTCCACCAAGGACAAACAGTTTGACCCATCCTCTTGTCCATATTTATCCCCATTAGACCAGATATAGGCAAGAAGATAACATCTTCACACCAAAAAGGTAAACGAACAATTAAAAAGCCATTCGACCATAGCTAATCTGCAAGGCTTACAGTTCATTGCATACCTTTCTTTGTGTTGTAGCCAGAGGTTTTCAGAAATGGTACCATTTTCGATTCTATTTCATCGTACCTGCAGAGAAGTAATTTCAATACAAGGATGAACGGAAGAAGATATGAGAACCAACAGTGACAAGGATTAGAAAAGGTAATGTAAATACCTTTCTTTCGACCAGCCCACAGTTGGATCATCCATCTTGTTTACAACAACGATCAGCTTTGACACACCCAATGTTTTTGCAAGTTGAACATGTTCACGTGTCTGCCCACCTCTTTCATATCCTGTTTCAAATTCACCTTTTCGAGCAGAAATCACCTACAACGGAGAGACAGTGGCGTAGTTAATAGGCTTCCTGCAAGAGACGCAATGCTACAGTATAGTGAGAAACACATTAACATATTATAACTAACCAGCACACCAATGTCCGCCTGAGATGCTCCCATAATCATATTTGGTACATAACTCTTGTGGCCCTACAAGTTCAGAAAAGCATAAGACAATTAAAACAGAAAACTCATCCAACATTAATGCTATGATCCAAATTCTCCACATGAAAGACAAATGAACGAAAAAATATTATTTTAGGTTGGTCCCTTACCGGAGCATCCAAAATGGTAAATCTAGTGCTCTCAGTTTCAAAATGTGCTCTTCCAACTTCCACTGTTTTACCCTGTCAAATGTAGCAAGTTGAAATCAACCATATACGTCTCTTTGAATAATCTCATCTTTGACACACATTTTTAGCAAAAGAAGAAACACTAACAAAAAAAGACAGGAGTGTACCTTCGCCCTCTCTTCTTCATTTGTATCCATTATATATGCCATATACCTAGCATAAAGGACAAGAACAATTCTATGAAAACCAAAAAATAGAACAAAAGGGATTCCATTTCAATTTGAACCAATTAGCAAGACTCACCAGCTTTCTCTACTTTTATCTTTTGCTTCTTTCTCATACTTTTGAATTTGTCGATCATCCACCTGACCGCTAAGGAAGAGAATTTGTCCTCCAATTGTTGATTTCCCAGCATCTATAATTGAATAAAGGCGTGTAAAGATTAAAGCCAAAAGCAGCCATTACACACTTAAAATACACACATACTGAAAACTCATGATCAGGATTTCAATTGCTGTGTCACATAAGCTCTGAGGTTCTGTGTGTACACAGTCCAATTTTCTTACAATCTCAGCTGTAGCACACGGTTTATGTATTATGAATGTAGAAATACACAAGATGTAGGTATTATGAAGATAGAATTGATGAAAAAAAATCAAAGAGTAGATAGCCATACCAACATGCCCAATGAACACCACATTCAAGTGTCTCTTTTTATTTGCTTCTGCCTCGTCCTCAGCTTCCTCTTTGGCAGCCTTCTCTTGGGCAGCCTTTTCTTTAGCTAATATTAATCAAAAATAAAAGATAGATAAATAAATCTCCAAGCAGTCAACACGATCGCGGAAAGATTAGAAGGAGTAGCATGAAAAAATCTAAAAACCTTTTGCTGGGTTATGCACTGGATGGAGCATTTCTTCATCATGATGCTCGGAAGCTGAAACCACCAAAGTCCAGCAAAAAAATTACCAAAGTGTCAAACCTCAGATAAATTTCACTAATTTTTAGAAAGATACATTAGAAAGAAAGGGAACATAAAAGACATAGGGACCTTGATGCTCATCGGGAACTGGCACTGACTCTTGCACCTTATCTTCCAGGTCTGCAAAACGAAGATAAAGAAGATATATTAGAACTAGCATCTGATACCATCACAGCACAAACATTGGTCACCCTCCGTCAACCAAAAGTTAGTATTGTACGTATCTAATAGCCACAATGGAAACAGTAGATATACAACAACCCACAGATAGTCAAATTCGTGTGACAAAGAAGATATACACAAAAAATTGTCATGCTACAACGAACCTTCTTCTGCTTTGTCTAGTTTCTCAACTACATCTGAGTTATGATCTTCCGGAATGACAGCACCATTGTTGTCTTCTACATATATCAACACCAACGTTTAGCACCATCGAAAATAGAAATAGATGGTTAAGCTTGTTATCTTCAGGAATTACCTGCGGAATCAAGCTGTAATGCGCGAATATCGGCCTCAAGATCTACACAGTTAATACACAGTTAATAAGAGACTGTGACTCGAAGTCAAGACCAAATATGTACAGAGAGCGCAAAAATGTTTGGGGAAAACCACTACTAGGATCGCCAGGGGAACAAAGAGGAAAGTTTTTCAGGTCAAACAAGTTTCATACAAGCTTTCACAAACCATCTGCTACATCCATCTAGTTCACCATAACATAATCTGAACCCCTCATGATGCAAACCTAGCTAGTTCATAGTTCTGATATTCATTTCGAGCTCCAGAACGTAGATCTAGGCAGTTCTACAATTACAAAGAGCATCACCTCAAATCAAAATTGGCTAAGTATTCCGCTAAAAATACCCAATCCTTCGCTATCTGAGATTGAAATTCACTCTTGTTATAGAGATGAAATCAAATACCCGGGTCAGCTCTACCCAGATTAAAGTAAACCCAATCAGCTAAACCCTAAATCCGATTTCTAATATCTAACGCCAATAATTCCCCTTCCAGTTTCAGATTAACTTCTAGGGCAACGATTAAATCGGCTCCATAGTCGATGTTAGCTCAGTAAGACACAAACACACAGCAAAATGAACAGAAAATCAGATCGAGCAACAATAGCAGTAAGCGCGCATAAAACACGAGAAATCGAAGGGAAAGCGACACAGAGGCGATGAAGAGAGAGAGAGCTCGGAAACCCTTACCCATGGTGGATGCTCGATTGGACGATAGAAAAGCTTTCTAGGTTTTATCGCGAAAAGGAAGAAGCTGCGTTTAAGGGATCCACCAAACAAAACCAGTGCCGCTTCTAAGAGGCTCTAATTTTTCCCCAGGTGGAGCTTATATATTCCCCTTTTACTTTCCTTCTTTTTTATTTCCAGAGACGATGAAAAATATTGTTTTTTTACGCAATCAACTTCTTTTCTCATCCGAACGTGTCAGGTTTCTAGTTTTAACGTAAAACGACGTCGTTAATAGAGACAAGGCCATCACGACTCACGATGGCCCAAATAGTAATTGCTCTAGATGGGTCATACTGGTCCTTATAGCCCATTAAGACGTATAATTGCCATTGGGAACTATGTTACGGAAAATGGTATATCGTACCAAAATTTGATGTCGACGTTTGTAATTTGGTGGACTTCAGAATCATTTTGTATGTAGTGCCACCATTTTGTTTGACAAACAATTTTTTCGGTGAAATAGAGTTTAGCACAAAACACAAAGTGGTAGTAAGGTAAACAAGTAACAAGACAAAGTTTTATACGTAGGAAATCTACCACTAGATTCTCTTTCGGGTTATAATCACCTACTTTATTTAACCTTCAATCCTTTTTTTTTTTGGTAAAAATTAACCTTCAATCCTGACCGCAGATTTATTCCTTCTTGGTTTGTCTGTTTCCAATACTTTAAAATGTTAATATAAACAAACAAAAACAAAACAACAAATTGAATGTTGCATTATAAGGAGTGGGGTAACACAAAAGCCAAGGAGAGGGCATGTGACGTGTTTATCAAAAAGAGAATCTAAAGCTAAAGAATGTTGGTCAATTTCTCCAAACCCCTTTGCAAATCCATTATATATATTTTCTGTATTTAAATCTTCACCCCAGAATTGATCTTCCTAATCTTCCTAATCCATATAATTGATCTTTTCTGTTATATAAACATTTCTCTAGCAGCCTCGTCTAGTGTCCACTTGCTTTCTATATTCTTTGTTCAACTGGATTTTTCGAATCTATAGTAGGCCAGATAAATGTTTGGAATAGTTTTGTTTCGTTGACAATTCAGTAGTTACCAACGACTTGAGTATGTATTAATCAAAGTAACGATTACTGTTAAGCTGTTAAAGAACCAATTAATAAAATCCCCAAATACTGTAATAGTGCCGGTTTTGAAAATTACTCTCTCTCTCTCTCTAGGGCTACAGATTTTAGTCTTTAAAAGCCTTTCAAGTTTCATTATGTTTCCATTCACTAACTTCACTTGTTCTCCTCTCCTCCTTTTTCCCCTTCTTTTTAGAGTTCTTAGTTTCTGGTTTCCATTCTCTATATATGATGGTCGAGATCTGCTGGTTGTTTTTTTGTAACAAAGGCTTTACAAGATCTATTGGTTTCCTTCATGCAAGTTTAATCTTTACAAGTTTCTTCTGTTTCTCTATCTCCTTTTCGAACAGTTATAGTTAAAGGTTCTAGCTATGGTTATAACTTTTATAAAAACAAAAAATGCATTAGTCTCACTCTATTTTCTTGTTTAGATCTCCAATGAATTAAGTCTTAGTTCTGTGTGCAAGTGCTTTGATTTCATCTACCTAGAGTGGTTGTTTTTTCTATTTAACTATGAAGCATGTGTTTAGGCTAGATGATGCATGTGCATATGAATCTGAGGTTACTTAACTAAAGCAGATCCACATAATTATGTTTAACTTATGAAGAAAGAGAGCAAGAGCTCCTTGAAGTTCAAAGGAGGGTTTAGCAGGGTGAAGTAAAGCTGCTAAGCTATGGATCCCATAAGCCTTTATCAAACTCAGAAATAACTGATGAGAAGGCTTTTTTATGGATTCCATATCTCAGGAGCTTTCACTTACCCCTTTAATGGCTTCACTCTTCTTTGGATTGAAGGGAGCTCTTCATCTCTTACCCTCTCACTCTCTCTTCATTTATTATAAAACAATGATAATCTCCCATATTTTTTCTGTGCTTCAGCCTGCAGGTGTATAGACATGGACGAGAGATCTGGCTAGATTGAAAAAGGATAAGTAACATATGTGTATTTTTTTTAGCAAAAAAGCATATACGTGTATTTTACTTTTTTTGATAATTTATTTGTAAATTGTACTCGTCATGTGAATCTTGTATACATGTTTTTGTATTATGTATCTTTTGTAATTCGGAATTCACGGACTATGACTCGTTATAATGAATGGTTCATATAGATTCGCTGTGAGTTTTTAAAAAGTTCTATAACGACTATTGTGGTCCTCGTCTTCTTGGACCACTTCTGAATTCGCTTTTCATTAACAAAAATCATTCCCGCAGCCTAAGAAAAAAGAAAATAAAGATGCGCTGTCGTTCACACCATTCAACTATACTTGTTTGAGTGCCTCATTTTCAAATAATTTAGACATATTAATTTTTTTTTTTTTTGGATCAAGTTATTTCAACTGTGAATTGTTTAGAATACTGTGTCCACATCTAACTAGGCATTTACCTATCAATATGAAGTAGAAAAGAACAATTATAGCTATGCCATCTAGTTGTTCCAGTACAGAGGTTTTATAGATTTGTTTCCACTAAGCAATTATCATTGGTTTTTTTAGTACCATGTAATATTGATTAGCAATTCTGACATTTATTTGTTGCCATCTAAACAGCGCTATTTTCATCTGAACAAAGAGAACATAACCTTGGCTCTCATATTTGACATCAACGAAGTAAATCGCATATATCGTTTGTAGAAAGAATATGTTAGAAATTGACATAAAGATAATAAATTGTACCTTTTTAAAGAAACAAAATACAAAAATGAATGTTTCTGCACATGAAAAATTAGTGTAAACTTGTAAGTTATATATGTGTGTCAGTGTATCATTCGTTCCACTTATGTTTGTTTGTTGCAATTACCATTGCTTAGAAATAAAGCAAAATCATAATGATGCAAGAGATCAGAATTTCAGAGTCCACCAGAGACTGAGGGAAAACAAAGCAAATTTGAAAACGTTACGTTCGGAGAAATCTTTGCCACGAAAATATGAAAATGCCAACCAAATATGGACTGAAAATGAAGAGGCCCAAATATTTAAGACCCACTAATTATTTAATCATCCAGGCCCAGGAAATGAACCCTAATCCATTTCTTTGTCACCCACATATAAATCGCTTCTTCTGTTTTTCACGCCTTCTCGTTCGCATCTCCGCCTCCCCCGAGAAAGCGAAAACCCTAGTTTCAGAGGCTTGCTCCAGACACCGACAATGGCGGAAAAACTCGTTTTGAAGGGCACCATGCGTGCGCACACTGACCATGTGACGGCAATCGCCACGCCGATCGACAACGCAGACATCATTGTCTCAGCTTCCCGCGACAAATCCATCATCCTCTGGAAACTCACCAAGGACGACAAGTCCTACGGTGTAGCTCAGAGGCGTCTCACTGGTCACTCCCACTTCGTCGAGGATGTTGTCCTCTCCTCAGATGGCCAATTCGCCCTCTCCGGTAGCTGGGACGGCGAGCTCCGCCTCTGGGATCTCGCCACCGGTCTCTCCACCCGCAGATTCGTCGGACACACCAAGGACGTGCTCTCCGTCGCATTCTCCCTTGACAACCGTCAGATCGTCTCGGCGTCTCGTGACCGTACGATCAAGCTGTGGAACACTCTGGGTGAGTGCAAGTACACCATTTCCGAAGGAGGCGGCGAGGGACACCGTGATTGGGTCAGCTGCGTCAGATTCAGCCCCAACACTCTCCAGCCGACGATTGTGTCAGCGTCGTGCGACAAAACAGTGAAAGTGTGGAACCTCTCGAACTGCAAGCTGAGATCGACTCTCGCTGGTCACACCGGATACGTCAGCACCGTGGCTGTATCACCAGATGGTTCGCTCTGTGCGAGCGGAGGCAAAGACGGTGTCGTTTTGCTGTGGGATTTGGCAGAAGGGAAGAAGCTTTACTCTCTGGAAGCAAACTCTGTGATCCACGCGCTCTGCTTCAGCCCTAACAGGTACTGGCTCTGTGCTGCGACCGAACAGGGTATTAAGATTTGGGATCTGGAGAGCAAGAGCATTGTTGACGAGCTGACCGTTGATCTCAAGGCTGAGGCTGAGAAGTCCGACGGAAGTGGTGCTGCTGCCACCAAAATGAAGGTACACACATATCAGCTCATGGCTCGACTATATAGTTTGCAATCCATTACAAGTTTTCTGCTTTTGTTTAGATAGATGTTTCTTTAGATTATAGCTTAATCTAGATCTGTTGTAGGGAATGTAGAAGTGTACAGAAAATATTCTTACATGGATTGATCTATTTAAATGCAATCAAATGATACATGTATATGGTTGTTATTTTTGATTCCCCTTCTTCTTTGTCTTAATGTATCTTCATAAATGGGCATGCCATAGATTGCACTATATTGTTGAGGACTTTTTATACCAAAATGTGAATGTGAAGCCTGTATAGCATATTTATTACATGAGATTCCTTTTTTTAACCATGGAGATTGGATTTGTTTGTTGGTGTGGGCAGGTTATTTACTGCACAAGCTTGAACTGGAGCGCTGATGGAAGCACCTTGTTCAGTGGATACACCGATGGAGTTATTAGAGTTTGGGGTATCGGTCGTTACTAGTTTATCCCATCTCCTTGCCGGCTTTGCCTACTTCCTTCCGTGGTTGTTTTTATTTGTCACTTTTGTTTTTTTTTGAGTAAACCCATAAAGTACCCTGAGATTTTGCAAGGATGTTTCGTTTCATGTCAATTCTAGGTTTGGTTCATCTTTTCTGTGAGATTTTCCGTTTTAAAGTTTCTCCAATCTTGTGGCAATGAATCAATGATATATCAAAACGCTCAGAATATAACTTCTATGAAAATATTAACTCCCTAAACAAACATGTTGCAAGTAATAACAAACCAAAATGTTTAGAACTTTAGATGCCACTCTGCACGTGCACAAGTACATTTGGAAATGGACGAGGACAAGTACATTTGTGTGCACTGCACGTGCGTGCGTAATTTTGCTCGGTTGCATTTTCTTCTACCAATTAGTATTTGCCACGTAGACTGGTATTGTCGAACAGCCTCTTCAACTTGATGACGTGGCGTCTGTCGTATTTGATTCGGTCCCGCCATTTCCTTTTCGCGCCAATGTTTTCATTTCTTTTTCACCTTTTTTATTTTTTACTCCCTCTCTCTCCCGGTAATAAAAGCGAAGCTATATAATATAAGAAAAATAAAATTGGACATGTCCGAAAGAACCCTAAGATAGAGAGGCAGAGCAAAAGATAAGACAGCAGAAATGGGCATCAAGGACCTTCTCAGATTCATGAAACCCTACATTCTTCCCATTCACATCCAGAAATACGCCGGCAAACGGGTAATTCATTTCTCCGATTCGTTTTTCCTAATCGATTTTAGTTTCCGTTAAATCGTTCCGCGGAAAAAAAAACCAGTTTTTAATTCAGGGGTTAAACATTTTTGTATTTCCAGGTGGGAATCGATGCATATTCATGGCTACACAAAGGAGGTAAGATTTTGTGCTCTCAAACAGTCAAAATGCTTTTTCTTGTTAGCAAACCGTGAAACTGCAATCAGACCCAGAAAATTCCTTAATTTCGAATTCGTCCCTATAGATTGGAAGTTGAAGAGCGAAAGAGGAAACTAATTGAACCATTCCCGAGCTGATAATCTTATCTACTGAGTGATTTTCAATTTCTTGACTTGGTGGAATTTTCTTTTTCCACAGCATACTCATGCAGTATGGAGCTGTGTTTAGACACTGATGGGAAGAAGAAGCTGAGGTACATTGATTACTTTATGCACAGAATCAACCTTCTTCAACACTATGAGATCATCCCAATCGTTGTTCTTGATGGTGGTCATATGCCTTGCAAAGCTGCCACAGGAGATGAACGTCAAAGGCAAGTCTCTGTAGTATAATCAAATCTTCTTTGTTTCCTTCTTTATGCTGCCAATGGAATTTTTCATTTAACTAAGCATGTTTGGTATTATTTCGATCATAAGGAAGCGAAAGGCAAACTTTGATGCTGCAATGGCTAAGCTTAAGGAAGGGAATGTTGGAGCTGCTACTGAGCTTTTTCAGGTGCTTAGTGATAACTTGTATAACTCTTTGCCTTGTTACTACCTCTGCTTATTATCAGCTACGAGCTTTTTCAGGAGCTTAATTTTCTTTTCATTTCAATGGCTTGGATCTATAAGTTGTGTAACTGTTTGCCCTTGGACTTACAATCACTGCTAATTTGCCTCATGACTTGTCTGTGTTCACTAGGAAGTTTTTCCTCTATCCGTATTATGAGTCTGCAATGAGCTAGTTTTTCAAAATCTTGCAAACATAACATTTTTCTCTTGAATCATAAGTCTAGTTTGGCATTCTTGCTGTGTTGATTTGTGTGTTTGGTTAGTAATTTGTCCTGTAATAGATTTTGGTCGAGACTAGGATATTGTGTGAGCTCATGTCTTTATTTGTCACTACTATGTGCAGAGAGCAGTTAGTGTAACATCATCCATGGCTCATCAACTGGTTGAGGTATAATTTGTTTATTAACCGAGTATAACTTCTCAGGGAAATATGAATCTTTCTTCTCTATGCCCTAACACCTTCTTAGGTTCTGAAATCAGAAAACGTCGAATTTATTGTAGCTCCGTATGAGGCTGATGCTCAGCTAGCTTACTTATCTAGCCTCGAACTTGAACAAGGCGGGATTGCTGCTGTTATAACCGAGGACAGCGATTTACTTGCGTATGGCTGCAAAGCTGTAAGATATTCTTACACATACAGTAAAACAAAGCCAAGTGTTTTTGAAGATCACTTTATGATATGTTTCCTCAACTTCTGTATGGTTAAAGGTTATCTTTAAGATGGACCGGTATGGTAAAGGAGAGGAACTGATTCTAGATAATGTCTTTCAAGCCGTTGATCAAAAACCTTCTTTCCAGAATTTTGATCAAGAGTTATTCACTGGTTAGTATTATCTATTTCTGTAACCTTTGTTGTGACTGTCTTCCTCAGCATACATTGATACTTTGTTGTGGTCCTTGTGGATGACTGTTCTTGGTTTGGCCTTTTTCCAGCAATGTGCGTATTAGCCGGATGTGATTTTCTCCCCTCGGTTCCTGGGGTTGGCATTTCAAGAGCTCATGCATTCATCTCCAAATACCAGAGTGTAGAACGCGTAAGCATTTTCTTTATCCGGCGAGTGCTTAATGCTTTTTCTTCTATCGCTAAAAGCAAAAGCCTAAGACGTTCAATCTGTGGATTATTGTAGGTTTTGTCAGTTCTCAAGACTAAAAAGGGCAAACTGTTTCCTGATAATTACTCCAGCTCTTTAGTGGAAGCAGTTTCAGTTTTTCAGCACGCTCGTGTGTAAGTGTATCTCTCGTCTCAGTCAGCTGTTGCTAGTATCAACTCTTTTATTGTTCTTACTTCATTCCCTTGAATTCTAATCTGTTGCAGATATGACTTTGATGCTAAGAAGCTCAAATACTTGAAACCCCTCTCTCAGAGCCTCCTGGATTTACCTGTTGAACAACTCGAGTTCCTCGGACCGTATCCTTTTTCATTCCCAACAAAGTTTATTATTCATTCATCAAAGAAACATTCACAATGATTATTTTGCAGTTTTGTTCACTTTGACACATTAAACTTATCAGAGACCTGACGCCATCTGTTGCTGCTGCAATTGCTGAAGGGAAGGTTGATCCTATAACCATGGAGGCTTTTAACCGCTTCTCAGTTTCTAAGACACCGCTGAAGACGCCTGTTCGATCATTCAAGGAACAGGAAAAGAGTGGTTCCTTTTTGGAAAGAATAGAGCTCAAAAGGACTGCTGATGAAGCTATGATCGATCCAGAAGCTGTTTTGAAGGAGCCGAAGTACTCAAAACAAGATTTAGATCTTCACAAACTTGTTTTGCAGCCTAACAAGGATCAGATGGTTATCCGGACCGGCAATCCCTCACTGATTCCGAATAACAACCCGTTCAAGATTAGAAAAACGGATGAAATGAACATGGAATCCGAAGAGTACGGTTTGCAACAGCTCAAGGTTTCTTTTGGGACCAAAAGCGAAGGTATGGATGTGTCTTGCTCTTCACCAAACTCTAAGGAACATGATTGTTCAGAGGGTCAAAAAGAGGTTATAATCGATTTGTCCAAGCTTGTTGATGACTCCGGAGTTAAACAAGACTGTGAGAAGAACAGAGAGGAGGAAGGATTTGAATCCACAGAGGATGATGTAGTTGAAATTCAAGGTCATGTGAACATTACGACAAAGAGAGTGCGTGGAGCAAAACCTAGAACGGAGAGTTTCAAAGTGAAAACAAGCTCTACATGTTCAGAGAACAAGAAGGCTAAGATCAACAAGAAAAGCAGTATACTAGATTTCTTTCATCGATTGTAGTTAATTTATCCTTTTTGGTTTAAGATCAACAAGAAAAGCAGTATACTGTAACTCTTCAATATATGATTTCTTAAAATTCAAATATACAATTATTCAAAGTTGACAGAAACGAAAACCATATATTATTATCACAGTCAAACAACTTCATGTAACGCAAAACACAAACATATTCATTATTTGTATAATGGTATATATGCAACTATATAATAAGATATAGCGATAACCGGACTAATACAGAATATGGTTTTGATATATAAGAACCATATTTCTTTCCGGACCGGTTTTTCTGTTGAACCGGAAAACACTCTTTTTATTCTCTGGCTTTTGTTGGCATCAGCGTCTGCGTGAAGCTGGCTCCTTTTGGGCGTTGAAGTAAACTGTTGCCACAGGTAAACCAAGATCGAGATGACCAGCGAACATTCGGGTACTGAAATTGGCTCGCGATGGTGGCTGCTGCACCATCAGACCCACCGGTGAGTTCTGCCGGAAAAGTACCATTATGAAACGGTGAATCCCCACCGGTGGTCTCGGTTCCATGTATGGAAGTATCTCCTTTCCTGAAAATTGGTGTACATTAAAGCATGCAACAATATTGTTTTTGACGTTTCTCGTGGTATTAAAAAAAAATATAATAAATGAAGCAGTAACTGTTCCACCAGAGAACATGTACAAAAATGGCGTTCTTTTTCATTGTGTTTGTCGTGTTTAAGGTTTTTTTAAGATGACATGTGTGCGTTACTTAGTTGGTATCAATACATATACGGACAATACATGATGAGATGTTGGTTTTTTAAGACACCACGTGTCATTATTGTGGGGCATAACTTGAATCGGAGGAAAGATTAAATTAGTTTACTCCTAAGTCCTAAATCCTAATGCCTAATTTTGGAGCTCAATAGAATTTACTCGAGTTATGTTTTAACGCCGGAAACTACTCTCGGCTATTGCCAAGAAATATGAAAGATAAGCAAAAAAAGTTTTATAGACCAAATTCTTAAAACACACAATATTTAGGAAGTCTAAAAACTTGGACACTAATCCAAAACCAACTTGGTTGAATTAAGCAACCTATTAGAGGGTCATACCTATTTGTTTTTGGACCAATCAATAACGTGCAATACGGGAATATCCATTTCATATCTAACCGAAAGCACCACGTATCAAAGATAATACGTTTAAATGAATAAAAGAGACTGGCGTATTAGGTTTCTCAATTAGATCTAAACACGTCTTCGTTGGACATGATTAACCATGACTATATATTTTATTTCCGTTCATCAACACTAACGTCACTTCATCGTAGTATAGTTATTATTTTTCTGTTTGAAAATATTTGCCTTCAAGCTTTATTTTTAATGTAAATTTTAGTATTAATTATTTTATTCAATTTTAATATGAAAAATACTAATATGTAATGTAAAAAATCAGTATTTTGAAACGGAAAAGACATTTGAAAACTAACTTTGGCGTTTTCAACTCAAACATTGGGAAATTATCTTTTTAACTTTTTTTCATACCTCTTGAGGGGTTGGTGCCTCCGGGGATATCCACGACAATCCTGAAAAAAAAAAAATTGCATTATATTTATACGTTATGTACGATTTTGTAAATATGTTAACGAGTGCGTCACGCATACGCACCAATGGACCCATTCTCTCATGTTCGGCTCGCTCGGACTAGGTGCATCCGGGTCAGTCATCACCTGCATGCATCCAAACGATTTAACATTTACGGACGGCCAACGAAATTTCAACACATGCACCAATCGATCGAACACATCAAAACCTCATTATTGTAATCATATTTTCAGCTAAACCGTGTCTCGCACATTTAATTATGTACCTAAAGCTCATTGGAATTTATCTATGTATATAAATACGTCAACATCTATGTGAATGTGCTGGTTTACATAATAACCAGCCATTGTTTTGGGCAGCGAATGTACCAGAAATTATGTATAAAAGTAATGTATGCATGCATGCTCCTAGCTATTATAATGATCATGATCATGAGGAAGTATGTAAGTATGTAACGCATGTGCATATATACAAAACACATATATACAAAACATATGTTTGGAAGTGAGACTGCACATAAAAGGGATAGATGCGAGAAGATGAATTTATACGAGAGTGTAAAGCTCATCGGAGTGGCCGGAGATGGTGACTTTGGGAGGGTTGATTGCGGTGGAGGGTTTGATCTCGCAGCCGTTAGTGATGTGTTTGGGGCCAAAGTAGACAGACATATTGGCGGTGGGGATGAACATGTCCAACACATCTCCGATCACTCTTCCGACCACCAAAGGATCAACCGAAGTTGCCATCGACCCACAAAGAGAGAGAAAGAGAGAGAAGTGGAGAAGAGAGAGGGAGAGAGGTTCTCTCTTTCTTTTTAAAGAATCGTTGTTTCGTTTTGCGCATGTCCGAATTGGGATGGACATCTCCTGCTTTTATATTGAAATTATTTTTTTTTTATATAACAATAGTTATTTAATAGATTATTTTATAAAAATAAAACAAAATATCTACTTTGAAGCTCCATCGACAAATACAATGAATTTGAACCATGCTGCAGTCATTTCTATCTGATACTGTTTTCGCTGTTGATTTTTCTCTTTGATCTTTGTTTCTCTGCGTGTTTGCTTTATGTATGTAAAAAATCTTGTATATATTTTCATTAACTCTTAAATATTGGTTGAAACTTGAAACCTTTAAATGCAATTCAAATAAACAATGTGATCTATTTCGATAGAACGAATATCCACCACCAAGAAAGACAAGCAATACTTCTAGATTATTATCGTTGTAGCTTAAGAAGGTTTTTATCTTCGGAAATTGGTATATATTTTATTTGGTAAAGTGTTGGTATTCATATAAAAATAAAATATTAGTATGCGTTATTTTTTGTCGTTTTCGGAATGAGTTAGGCATGAGTCGGATGTTCGGTTACATTTTTACGATTTTTAAAATAATTAAAAAAAGTAAATCGAGAAATATCATGCCTAGCTAAAACTGTAACTAAACATCCAACTCACGCTTAACTCGTTTCCGAAAACGATATTTAAACTAAATTTCTTTTAGATTCATATAAATACCAAATGAGATAAAATATAAGTTGTTATTTCTTCCAATTTACATTTCTGATTATAAGAACACAAAGATTGTAATTCTTCCTCATTCTGTTTTTCAATGATCAATTGGTCAATATGTACTATGTAGTCCCAACTGTTACTATAAGTTATAATTTGTTACTTACTAAAGTAAAAGCAAAAGTTAAAATCAAATGTTAAAAGGTGATTTGTGCAAGTACAAACTAAAGAAACAGAAAACAAATTAAATTAATGCATTAAAAGTTTAGTTTTGACATAAGAACGTGTCAGTTGGACTCGTCAAAATTTTACATTCAACATAATTGTTTTTTAACAAAACAAAAAGAAAATGGACTAGGTGATCACCTAGGCAGAAATTAATCGGTATAGATAAATATTAATCAAATATCTGATTAAGTTTGTTTTGATTTTGATAGAGTTGGTTCACGGTAACATGGCATTAACGGACACGCAGAGTTACTAGGCGGCCACTTAGACGACTAAGCGTCTTGGAACAAGGCTATTACATAGACAATCCACTAGTGTCTTGTAATTTTAATAATTTTTGGTTAGGCCATGATTCATCAATATTATGCAAACCATCAAAGTTAATGCTCTATCACCGTGAACTAACTCTATCAAAATAAAAACAAACTTACTCTTGTTATAGACAAATAAATTAGTGTCTACAAACAAGAAACTTAATCTTAAGGTATATTCCATAAATCCTACTACAGTTTTTGCTTTGTTATAAAACTCATAGGCGAAAGAAGAAACAAAAGGAAAAGGTTAAAAGAAGCTTTGGTCGGATTAGTGTAACCTATAGGCCATGCATAGGCCATTTCATACTTCTTTTCATCCGCAATTATGACACGTGTCATATGTAGGCCTCAGCTGTTACCCACGATCCCTTTTGTTCGTCCTGCCACGTGGCCTCATTTCTGCCGTCAGTTACGACTTACGAGGATTACACGTGGACCATCTTTGTGGTGTTGTTGGTAAACTAATTTCTACTGGTGATAACTTCTATATTACGTAATCAACAAATTACAAAATTTTCACTAACCTAAAGTGGTTTTTCATGGTTAATCATCATTTTATGCTGTTGTTAAAAATTCATGGTTAATTATCGTTCAAGAGCATTTTGATATTTTACAAATTTTATTTTCTGAAATATTTTCAAAATTTTTGGTACATCTATTAAAACACTATTGACAAAAACCAACCATCTAGATTAATATTTAAACATACAATATTTTTAAACAAACCATAAATCCAGGTGATGAACACTCTTCAACACTTAGGAAGATCATGAGGAGGACGAAGCAGAGTCTGTGAAGGAAGAGGTCCATCTTTAACGATAAACCCCATGGCCAATCCCCAGGAGGTATGTTCTTCGAGATGACAATGAATAAACCAAACTCCTGGATTATCCGCGTTGATCCTGATCGCCGCCCAACCTCCCGTCGGCACCGCGATCGTGTTCCTCTCCGGCGGATCCACCAGATTGTACCTCGCCGGATCCTTCTCCGCGTCGAAATTCCCGAATCCTCTTCCCACGACGAAGAAATTGTGCCCGTGTACATGTAACGGATGGTTCTCGATGTTGAGGAAACTCGTCCCCTGAAACACGATCTCCAATCTCGATCCGTATTCGACCTCGAACAGCCTCGTCCCGAATTCGGTGTTCATGTTTTCCTTCACCGGACTCACGCCGGTGAAATCGAATCTGTTCCGTGGACTCTCCGGGAAATCGAGCGTGAAAACCCCTTTGCTCTGTTTCTTATAGTAGCTCTCGAGGATCGAGATCGGAGGTCGGACGAACGAGATGTTGTTCATCGACGCGAAGTATCTTTTCCCGTTGAAGCCGCCGCAGGTCCGATTCGGCGGGCAGTCCTGGAGATTGAGACTGATCGTGGTGATCACGCGCTTGTCGATCGCCGTCGGGACTTTGCACGGATACTTCTCCGATCCAAGGCTCTTGATGCTATCGGAGAATCTCGTCTCGAATTTCGTGTCGAGCATGTCCGGGAGCATCGCGCGCGTCGACAACGCCGTCAATCGCCGTCTGTTAACGGAATTTACCGATTTGCTCTTGCCGCTGTAGCGGAGGAAGCCGACGGTGGTGGAGTTGTTGAAGGGGAAGACGGAAGTGACGTAAGGAGTTGCGGCGATGAGAAATTCGCCGCCGGATTTTTGGTCGGTGCGGAGAAGGACGGTGGTGGTCTGACCGGGAGCGATCATGATTGCTTTGATATCAACCGGTTTGGTGTAAACCGCGTCAACCTCGACCACGGTGAGTGTGTGATTCGCTACGGCGAAGAAAAGCTCGTTGTTTAGAGCTGCGTTGATTATGCGGAGGATGTATGTTTTTCCCGCGTCCACGTTCGCCGTGAAAGTATCTGCACACAATTTTTGAATTTTTTTACGGTGAGAAACAAACCGAATTTTGTAATTGAACCATCGGTTACGAGAGAAAACCGGACCTTTGGTAGAACAAGGGTAAAGTGGGCCGGGAAGGCCGTTAAGTGTGTAAGCGTCGGAAATCTTCGGCCCAGCGCCTGTTTTCATCATCTCCGTCTCCACCTTGTCCACATCATCGTTCCACCATTCGCCTACACATCATCCATTTCACCACTCAATTCATATTTTTTCGTTATTAATATTGTCTCACATGTACATGACAATATGACATGGTGTTCCTTATACAACATGTTACATGAGTTTTTATATATGGAATTATGGATGCCCTTTTGCTTTGATTAGTGTAATTTTGCTTCACTTAAAAAATACTACTAGACTTTAACGGAAGCGGAAACATGAATAAATAATTATTTTGTACCGAGTATAATGGGAATTTCGGATTGAATGTGGCCGCCGGAGAAGGGGTAAGGCTGCCGGGGATAGATGATGAAGGTGCCGTAGACGGAGGCTCGTTGCCATGAGTGATGAGCATGCCAAAGGAGTGTGCCTCTTTGGTCTTCCACTTTGAACCGATATGTGTATGATTGTTTCGATCTTATTGGACACTGCGTTATGTAAGCCGGTCCATCGGCCCAACCGGTACGGTATTGCCTTAACCCATGCCTACTCACAAACCCCAAAAATAAAACCGATAAATAAAAGCATAAAAAGCTAGACAAAATGTTAACAGTGGTTACAGTACTATGCATGCATGAGAATATGAAATTTGTTAATTACCAGTGGATTGTTGTATTTTGAGCAATCCGGTTAGTCACTTTGATCTCTACGGTGTCACCTTCGTGAACCACCACCGCTGGCCCCGGATATTGTCCGTTCACCGTTAAAAGTTGTTTCGTGTGGCACAATCGAGTTACCTTCTTCCATTCGACCTGAATAACATATATCATATTGAAAACGTTGCTGTTACATTTGCGTAATACACTAGCTAGGAAACGATTGATAAATATGTAAAAGTAATAAATCTTGTGTATGTACACGTGGATGAATTTCTTCCTTTTTTATGATCAGATCATAAAAATAAAGCTGTAAGAGTGAGTAAAATGAAACTGAGTCTTCGTTGAAATCTGCTTACATTAAAATGAAATCGACGAGTGGTGGAAGCCGAAGAATAAGGGAGGAGAGTTGCAATCAGAACCAAAAAAGTCGAAATCATTAGAAATCCGAAATTCCCCATTTTCTTTATATAGAAAGTTGTTCTTTTCTTTTTGGTCTTAGCTTACACTTAGCTATGATTCTTGATTATGTTTGCTAATGAGAAGGTTCCTTTATATAGAAACACAAAATGGGTTTCCTTTCTCGTTTAAATATTATTTTATACAAAATTTTGATAAAGTACCTATATTTTCAAAAGTTTTCAGAAAACCCCCCAAAGATGATTCTTTGTCCTAAAAAAGTGTCCTGCATGAAAAAGAAAATGAGCTAAATAATTACCGGTAAGTTTTAAAGAAATTATATAATCATTGGTAAATTTGAATTTGAAACTATAATTATATTGATTTGTAACTAGTGCATAATCATTTCATCTCGTGCATAGAATTATTCTACTCGTACACTATTGAATCGGTAGGTGAGAGTACCATGTACGAAAAACTGAAAAAGTTACCCTGCATGTTATGTATAATTTGAAGCTTCCAAACTCTCATCATACATATATATATCTGACTCATCTCAACCTTATTTAATCATAATGCGATGCAAAATCAACTAGCCGTTTCTAAAGAATTCAGTATCACTAAAAGTATATAAGCTATAACTAACTACAATAACTTTTTAGATTCGAAAATCTTTGATTTTATAATGATCTATCTACTACCTGCGATTTAATTATTTTCTCCATCATACCTAAACCCACGTGACCTCCTTAAACCTCACCAGTTAACCACACTCATATTACAAAGCTAACTCCCTCTTGATTTTAAATAATTTTCTTACTTATACAACGAATTCTTTCTCTTCTCGGCCGATCTCATCATATCTCAGCTACCTTGGTTTTTCTAAAAGTACCTAATCATTCTTTTGTTCACCAAACTTCCCTCAATGTAAATGTCTCTCTCTCGTATCAACAACTTGCTCGTTCTTGTATTTGTCCTTTAACAAAAAAACAACTTGCTTGTATTTGTCCGATCTCCCCCTTCCTTCCTCCTAGCATTTGTCAAATTTTGGGTCTCTATAATTCTATTTGACAATTGATTAAGATGACTAGGATTTATAAATCTTACTCAGTGTCTTCTATCATAATGTCTATATCACTTACAAGTTGATCTAACAAAAATGTATAGCAATAACAAATCTATTTCAAAAGTGACTAGACAATAAAACCAACTAAACTTCGATACCTTTCGGTTAAGTTTGACTTCTAGAACTCAAGATAATTTAGTTCGTGTTCCAATATTGTATTTTCAAGAATTAGTTCTTGAACGATAAAAATTAATCTCATAGAAATAATTCAAAGGACTTTTGTGATTTACCCATAATATCATCTGCCACTTCATGACTGGAACATATTGTGTCTTAGCCCTTTTCTGGAAAAGAAGCACATGTATAATTTGGGTTACGTAAAAAGTTATGTCTCCTTTAGCGGGCATCAATTCAGGTTTTGCTTTGCCAAAAAAAATAAAGTTAAAAAAATACATGATTTGTGGGGTAAAACTAAACTCACACATGTAAAATGTGTGTGTATATATCTAGATTTAGGGCTTGATTGGTTGTAGCTGTAGCTTTATTTTTTTTGCTGTAGAATTAATGCTGTAGAAATTTTGAATGTGATTCTAGATTTTAGTGCTATAAGATTTTTTATTATAGATTATGTCATTAAATATAACATTAAAACAAAAAAGTTAAGATATAGAAATAATAGATTAAAAAATAAATGTTGAAAGATTAATAAGGAAAGAGAAGAGAGATAATTCTAAGAGCACTTAATTTGGTGCTCTAGAAAAATTGCTTTCCAAAACCACGGAACTTCCATAAATAAAAAAAATTGTTCTGTGTTTCAAAAATGGAATGAGATGGAATGAGAGTTTGATTGGTAATTTTGTATTGCTGTAGAGAGATTTAGGGCTGTGCAGAGCAACCACAGCCCCTACCAATCATCCTCTTATGTAAACGCTACCAAATTCTTTGGTCGTCTGTTGTATGTTTGCTTTCAAGCTTCATCAGAAAACCAATTTGTTCTTCCAATTTTTTGTTTTTATGAGAGTTGTCATTTGGTGCAATATCGGATTACTATAAATTCTTTCTATTTTGTTTTATGTATTTTCATATGCACGATACTAAAATATGTAAAAGAAATTGTCGAAGTTTTGTAAGAAACGGTATGGAAATTTAAGTCCGCATACGTATAATGGGAAGTACGATGGACTACTTTGTGAAGTCTATTCCAAAGAAAATCATTGAAGCTTTATGGTCGATAAAGTGATAGATCAATGGGTTGTTGCGAGCCATCTAATAGAACAAATAAGATAGGACCAAATAATTGCAAAGCGAAACGTATGAATACATTACAGATACTACAGTCTCTTTTCATTAAATTACACAAGAAAAATCTTATAAAATTCGAAACAGATGATTCTTTGCAACCATATCACACGAATGTATATTATTAATCAATGATCCTTGTGAACACAAAATGTTTTGAACTCCAAAGTTGTGAGGAGTAATAAATAAATCTTCAAATCGAGCTGCGGTTGGTTTCTTAAGTAATACTAACTAGTAGAGGACCCGCGCAAACGCGCGGTGTGACGTTGCGGTTTTGTGAACAAAATATAAATTTAAAATCTGAGTCCGACTCAAAAACCTAATCAAAATTTTAAAAATCCAAACCTTTTTAATATGTCTAAACCCGAAAACCCTGAAAACTGAATAAAAAAACTCCAAACTTTTCACCCGAAACCCGAACCCGACCTAAAAACCCTAATAAAAAATTTTAAAATATCTAAACTTTTTTAATATGTCTAAATCCAAAAACCCGAAATCCAAAAAATCTGGAAAACCCTGAACTGAACCCAAAAAAACTCAAACCCAAACCGAACATAAATTTTAAAAAAAAAACCGAACAGAAATCCACAATTTGATTTAAATCATATGTATTTCTATTTCACTATTGGAAATTTTGCAAATATCATTCGAATTTGGTATTATCGATAGATTATGTTAATTTTTCTTTTTTGCCGATTTTTTAAGAGCTGAAAACGGAAGTTTTCTAAACCATCGGTTTGTTTTAAGTTATTATTCTTGTATCCAAACAATTTTTTCCATTTATTCTTCTATCCAAATAGATTATTCTCTTATTCTTATATCCAAACAACTTTTTTTCCATTTATTCTTCTATCCAAATAGATGATTCTCTTATTCTTGTATCCAAACATTAGAATGTACTTCTCAATTAATAATATAAAGATGGTCGCTATTTCATTAGTATGCCATTTTCTTTTCTACTCTTTTTTTTGCCTAACTCTTCTACATATACCATCGTGTATCTTCTAGTTTAACCCAACCATTTCGAAACGAACTAATATAATCTTCTGGTGACGTTTTAACTTCTTAAGAAATTCTTTATAAAAAATTCTAACAAAAAAAAGACAAGAGTATTTGTGATAACTGATAAGTATTGTTTATGATTTTATCAAAAAAGATAAGTATTGTTTATGATATGAATCACATGAAACCCATTTTTCCTGGTAGTCAGAATTTGAAGTCAAATTCCAAAGTGTGGCGGCATATCTACCATATTCTAAAGCATAAAGTTAAATATTTCACTTTTGGAACATTTTCATATCTAATTAACTAGTGTTACTAATCTTAACCAATCTGGCGTCTATGGACTTTGGCCTGGAAAATTCCTTTCACCTTTGCAGTTTCTTATTGAGGATGTGGTTTGGGGTTGGTGTGTAAGCTCCTAAGAACTCACTTTACTCGACCATATATCACAGTGTCAGGCCAATGATTAATCAAATAGTTTACTTTTGTCGTTATGGGATTAGGCCAACAATAATATCGTTTCATATGGATGTCGTATTACACAAATAATTTAACAATAAAGTTTGGACTTTGGAAAAAGAAATCATCGACAAATAATAGATCTCTTTAGCTTAGTCTTCGTCATTACAAAGCCAACTAACACAGCATTATGTTATGTCTGCTTATTTCTTTTCAACCTATCTTTTATTTTAAAAAGTCAGAGTTCTCTTCCGGACAATATTATAAAAAGAATCCACTATCCCGGTTTGACTTGAACCGAATCATGTCACTGAGTACTGAAGAAAAGCGGTAAAAAGAAATGTAAAGGATAAGTTTATAAAAAAGGAGAGACCAAAAAAATTACATGGAGATCGATGTGTTTATTTGAGGTTTTCATTCTCATCCCCAAACTATTAAATACAACAAATCAAACCCAACCACAAAGATAGATGTGGAAGAAGGGAGAAGAATGGTAAAATGGAGAACCAATTTTTTCACCAGAAAACTTTCGCCAAAAGAAAAACTAAAACTCTTTTAATTAGGAAGAGAAGCAACTCTATCAGCAAGCTCTGCAACTGTCTCATCATCTTCTTCCTCAGCTATGGTGTCCTGCAAAACAGAGAGAGAGCAAAACAGAACAGTTAGCAATAATTCCATCTTCATGTTCCTTTCAAGATCCTCTGTTGCTTTTCATTCTTTCTTTACTAACAAACTAGCTAACCTCTTTATCAGTTTTTGATTGGACACCAATGCATTTAGAACCGCTGATGCTCGCGCTCTTCATGAGGTTACGAGCACTGTAACCTCCTCCATTGTCTGCTTCCTCAGATTCCAAGGTTGAAGCCACAGCAGCTGCTGCTCTTCTCTCAACATCACTGCTTTCTTCTGCAGCTTCACCATTCGGAGCAGGAACTCTCTCTCTGCAACACATAATCACAATGCTTTCAGAGAGGGATAAAAAGACAAAGAGAGAGACAGATAGAGAGATTTGTGAAAGACATTACCTTGGCAAGGAAGCATGATGTCTGTGAAGTGCAGTACTTCTTCCTCCTCCTGCTGCTGCTCCTGGTTTACCTTGACTCTCTTCAAGATGAGCAAATTGCCTCTTGAATCGATCAACCCCACTGCGTAAACAACAAAAGATTTATCGATTTCATAACTTTTTGTTTCGAGATTTATAGTTTCTGAACTGTTAATTAGCTAACCTAGGGTACATGAAGCTAAGCTGATCACCACCGCGAAGGTATTCCTCCAACATCTGAGGATGATATTCCAATATCTAAATTTTTTTCCACCAAAGATAAGAGATTATTAGAATCAATCAAGAACAGATCAACAAAACTAAAGCTTGTGTAAAAATTATTTTTGAGCTACCTCACGGTAAATTAATTCTCTGACATCATCTTTAGTTAACTTCTTTCTCTCAAAATCAAATTCAAGCTTTGAAATTGGCTGCGTTGATGGTTCACGCTCTGAATTTGACAAGCCACTGAAGTATGGATCAGCTAGTGCCTGTAATTAAGGAAATCAAAACAGTGAGTTCCAGTCTGTGCAAAGAAACGAAAAGTAAAGCAAAATTTACTTCTCTCGCTTACATCTTCAGCTGATGCACGATCTTTCGGATCAAAGGCAAGCAGGCGTTCAAGAAGGCGGAGAGCCAAAGGATCAGCTTTAGGGAACTTATGAGAGAAAGGGACTTGCTGTTTTTTCCTCATGCTGCTAAGATATCTCCTCGCCTTTTCATTTCTAATCTGTCAAATTTTCAAGATTGCCATAAACTCATTACAGGATATAACTCACTCTCAAATGATTTAACAGAACACATTACTGCTAAAGAAAATTCCAACAGATTTTTGAGTGACTAACCCTTGCTATCGACTCGGGAGGTGGAGTTCCAAGAAAATCAGTCATAAGATCCAACTGGTGCACCACGTTTTTCCCCGGAAACAAAGGCTTACCCAAAAGCATTTCCGCAAATATGCAGCCGACA